TGAACTTATCGGAACAGATTGTGGACAAGTGGGTTATAAGGGAAAGAGAGCTAAACCATGCGTTGTGGTGTGATTGTGTATCTCCTGTGGAGTCCTCAAAAATAAACTTATCCAATTTTTACTACCATGTAAGAAGTGAACAAATTGTACATTACTTTGTTTTAATCATAATCTCCGTACTTTGTACTTTACCTCGGGTTTTGAATGAAAATATAGTTCTGCCTTCGACTCTCCATCTTCTCCACCATTTCAACTGCCGTTGATCAATTCTAGGTGACTCTAAAGAATAGCGGCCCAAACCGAAACGACCTTTTAACGCAAAAATGACCTTGACAGGGACAACTTCGGCCAATGAGAAGGCTCAAAAAGGAAGGCGCATAATTGTAAAAAACGGTTTATATATAAGTAATGCAATCATAGTAAACAGTTACAAAGGATGGTGCTCGCGTATATGTCTCAAAAAACCTCCCAGTTTCTCATGGGAGTCTTCATAGTCGTATGAAACCAGTTTCGGTACATAAATTCATCCAGGTAACTGTAAACCATGGGATTTCTCGATCCATTAACCGCTCTTATACGTTTTTTTAGACGACTCCTAAAACTTTCAATGGAACTGGTGTGGGTTCCATCTAAAGGATTCCGGAAACCGTCCGTATGATTAACAACATGATGAATGTACCCATGATTCGATAACTGACGGTATCCGCTCCATTCATCTGTATGAATAGTCGTCCCCGGCAACACCAAACGCTTAATAATAGGCACTAATACTGCTGTACTGCGACTGGGAATCGCTTCTATATACCCTTTGCGCAGTGTCGTGTCGTACATACCCAGTATCCACTACTGGTTTGCTTGTAATCTCCCACGGTTGTATTTCCTTTTTATAAGTACAGTCTCATCGATATGGACTATGCTGCCGACTCCTCCGAGAACTTGAGTCAGGGTGTTCATTTTCCAGGAGGAAACATCTCTGCAGTAGTTGTACCATTGCACTGCTGACACCCCTGAATTTTCTGTTTCATAAGCTGTAGCTGTGACTGCTCTTTTCAGGACCCAGAAGTTACAGATCATTAAAATTTTCGTCAAAGGTAGTTTACAACTTGAGAGAAAAGTTCCTAAGGGATCTGTAAACTAAAAAACAACGACAAACCTTCTCGAACCGATTTCTTCCTTCGGCACTCAATACATCTGTATACAAAGCCATCAATGGCTTCTGTCTATTTTTGTATATGCATAACTCCTCCGCATTGGCAAATTTTCGACAAAGCTATCAGTCCGTTATCCAAAAAGTAATCGAAAACATCCATGATTACATCCGAAAATGATACAGTCAGCTGATTCCTTCCTCAAGGTCACTTTTTTGTTCGAAGGTCGTTTCGGTTTGGGCCGCTATTCTTTAGAGTCACCGGTCCACCACACTCTGTACCCTCTTCAAACTGTCATTAATAAACACATAGCTGAAAATCCGTATCATATTCCCCCTTCTCTAATTGAGGCGGTGTCGAGATTAACCTGGACACCAGGTTAGATGAGCTGGGCTAAAGAGTCAGCAGGTAATGTAACCAGAGCTCATGTCTGAAAGGATATGTGTCTTGGAAAATTTATAGGCGTCATTTCTAGTTTAAGCCCATCGGGAATGAGATCGGATTCTTTTAAGCAGCCTAATTAGGTGGGTTGCTTGGCTATGGAGATCATTCTAGAGGCTCTCATCCCGCTCGCTGTTCCCTAGTCCTGAGACTAAATGGAAAACGTGGAGGTGGTCAGCCCATTATGTGGCTCCATGGAGTGCATGATATTTGTGTTAGGTTGGCTCCCACCGGAAAATCACGGCTCCCTGATTTGGCCCCGTGAGATAATTCAAATCTTCGGCCCAGGATGTTATCAGAAACGGCAGTTGCTGGCGAGCATACTGGAATTTTCTCCTTCCTTTATTCTCTGAAGTTAACATGAAGCGACGGATGACAAAAAATCTAGACCTGATATTTCGCTCTCTTTGGTCAAATATATACCTCCCCTCTCTTTCCTCATTGTCTTTTATACTATGCAGTCCACTACAATTTCTATAGTCATCGGTGAAAGCATATAACACTGTTTTTTTGGAAGCCACTTGGCCTTAACCAGAAATAGCTCTCATGACAGTCCGAAGGCCACCTATCTCACCAGACTTGCTCACTGACCACATTTCTGCCTCTCTAAACCTACTCACCTAACCTGGTGTTCAGGCTAATCTTAGCACCATCCCAACTAGAGAAGGGAGTATTCCACACCTACCGCTTTTCAATGATCTTTCTTGTAAACGGTGATCTCAAACCTCCTGCAGTAGTGGCAGGAGCGTATCGACTGAGTTATCTGGATCTGTTTTCAGTGCTTCAAGAGAAATTTCGTCCATCCATATCGCCTTAATGGCTTTCAGCAACTTCAAAATATTCAAGACTTCCGCTTACTGTTTCATTTGAATCTTGCTGTCATGATGCCAGAGCAGACTGGTTCCCACTGTTTAGGAGCTATGTATAACATCAGTGATATCATGGTAGACGCAACTTCAATGTGTTCATGGTTATCATCTAAGTGACTAGAGTACATTACTGAATCTCCAGTAAGTACTTTGAGAAGTCCACTTCCATTCTATCTGTTCTCATGCATTTCTGGCACTAATATATCGAAACTTCTCAATTGTTTTGCATTATGAGCAGCCTTCGTGGTTTCAAACATTGTGCTAACACTCCATGCCCTTATGCTTATTTTTGTCTTCGTGAAAACATCAGCTGGCTAGTTTTCCAAAGGCTTCCAACAGCCCACATCACTGAGCTTCAACGACACCAACGAAGTCCATGTTTTGGAGTTTCCATGGCTAGTGAATTGATTTCCCTGTGTAAGGTTGCTATCCCCATGCCTAAATTTCCCTCTTTTTCGATGCTTAGGACTGGCTAGTAAACTAATGGAGTTTTCAGTCTTAGTTGCCCCAGACCTTTTCACAGCAGGATAACTCAAACTACGGCATTGAGATAAACTCAGTATTGGTGACTGAAGTCTTTCAGGTGCAATGTATGGAACACTGTGAACAACCACATGTTGTGTAGCAGAAATGCATTGTATCGCATTTTTGGTTGTATACAACAAATTCTTCAGTTAAAGACATAATTCAGACGTGAATGCTTAGCTTTTCATTCAATTAGGGATTTATTTGGAGCGTGTGAAAAGTGAGACATTTTCTGTCCAGTTTATCTAATTCACTCAGATAGTTTTTCGATGAAGTTTGGATATGTTGAGGTCAAATCAACTCCCAAATCATTTCATTACCTACAGAAATCACTTGTTTCTGGAGAATTTTAAACACAGCCTTCATAATTATATGTAATTATATCACGAGGAGAACGGTTAAAGTATCATATAGCTAACCGCTCTAGTATGTGCTTAACCTAGGATGCGTAGCTCCACCAGAGTTCTTCACTGAAACAGTTCACAAAGTTAGATTAAATGGCACAGCATAATTAAGCATCATGAAGTAGTACTAGATGCATATTTTAGTGGTAAGTAATTCCCCAGAATTATTGGCCACAGCATTCATCACTGGACATTGGATCTTGACACTCACTGTTCTAGTCGATTTGTTTAACTGAATGCTTACGGTCAAGCAACCAAACCATTTGGCACTGTCGTGTTACACTCGTTCATTCATGCACTATACCTGGCTAGTTAAGCAATCATCTCGCACGCCTATTTGGTCCCAAAGTATAGCTCGTAATTTGGACTATCAATTCCAGTGTTTTACTTTACCTTTGGTCTACGTTGTGGGTATTATATCTTGCGTTAGTATACTTCGTACAATCCGTGAACGTCAACACCCTTAGCCTCTAAAATATAATGCCACTTCAATGGTTCAGGCTCTATACAGAGCAGAAATTTGTCCAGTTTCTGCTTTTCTTTTATAGTCCTCTTCTTATATTTATCTGCTTCTATCATCAGTATGCACTTACATATTACTACTTTTATCACATTAGTTTCTTTAAGGTTTTCAAACTCCTATCAGATGGATAGTCAACCATATTTCTCCACATTAGGTAAATTTTCCATCTTAAATTTGAAATGATTTGTAGTCTTAAGCAATTCTCCAAAATCACTAGACTACAACATTCTCCGTTCAAAACTTTATACTGACTTTCAGTATTTGGATAGGCTTGTTAAGCTGGAGATGCACGGTCAGGCATCCATGCCATTTGGCACGCTATCATGTTACATTCGGTTGTTTGTGTACGTACCCTAGACAGTTAAGCAACCGTCACTGTTCTTCATTTCTGATCTCAAACTATAACTCATATTTTAGCCAATCGATCCGTTGCTTTGGTTTGTCTCTGATCTCAGCAAAACAACTACTGTGCGAGTTACAGGATAAACACTTGTGCTTGTATACAATGTATATTACGTAACCGCCAACATCCTTCATCTCTTAAAGGTTATTATGACTTTCATCGCTCCTTTTATTAACATGATAACAATTACCGATTTATTATATTTTGGAGAATTAGGAGTATTATTTGACTTAACACTAATTACGACTGGACAGACTAAAACAATCCAATAATCGAAAGGAAATATCTTATTGAATCGGTTTTTAATCACACATAGAATAATAAAAGGTATCTTAATCGTTTTGATTCTTGAAAGCATGAAGCATTAACATTTTCGCATATATTTTTACTATCGAATAGTGGCTTAATGGTATACGAGCTCGCCTTGTAACCGGAAGGTCCTGGGTTCGAATCCCGGTGGGTGCGTACTGCTGAAGAGTCCCAAACTAGGACGAAACAGCTGTCCAATACTCCTTGTTGTGCGTCGATGGCATAGCGGTTAGGACGTTCGCCTACCATGCACATGGTCCGGGGTTCGATCCCCGGCCGACGCACTCCTTTACCTCTCGAAGTCAATAACAGAATTGGCAAAGAGAGAAGGTTGGGCATGAGGCTAGCAACCCTATCCTGTAAAATAAACACTTCTACAGAAACTTCAAGCCACTAGCTTGAAGCCCTATGTTCCACTGAGAACGTGAAGAAAAAAAAATCGAATAGTTAGTGAAAAACTACACTACAGTTCTAACAATAGGTATTTATTATATTATCAAACAACAAACGAACAATTTAAAATTGCATTAACTCTGACCATTTTTGATAGAGATTACTCCTTCAGCTGTCCAGCACGAATCGGTTTAGCTACAAATTAAAATTCAAGAGAAGAAGTAGTAGTAGTAAGCTAGCTTACTCATTTTTATGCTTATTTCCTTACTCCTTACTTAATATTAAGTAATAGTGATAACTGAATATATGTTACAAATAAATTGTAGTAATGTAACAGATTTGAGGGAGGATTGTTTACTGATCAGCTTCAGTCGTCTCTAATAAGAACGTGTCTTTAGGTCTACACTAATTAAGTTAGTTTTCTTAGTAATTTTGATTCCACTATGTAATTTTATCTAATCTTCCTGTTCATTACAGTTCACAATTTTATTAATTTAACCGTTTACCGGAAACAGTTGTAGAACTTTCTCACCCATCTACTATAAGTGCACGAGTGTACAGCCCAGCTGATAACCTTGTCTAAAAGATAATTTTCTTTGCTGTAACTGTCTTTTTTAATATTTCATAAATCAGCCTTAACTTCGGCATGAACGGTTGTTGATAATGTTAGAGATTTACAAGTACCTCTTCATTGGAAAGAATTTCTTCAGGCAAATTATTCATTTATTTAGTAGTGTAACGACAGAAGACAAGGGTCAGGCAACAGATCGTTTATTGAGAAAATCAAGAGATATTTGTAAATTTTTAGGTGCATTATTATTCGCGTTATTGTTATCAGAGAAGCAACGTCTTCTGATTGGTTGTTTTCTTGTTGAAGGTTATTCTGTACTGCTTGTGAACATTTCTCAGAAAGTTAAACCACACGTCAAGTCTGCTGTGATCGGTCGGCGAGTTCCTCAAGATTAAGCCTTGTTGCTGTCTCTTCTCATGACCCCGATTCGGGACGAAAATATTGACGTAATTTGCTGTTTATAGTTTTGGCTTGCAGACAGCTGTCACCACACTATTGATCAATAAAATGACCCACTACTGTCTAAAACACGATGACTTAATTACTGAAGTAAAAAGAAGAATTCGTTTCCTAAGCTTTGGCAAAACTGAAATTCTCTCATCTCTCAAGTGAGATGAATGCTACATGAATTTAATTCAAGCTTACATATAGGGGTTATCTAATGCATATCAAACTTAGGTTCACGGTTTATGATCAGGTGATCATCTAAAGCGGCACTATTATGTCACTCAAATATTTATTTTTATTCACTTTTAGATATAATAATATGCTACTGTTGCACGATCTACTCTTAATTGTTACTATTTAAGACAATGAACAGTTCTGTATCAATTTATATATGTCAAAATCAAGTTCACTTTCAATAGTTTGAAAAAAATTTGGGCACTGGGTATGCGATATTCATTAATATAAAAGTTTTCTTATTTCTCAATGAATGAAAAACAAAACGATATTGTTTTTATTGACGTTTTGCTATTTAATGCTAATACCATTAGCAAGGTATTATAAAACCAGAATCTACGAAATCTCAGCATATATACAGCAACTTAATTGTTTGAAATAAAGTGTTCATTACTATTATTATGTAAAAACACAGTTTTTGTTCAGCGAAGAAATTTACTCTTTTACCTGCTCTTGTGGAGCTGTTTATATTGAACGTTGTAAGCGTAATCTCCGAAAACGTGTAGCTGAACACTATCCGGTTTGGTTAATGAAAGGCGAACGTAGAAGTGTGAAGTCGTCTATTTGTGGTCACCTGTTAGAGTCTGGTCATTTAGCCCCACGTGATTCATCTTTCAAAGTTATCTACATGGCAAAATCGAGTCGATCCAAAAGTTTACGTTTTCTTCACTTATGCATAGCCGAAGCTTTAGCTATACATGAAGAGAAACCTAAATTATGTGTTCAAAAGCGTCTTGTCAAACCCCTTTCTTTACCTTGGTCATAATAATGTTCCTTCTAGTTTTTATTTTATTTTACCACTTGAATTCTTTCCAATTCACTTCACATCTTCATTCTTATCGTAATCGTACTCCTAATTTTCAAAATTTTTAGACAACACTTGACATTTTTGTTATAAAACAATCTTTAATATTTTTTTAATTTATCCACTTCAACTCTACCCCTTATAACTCTTATCACATATATACGTACATTGACTGAGCAATTATTTAGTGCCACTTAATAACCTTTTTCTGTAATATAAATACGACTGTACAACTTGAAAATGAAGTGGTTGAAAAGAAATTTCTTCGCTGAACAAAAACTGTGTTTTTACTTATGAATAAATGGGTATTTTTCGAGACTACTATTATGTGGTGATTGACAATTTCTGTTATTGCATTGTTTAAATACTTACTGTTGTTTGTTAACATTTATCATATGAATTACAAATAATTCTGCCAAATGTAAATTCCTAAGTTCATCCCTCTCTGTGTTGTTGGTTGATTTCCTGTAATTCGGTTATTACAAAATACTACTATTACAAATAATTGCAACATATTATTATTTCCTTAGCATAAAGTAATTCGTTTTTACGTTGTCAAGCGCGTCAATTGGTGAAGATAACAAAACCATGTGCAAATTGTTGGACTTGATAGGTTCACCAGCTTCCCAATAGTCGCTAATCTTTTCATGAATACATTTGTGGATAACATCTCAAATATACTTACACCTAAAATATGGCTAAGATATATTGATGATACTTTCGCTGTACTAAAACGATACCTACACAGGTCATTATTGCGGAAATTGAACATTGTGTCTCCCAGCATTCAGTTTACTTCGGAGGCAGAATCAGACTTTGGTGAGCTACTCTTTCTAGACTGCTTAGTTAAGAGGAAAGAAAATAGATGTTTTAGACATCTATACTCAAGAAGAAAACACACCGCAACAAATATTTAAACTTCGGACGATCACACCACATCAGTACGGAGTATCAGTTGTCTCAACTCTTGATTCAAGACAAAGTACTAAAGGAATCACAACCCGTTTGAGTCTATAAAATAAAATACTTGGAATGTGATGTGATATACATCAGACAAACCTCACTATAAATCAGGATTCGAAGAAATGAGTACCATAGAGCTGTTGTGGACTAAACGGCTAAGCTCGTTTATACACGAATAAAAAGGACTAAACAAATACAAAACATATACGTATGTAGAGAGAAATTCAGTCCCCACAAATTAATATACATATATAATACAGTTACTTGGTGATTTATAATTGTTCCAAAATACACAAATAAAAACGTAGAGACCTGCAGTAATGCATTAGTTATTCTCACTCCACTTAAGAGTATGCTAACAGCCTGAGGGTACCTGCGGAGAGAAAAGGAGAGTGAACCAAAGGATCCGAATGAGAATGTACGGATCAGATACGATCCAAAGATAATTGGTAATAGTGGGAAGCAAGAAGTTGGAGAGGGAAGTTGTGTCGTCCGTACTGCGTGCTGAACTAGGTGGTGTCCTTATTCAATCTCAATTGACAATCATGATGTGCAGTGAATTCATTATTTTTACTATTTTACGATGAGCTTATAATTTGATATTTTTTGGCCTCCACGGAGAAATCCAGTTGAACTAGAAAAGCTTGAAAAATCATCAGCCATAGGTCGTCTAAACGCTATAGAATCTGACCACAAAATTGATTTTCACAATATCGAAATCATCCGGAAAGAAAAATTTCAGGAGTCACAAAGGACGTCTAATATCAGAAGCACTTCATATCATTTAGAATCCAAACTGTCTGAATGGGAATGATGGACTAAAACAGAATTTGACCTGGTTGCAACAGCCCCTCCTGTCAACACAAATATGATAAGCAATCTCATTGTGTAAACACACGCTGTTTTTATAATTTCATACACTTATTAGATCCCACAATCTACATATGGCTTTACCAATAGACCAACTTGACAACGTAAAAAAGAATTCCCTCATGCTGAGGGAAGATGTTTAAGTTGCCGTTAATAAGCCGAGATTATAAAAGTCCTGGTTTAATATTACTTTGATAAAGCAATTAACACTACCTGGTGAAACGTCAGTAAGAACAACAATATCGTTCTGTTTTTCATTCATGGGGAAATACAGAAACTATTGTAATGATAAAGTTCTGCATTAAATTAAATCATATACTGACACTTTAGTTGGGAATTAAGACAAAATGTAAATTAAAAAAAAGTATAGGCTTACCGATATTGGTTTTCAGTCTAGCACCTCCATTTGTCCACGCTGCCTCTTTGATTCTTTCAATTTCCTGTTGATATTTACGTTTCTCCCTGATCATTTGCTCTTTCCCTTCTCTTAAAGCAGTTTCTAGGTCTTTGATACGTTCACAACTGGCTTTTAAACGTTTCTCCAGCTTAAAAGTGAAAGATTAAACTGAGGTATTAACTAATGTCCAAGTAGCCAATCGGCTGAACCGCTATATGATATTTCTCAACACTTAATAATCGTCTACCACCCTATAAAAGTTTCTTACGAGTTTTAAACTTCAGAGTTATATACACTGACTGTTGTTCTTATTGATATTACTGAAACTGAATAACTATTTAGAAAGTCCCTCCTAAACGATCTAATTACAGTGTGTACACTTATGTGGGTACCTCAAATAACTTTGCAATCATTATCAGTTTTTCTCCTAGACGGCATGTCATTGTTCTGACATTCGCATAACACATTGTGGTTTGATTCTTACTGTCCTAATCTGGTGGTTGTGTGATGATATTGGTAATGTGTCATTTCACGATGTGATGTGACCTTGGACTGTCTGCGAGAATTATTTGGTGTATGCGTCGGTGGCAAAGTGGTTAGGACTCTCGCCGACCATGCACATGGTCCGGGGTTCGAGCCCACACCGGCGCACACCTGATATCTATGATCGGCCTGCAAAATTTGGGCTACCGATATCCATGCTGAAAATTCCATACTTGTACCAAAACTACAGTGTGGAATCAAGCTGTAAATCAAAAATAACAAAAAAATAAAAATAAATAAATACTCTGGACAGAGTTCTTAATCCCACCTCGTTGGGATTCTAAGTTACTTCTTGCAGTTGAATTTTGGTTAACTGATTTTCTTGTACAGTACTTGTTTTGTACTTAAAACGTTAGCTTGTTGGCACATCTGTCTAACTGCACTGTTTTGGTAATTTTGGATTTTTGACGTTATAATTGTTGAATAGAACCATAGATCTATCGGTAGTTAATCGTCTTTGTGCTATCTTTGGAGCGTTTGTCACTTAGCGTGACTCAAGGAAGTATTGTCAGTTATATAATAAGACGCAGAGATCAGTTCGCTGAGTTCAGACCACAACGAGCTGGTTTTGGTCCCTACAATTATTGTTGTTTCGGTCAGGCAGTTGAACTTGCTATCAATTTCACCCCATATATGCATTACGTTGATAAAAACTAAAAGTTTAGTACCATTTCTTAAGGTAAGAACATTTTGTAACAAGAAGTTCAACAAATATCGACACTTGTTAACATTTTTTCGACTAATGATGAAAATTTTTTCACTGATATCACAGACACTCAAGTTGCAATTAATAAGCAGTAACCTATAGCTGCATCATCTTCAAATTTGGTTGACGTCCAATAACCACATATGGGTTGAAGGCCAGTATACGCGTACCAAAGTACCATCATATTTATTGACAACACACAGGAGTCAGACAAGGGAGCTTACTATCACCAATGATATTCCTAATTGTGGTGAACTGACTGGATTATGCGTCAGACAGTGGAAAACGAGAAACGGACAGAGACATCCTGGACCGACGTGAAGAACCTAGAAGACCTGGATTTCGCGTGTGGATGATTTATGTTTGATGTCACTGTCACAAAATCGAAGACTTACAAGCGAAAACCGACAAACTGGTCGAAGAGGCAGCCGGTGAAGACAGGACTCCAGGTGAACATAGACAAGACGGAGGTGATGAAAATAACCAACCAACAAGAACGGCAGAAACATCCAGCGTCAATCACCATCAACGGGAGGGATTTGAAAGAGGTTACTTCATTTACTTATCTAGCCAGGGAGCATTGTCTCAACTACAGGAGGAGCGGACGAGGATGTCAAATCGAGAATCGGGAAGGCGACAAACACATTCATCAACCTGACTGAAACCAATCTGGAAATCTTCGTCACTGAGCCAGCACCACCAACAAAATTCGATCGGATTTTCAATACAAACGTCAAGTCAGTTAGTTCTTCTATACGGATCAGAAACTTGGCGGGTCACAAAGAATATTTCCAAATGGTTGCAGACCTTTATTAACAACTGTCTTCGCTCTATACTGAAGATCAGATGGCCGGGCCGGAAAGAATCACCAACAAGGAATTATGGGAACAAACAAAGCAAGAACAAACCAATCGTCCAACAAATATGCAGTTGGTGAAAGTGGAGAGGGATCGGACACTCGCTGAGGAGACCGCTGGGTGACATCGCACGTCGGGCCATCGCTCGAGTGGAACCCGAAAAAGAAGTGGCGTGTGGGACGTCCAAGGGTGATATGGAGGAGATCGTGTGAAGAGGAGTTGAAAGAATATGGACTAACATGGATGCAGGCGAAAAGTACAGCAGAAGACAGAAGCAAATGGAGACGTGCAGTTGAAGCCCTATGTTCCACTAGGAACTCAAGGGAGCAATAATAATAAAATAATGTTTTTAAAATCCCGACTCTATTCTGACTTGATCTCTGCTTGATTTTGAAATATAGTAGGTTGAATTGAGAAAGTTTAATGTCAAACTTTACATTCTTCTCAACTTTGATCATAAACTGACTTCAGCTAGAGAACCATTGTAAACCAGGGAGTACTGAACAGCTGTTTCATCCAAGCTTGGGACTCTTTATCAGTACGCACTCATAACTCCCACCCAGGAGTGAACTCAGGACTTCTAGATTACAAGGATGACTCGTATGCCATTCAGCCACTAGGGAGGAATTTAGTAGCTCTGATTGTTTTATGTTCAATTGCAGCTGTAGTCAGGTCGCTTAGGATGAACAGTTTCAAGCTAGGACGAAACAGCTGTCCAGTACTCTTTGGTTTACAAAGATTCTCTAAATCAAGTCACTGTGTGGACAAAAGTGAAATTAACCAAATCCCTGTTGGTGTTTTGTTTATTTAAAGAAGGGAAAGTAAGACTTATAATTGTTAAACCATCAAATTCAAAATAACAAAAAAAAGTAGAAAATAAATCCACTTACTTTTGGCAAATCACATCGTAGATCAGCATTATCACGTACAAGTTGTTTGTGTACTTTAGTTAAATTATCTAAACTAGTTTTTAAGAAGTTAATTTTTTCTCTTTGAACTGCACTACCGTAACTTTGAGTTTCTTCTAGTAGTTCATCTTCTGGATTATTGCCAGACTTTGAGTTAAGCTAAATATTATTTGTAAAAAGATATTTTACAATGAGATTAGAAAAATATCTAACAGTAATTTGATGATATTAGATGGTTAGAGGCAGTGGGTAGGAAGCCTTGGACAAAGGCTTCGTGCTAGTTGGCACTCATCAGCAGGGCCTATCTGTTACGTGGAATGGTGGGAAGAGTGAGCTGATCTACATACTGGACCATAATTTTGCATTTTTTGGTCGAGATGATCAACAGTGTCCCACTCCATCATGCTACTCACTATTTCCAATGTAAAATAAACAAGTGGCGCTGATACAAAATACTATTTTTCATGAATATATTTTCCTTCCTTTAAACAAGAATGTATAAAAATAAAAGAAGACAACCAATAAAACTGTGCAGAATGTGATGTATATGTAGGAAAAACTTTTAGACAGGTGATTGTAAGAGTGAAACAGCATAAAATGGTAGATCCAAATACCTGTGAAGATTTGAAGAAACTAGAAAGCAAATCAGCGATCGCATTGCAATCGATAGAAGTGGGATAACAAGATCGATTATGATAGAATCAGGGTTCTACAGAAACTTTCTAGTTCATATAATGAAAGACTGACTGCAGAAACCTTACATATATGAGTGAATCCCGAAACGTTGAGCAGATGGGACGGTGTGATGTTTCCCACGTCCTGATTAATACATAAAACGGACGCGTATCACTAATTTCGCATGTTCAATCCATTTTCCCGATTATATCTTCCTATAGAAAGGTTAACAAATGATATACGCTCGTTCTCCCATCCATACACACATTATTGAATAAGGCGTGCTTATATTATTTTCATATCCAGTTATCCATGAGCATGAACTCTAGTCGAACATGGTAAATGAAGTCTAATACAAAAGTACACACCGTTTACAGCGTATAATAAAACAGACTAAGAATAAGTTTGCAGTCAAATTTTGGTCAGAGTTCACATAACTTTGCTTATTTTCTTTGGTGTCTATTCATGACTCACATAACTGCTCGAGATGGACTTTACAGTCATATTAGAAGTCTTTTCTATGATAGGGAAACTAATGGGACCACCTCTGTAGCCTTTGACTTGAAGCCTAGTCCACAAGGCAGTTTAGAAATGTCAGGAGCTAAGTTTTCATGGTTTCCAGTGATTAGAACAGGTTCACACACACCATTCGATTATTTCAGAATCTGTATTCCATGTACACCATAGGTTTGGTATCGAGGTTTTCCAGTCCCCTTAAGTAGATGTGCATTTCCACCAGTCTGGCTATAAGTGACAGATGTTCAAATTCGTTATATCACTTTTGTGAGGAACTTTCCCCATTGTATGAAGGCATTGAATAGATATTACCTGGCAAAGACTATGAACGCATAGACAAATGACAGCATTCGGATAGGAAAATAGAGGCTCTGACAATCTCATCTGTACCAGGTTGTTTACAGGGAATTTTAACTTGAATAAAACTGTCTCTTTAGACAGAATGAAGTGTTTTATAATACACCAGATGTTTGTGACTGTCGTTGATTTAAACGACTTCTAGTAGTTATCATTATGCTATATTTACTGATATTGGAAAAAAAAATAGAAAGCATTAAGACCTACTTTACTAATTCTAGTTTTCAAATCAGTTACGAACACTTTTCTTAACGAGTTTAAGATTTGTAATTCATGCAGGACAGTATCTTCCATTGACTTAATTTCATTGTATGCTTGATCTTTTTCCATGGTTAGCGGATCTTTAATTATCACTTCTTGATCACATTTTTTTCCACGCAAGTGTTCAACTTCCTTCATCAAACGTTCAATTTGATGCTTGAATATTATATTCTCTCTAAATAAAAAATAATTTCAAATTATATGGGGTGAATAATAATACTAGCGGTCGCGCTATGTCGTGAATTGGCAGAAGTTAGAATTCAAGGACCATTGGATCGGGTCCCAGTGGCTTAATGGTATACAAGCTCGCCTTGTAACCGGAAGGTCCTGGGTTCGAATCCCGGTGTGTGCGTACTGCTGAAGAGTCCCAAACTAGGACGAAACAGCTATCCAGTACTCCCAGGTTTTCCAATGGTTCTCTAACTAATGTCAGCTCATGATGAAATCCTGAAACCAATCAAATCCCTACAAACCAACACTTGAATACTTAAGAAATTACTTTTTGTAAATCTTACTGGAGGTTGACACTGAAAACACTATTTTTATTTATTTGGGTCAAAGTTAGTGTTAACATTTTCTGTGGTGTTCTTCATTGAAATAACGGAGTGTATTATTTTTGCTGGTTTAAATGAATCAATTTATTCAATTCCATATGGTTTTCAGTTCAATAGGCACACTTTTAAATGAGTTTTACCACTTTATATTTTTATTTCTTTTACTATCTTTAAGTGCAGAAGCTGTTCTCATTGTGATAATATATACGATTGATTGCCTGATTGACTGACTGAGTAGTTGGAAGCCACTCATATCAACTACTAATACTTATTGACCAGGTTGATCTAAACAGTGGACGGCAGTTTCACTCCTTTAAGGTCGACTCCATCAGTGGTGTACGGGGTTCGATATAGCTGAGACAACCAAGTCAGTTCAAACTACCTGAATGCTCTCGAGCTACTCCAGTGAACTAATATTTTACATGGAAACATAATCATCATTTGCAAACTACACAGTCAGAGGTATTAGAAAATTTCAGACCATAATTGTACGCCGGTGGCACAGTGGTTAGGACTCTCGCCGACCATGCACATGGTCTGAAGTTCGGTCACCTGCCGACTCACACCTGATATTTATGGTTGGCCTGCAAAATTTGGGCTACCGATATCCATGCTGAAAATTCCATACCTGTACCTGTGGAATCAAGCTGTGAATTAAACAATATCCAGATCACAGTGTATAGTCTTCTGGTTTTTCCGCTATAATTGTATAATTCATTATATAATTATTCCCTTGGGTTCCGAGTGGAACATAGTACTTCAACATAACATCTCCACCTCGTCCTATTCTCTGAAGCCCTCTTCATCTAACCCATGAGCACCCATAAGCTTTCATTTACTTTTCACACGATCTCCCTTGTGTAACCCTCGAACGCCCAATTCGTCATTTCCTATTCGAGTTCTACTCGACGGCACAGCACGTGATGCCATTCAACGGTTTCTTCAGCCTGCGTCTTATCCATCTCCATTTTCCTCGGAATATTTGTTGATCAGTAGGTTATTGGTTGGTTTATTTCCAGAGTTTGTTGTTGCTAATCCTTTTTTGGCCGGCCATTTGATCTTCAGTATGAAACCAGTGAAGGTGGCTGTTGGTAAAAGTCTGAAATCTGTTAGAAATGCTTTCGTTTACATGTCAAGTGTCTGAATCATAAAGAAGAACTAACTAACTTAACACTAGTGTTCAAAATCTGAATTTCGTTCTTAATACTGAGTGCGGAAGGCCTGATCACAGATTTAAAAGTGATGAAGGTTTGTAATGCCGTTCAGACTGTGGTTTCGACATCCTCATCAGTGCCACCACCTGTAGCTGAAAAGATGCTGCCCGGTCAGATAAGTAAACAAAGTGACGTTTTCCAAATCTCTCCCATTAATAATGACTGATGCTTGTTATTATTGTTTGTTGGCTGGCTGTCCTCATTTTTACTTGAAGTTCTGTGTTTGCTACTTCTTCTACCAGTTTGTTGGTTTTCACTTGTAATTCTTCTATTTTATTTGACAGTAAGCACAAATCTTCAGCAAAGTCTACATCTACTAGGGTTTTCTTATCGGTCCAACATATTCCTGCCCTCTCACATCTAACAGTCTCCTGCGTAATCCAGTCCACAAATTTGTTCTCAGTGTGTTCAGGACTTCATTACCCAGTAAATTGTTCTGCTTTTTTATTATGTGATATATCCAATAGACAAATTAATGTAAAAGCAAAGATATTTTTAATTATGACATTTATTATTCTAGTAAGCAATGCTGTGTATCCGCCTAAATCTTATATGACTTCACATCAAATTACCAGTCTTCAGCATATGCATGACCAGTATTATATAATAATCTCAATCAAAACATGTATTGATGCCTTTACTACTTTATTATACCTTACATGGTCTAACACTATTTAAAAAATTATCAGTAACATTTGCATAACTCAGAAATTCAAACATAGTGACTGAAAGAAGCTTTTTCTTACTCTTTAATTTGTTCACATTCATGAACAGCTTTTTCACAATCTCCCCATGCTCGTGTCAATTGTTGCTGATAATGCTGACCATTGCGTTCAATCATAGACTGTACACGTGAATAGATTTGTTCATGATTGCTTTCAGCAAGTTTAATTTCATTGATCAAATTATCATTCATTCGTAGCTTAAATAATTCTTTACTTGCTTCTTGTAAATCACCTTCTAACTTTGCATTGTCTTCTTCACGTTTACGAATATTTTTGTCATATTCAGAGATAATATCATGAAGCTGATGATTAAAACATTGATTATTTTTGTCGTGATTTCATTCCACATATTGAAGAGAAAAAAAGGTTTCAAGAGAAACTAATATTTAAATATGCGTAATATTCTACCAGACACCAAACATGAGATGAGTATCATTATTAGCAATACACAAAAATCTAATCTGTTGTGCAGATAAGCTGACAACACAGGTCAAGAAGATAAAATTCCGGATTGTACAGAATAGTAGAAAAAAATTAAAGCTGCAAAAACCAACAGCTAACGCATGTAGTACACGACTTACAGTAAAAGACATCTTACTAGACCATCAAAATACATTTAAATAAATGTGTTCAAGTTTTAATTCTATAATGTCATGAGGATACTGAAACGCAGCAGGGAAGACAACAAGATCAGAGGAGATCCTTACGGAAGCATTGAGGATGGATTCAGAGACAGGATGGTGTATGCTTATGCCTCTATTGCAAAACATATGGAAGAAGGGAAAAGTACCTACTGATTGGAAGAAAGGCTACCTTATCTAACTACCAAAGAAGGGAGAATTAGGCCTCTGAAAAACTGAAATAGGATCATGCTGTTGTTCAATCCAAACAAAATATTCAGTCACGTCATCCTACAAAGATTGAAAAATGCACGAGATGTGTAACTCCACACAGAACAAATTGGATTCAGGGAAAGTAAATCATGTGGGATCAAATCACAAGGTGACGCATCATCATCATCATCATCGAACAGAGCATAGAATGACACTCAAATCTCTACCTGAACTTTTAATTAACTTTTCGAAAACCTTCTACAGTGTTTACTATGAAGAAGTTTGGAAACTGCTTCAACAATATAGAGTGGGCTAAGTCTTTACCAACCCCATCCAGCAGCTATACAACGCTGCTACATGCTGAATGATTCGTAATAGGAAACTCATTGAAGCCTTAGAGGGAGAGACAGGGGTAGAAAAATGCTGTCCACTACCATCGATGATCTCACAAACTGCACTCGACTGGATTATACAACAGACAGCTGAGAGTGTGAAGAAATAAATACGTTGGACAGATGAGAAAATACCCAAAGATCTGAACCTTAAGGATGGTATATGTCTGGTGACACACAAACTCAAAGACCTTCTGGCGGAAACCAGTAAGTTGGCAGGAAAACAGTTGAGATAAGACTTCAAGTGAACATTGAGAAGACAGAGGTGATGAAGGCACAAACTAACAACAATAAGGAACAATGATTGTTAGCGGAAGAAATCTAAAGGAAGTTACCACTTTCACTTATCTGACCAGCATTGTTTCAACTACAGGCAGTACGGATGAGGATGTCAAAGCCAGTCAGTATCGAAAGAGTAAAACAAACCTTCATTTATCTGAAATCATTGTGAAAATCTTCTGCACTCAGCGCAAAGAACAAGATTCGCATTGTCAACACTAATGTCAAGTTAGTCAGTGCTTCGTTACGGTTCAGTGACTTGGTGTATCACGAAAGGCATTTTTAACACACTTTAGGCTTTTATCAACAGCTGTCTTCTCTTGTTCCATAATGAAGATCACATGGACGGCGAGAAAGAATAAGGAGCATGGAACTCTGGTGACAAACCAACCGAAAACGTATTGCCCAATTGATATACCCAAGGAAATGGAGATGGATCAGACACACCCTGGGTTGAGGAGACAGTTGGACGAAATTGCGCGCCAGGGAACCCTAATGGGGAACGTCGATTAAGGTTTTCGTGGATGATATAGAGGTGACAGTGTGGGGAGGAGATGACATCTTATAGGCAACCGTGAGGCCAGCTAAAGAGGATTGAAGATAACAGGATGAAGTGGATGTGTTCCGTTGATGTCCTACTCGGAACTCAAGGGAATAATTATAATAATTTTGTGTTTGAATTACCCAGCAACATGTCTTTTGTCCTCAGTCAAGCGCTCTGATAGACATAGATACAATAAAATGTATTTTGAAACACTATGTGCTGAAAGGCTCGCGCCAATATCTGCAGTCATGAGACACATGATTTTCACCTTACTATAAATACTAAATGTAAAATACTGCATTTGAGCATCTCGCTGTAGCCCATTATACTAATTTGTATTGACTTATCAGTGAGAATTACTATCTCAGCATTTGCTTCATGTTAATGATGACGGCTAATACTCGTTTGTAAGGATTAGATTTGTTTATACGAGTTTGGCCACTGTTTGGCATCAGTTAGAGAACCATTGAAAAGCAGCACTGGAGTACTGGACAGTTGTTTCATCCTAGTTTGGAAATCATCGCCAGTGCGCAGCCACTGGGGTTCGAACCCAGGACCTTCCGGTTACAGGGAAAGCTCGTATTTCATTTTTAAAGCAATTTTTTTCCACAAGAGTCTATTTGGCTTCCAGATACTGCTTAATAAATTCTATAATTAAGAGTAGAACACACAAAACTCACTAAGGATGCTAAAAATATATGTTTATGTATCTCAATAATGAGGAAAATTTGGAGAACATATTGGACTTCTCCAACAGTTGCCATCCAGCAATCCAGTTCACACTAGAGAAGGAGTCCAACGCAACAATATCTTTTCTGGACGTGCAACTAGCAAGACGCGAACAAGATGGGACACTCAAAAGATCCATTCATAGAAAACCGACATGGAATGGACAACTCATCAGCTTTCACAGTTGGGTGCCTATATATACAAAACGAAATCTGATCCGCTCACTGACTCACAGAATCCACAACATTTGCAGTCCGGAAACTATAGAAGAAGAGCTGAAGACCCTGAAAAGAATCCTCCTTGAAAACAGTTACCCGGAACGTTTCATCCCAAAAGCTATGAAGCCCAAAACACAAGTTAACTGGGAAATGTCTCTAGAGAAGGACGTCCACGTCTATGATCTCAGGTGAGTAAATAGGTACTTCAGTGAAGGAACATGTAAGAAAGCTGCAGCGAAATAAAGATTTAGAAATAGGATGTAACCTTCTATGGTTTTTTGGATTAAATTAAACTTCCTTTCTGACTCATGAGGTACTTATGCAGGTTTCCATCATTATGCCATTATGGATAATAATGACTATTTGCTTTTCATGCAATCAAATTAGCATCTAATTTTCGACTTGCTACTTTTTAGATTCCGGTTTTAGTACGGAGAATTAGTATTCGGTTTCCCAGTGAGCAGATACCTGTTAATATAATAGTTGAGTAAAATACTGAAATATCTTTCCGCCATGCTCCCCCAGACATAAGATTTTCAAAATGATTTTACTAAATGATCAGCCATAGTGTTATAAGAATTCGTTCTAAGAATGGATCTCACCAACTGTCTATTCGTCCATATTTGAAATTAATAATAAATTAGTGGTTGGATCTTTCAGCTCATAAGACCATCAAATACATACAGCATGCACACATACTTTCGACTTACTTCTCTGATTTTTCTGTCAGTATCATGTTGTATCTCTGTGATTTCCTCTTGAGTATGTTCTTTCTTGTGTGATTTATTTGAATTCATTTCTTTAAGTGATAATTCAGCTTCACACTTCATTTGAAGAACATACAGTTTAAGTGCAGCTGCTTGTTCTTCAAGACTCTGAAATACCTTTGGTTTTGTGTACTGAAAAGTTGGATAAGAGAAATGGAAATCATTTTCAATCATGGTTCTCTAACTGATATCAATCCGTAATCCATTCGTAAAAACAAAACTAACCCTTACAAAGCAAACTGTAGAATATTAATCTGATGCTAGCTAGTGACTTGCTACAGGATTGAGTTTCCTGGAGTGCTAGTGAGAAATCGTGACCAGTGAGGTCCATCCAGATGTCACGTGTGAGGATGAGTGTCCCACCAACGACAATGGTTGGGGTTGCGCTAAATCACGAATTAGTAGAAGTTAGAATTCATGAGCCATTGAATCAGGTCCCAGTACCTGGATGGTATACGAGCCAGCTTGCCTTGTAACCCGGTGGTCCTGGGTTTGAACCCTAGCGGTGGGTGCGTACTGCCGTTGATTCCCAAACTAGGATGAAACAGCCGTCCAATACTCCAGTGCTGGTTTTCAATGCTGAAATCAATCTGTGATCAACTTGTAAAAAACATAAAGCTTTCTCTTAACTGAAGCTTTTAGTTGAAATGTGGGTCTTCGTTTAAGGAGTAAGGATAGTGTTCATTTCCTTTCTTAGTGAATTAAAGTCAGCGCTACTAAGAATGAAGACTTCCCAATATTGACAACGGTCGGTTTGACTAAACAAAAAATGTAAGGGATATATTTTCAAACACAATCAGTGTTGCATTGTGCTTTTAGCTTTTCTAAAACTCATATTTTTTAATACTATTAAAAGAAAAGACGTTCAGCGGAGAGTTAGTCCTCTTAATGATGTCATCCTCAAACTGTACTGTCGTTTTGTATATATAGTAAAATGTCTTAGCAACAACAGGAACATTTGCAAAGGTGCGTCACTATAATTGTCAATTTTAGATAACAAATTACATAATGTGAAAGTGTTATTTGGGTAGAATTATTATTATTGTTCCCTTCAGTTCCGAGTGGAACATAGGGCTTCAACAATACATCTCCACTTTGTTCTACTTTTTGCCATCCTCTTCAACTGGGTCCGCGATTGACCAAACTCTCTCATCTCATCCTCACCACATGACCTCCCAAATGTCACCCTAGGACGACCCAATCATCGCTTCCCGTTTAGATTCCACTCAAGCTACGGCTTCAATTCTGCGCGATGTCATTCGACAGTTTCCTCAATGCATACCCAATCTATCTCCATTTTCTCCTAGATAATTTGCTAAGCGATCGGCTCTTGGTTGTTCCGTTCCTGCAGTTTTTTGTTACTTATTCTCTTTAGACTGCCGTCTGACCTACAGTATGAAGACAGAGAAGGCAGCTGTTGATGAAAGTCTGCATCCTGCTGGTAATCCTTCTCGTTACACGCTGACCAAGTTTCTGACTCGTATAGAAGGACCATCTTGACATTGATGTTGATAATCCGAATCTTATTCTTTGTGCTGGTTGAGTGCAGAAGATTTCCAAACTGCTTTCAGGTTGATGAAAGAGTATCTTGCCCTTAGGATTCTGGTTAACTTTGATATTTTCATCCGTTCCGCCTGTAGTTGAAATTATGCTTCTTAAATAACTGAAGGAGGTCACCTCTGTCATATCTCTCCCGTTGGATAGAGATCGGTAATCGGTTAGAGACTAAAATAAAATTAAATAAGTAAGCTGAGTGACGTATTATAGTTGATGGGATTGAGTAAAATTTAAATAAAATGTGACGAAAGTCAAGTTATCAACACTAGTAATAAGGGGTAGAAACTTATAGGAGGTGAGGGAAGAACATGATACAACTAAAATACAAAAAGAAATTATTCATACAGTGTAGGTTTAACAGCTGAAAAAACTTCTGTATGCTGAGTTTATGACTTAACATGTGAATTACTACCGTTTCCGTTGTTTGAATAACTTTGATTCGGACTCCTTTATCAAGATTCCTGCGTATTCTATAGATGAACTACAAGTTGGCTTGAGGGTTCACTTGGTGTCCAGATTCGGACGTGTATTCCAGAATAGAGCTGGGGAGGGAAGAGGTAAGTATTCAATGATATGTTTGGATTGAAAACTTTGAGCCCTATATGAACAGGTGAATTGACTGTGACACATTGATTAGGCCAACAGTGGTAGCTTATCCTTCAAGGTTAACGTGAATCTTTGGTTTTGTAGAGAAATTCTATTGAAGTTCATCCACGAAGATGGCTTTTTCAATAAAACAGACAGTCAGTTTCTAAGTATTTCTTCCGATGAATCTTCATTCAACAGTAGATTCAAGTAGAGAAGTCTTTTGATATGATGATAAGCCAATATGGTCTTAAGCATTTTTAAAGTATCTTACTACAGCAGATTATCATAGTTTCGAGGTTTCTATCTTTCTGTTTACTAAGTTTTTCGACGTTCTATTTCACAATAAAAGCCACACCTTGATCAAACACGTTATAAATTAGACTAGTATCCATTTAAGGAGCTTCATTCACATTTTTATACTGTTTCAATTTATTCATAAATTATACTTACTCTTAAGTTTTTACTTATATACGATCCTACTTCACCAAGTTCCGAAGAGATTACTTGCAGGACATCTTGAAGTTTTTCACAAACTTTTCTTGATGCTTCTTTTGTCATCATTATTTCAGATTCGTGAGATTCAGCCTGTAATTTAAGTTGATCTAACTCCCCGTTCAACATTTCAATCTCTTTATTACATCGTTTTGTTTCATTATTCTTTGCATCGTATGTAATAGCCAATTCTTCAAGTGCATGCAATACATCTTTTACTTCTGAACGACTTTCTTCAGCTGTCCTCTGTAATATAAAAGTTCCATAGCAAAGAAAAATATAGTATCTTCATAATTTAAAATGAAAACTAGTTAAATATATGCCATTTCCAACCAGCTTTATGAAGGGAACAACTGCAAAAAATTGACTAAGTCAGTGAATGATTTATTATGTGCATTATAATATGTCAAAATACTTGCTATTCCCTGCTCAATTTTCGGTTAAACATTGACAAGCAGTTAACCACGTCATATTCATAAGCTTTCATGTTCCTTTAAAGATTATACTATAGATTTGTCTCTTTGTTCGATGTAACGTGGACTTTGATATACCCGACTTATTGACCTGTTTGTTTTTTATACCTAGGTATAGAACAATTTTGAGATATGATGATTTCCCTTTTAGACGACAATTAGGATTTGAATAAAAAAGGATCTTATAGAATATCACTAGTCAGTAAATTTTGACATATCAACGGAAATCCTAAAAGAATTGTTATTAAGGTGTAACATGAATGTAAATTCAAATTTGATTACACACTTTACAGACAAGTAGACGGTGGCGATAGGCTCCCTATTGGGTCCTATTTTGGCAGATCTCTTTCTAAGTAAACTAGAAAATGGACCTTTGAATAACCTTATCAGAAAATTCTCATTATATATATATATATATATATATATATATATATATATATATATATATATAAAGAGTGAGAAGATACGAAGTGTCGAGGTTATGTCAAGAAAAAATGGCTTAATTATAAACGGAAAGACACGAAGAAGATAAATAGCACATCATAGGGAAAAATTAGTCTCCAGAATCTTTGTCGGGTAGTAGTCTTCACAGTCTAAACGAATTTGTCTAACTGGAGGTTCTCAGACAAATACCAAAACCAACTAGCTCAGTGCCTTAATACTTTTAGGCGGAATCTATGAATAGTTAGTTAACTAACACACCACTGTTTGTTGTCATCAGTCTCGTATTGACCTGTCAAATTCTTGTTCTCACACGATGTCGAATACACATGGATTTCGGGTAGACTAAATACAATTACATAGATTTAGTGTGTGTCGGTGGCTCAGTGGTAGAATGCTCGTTTACCGTCCAGGTGGTCCAGGATTAGATCGACGACCGATGAATCCCTAAAGCCTCTCTTAGTCGGTAGTTAGGTCAGTATGGATGGAAAGTTGTAAGTGAGGCTAGCAACCCAATTTGGCGTAAAAATAAAACCACTACCAATGGAACTTCAGAACTCAAGCTTGAAGTCCTATTTTCCGCTAAGAAAGCATAAGAATAAAATGAAATATTTGTGCTTCAATTAAAAGATGGATGAAATTCACTTCTTGATGTTAGTGAGGTCATCAAGTTTTTGATTTACTTGCTAATCTGTGGTGGAATAAATTATCAAGTTTTTCTCCATGGACATATTTATTGTGCTAAATGTAGATCGCATGTATGTAATTTCTGATGTTTTTTGCTTGGTAATAAAAAAGTGCAGCTAAACATGAGAACACCCATGATGCGACTAATTCAGTGAAATTTTGTACATGTATCATAATGAATAATGAAGCTCCTTACCCCTGATTTGATGTAGTAGTAGTAGTGTGGTGAGAGCAGGCTGCTAGCCGATTGGTTGGCACTAATCTACGTTAAGGTCTAGGTCACTAATATGGGCCGTGAACAAGGCTGAGTCAACAACCAATCACAGCGAAGTTAACGTGGCAAAATATGATTCGCAGATAGAGAACTCTGTTTGTCAAGGAATCCCGAAGCAACCAATCAGAAGCCTGCGTTTGTCTACCTAAACAACCAATCAGATGACTGCGCTTGTCTATAATAATGTTGTCTGAAATATGTATAAATACGTGTTGATTTTCATAATAAAACGATCTGTTGCCTGGCCCTTGTCTTCTGTTGTTACAGTAGTAGTAGTTCCAGTGCTCTTAGTCTTTCTACATCGGCCTGAATTACCATGGAGGATGAATACTTCTGCTAGATTCATGCGGAAATCATTTCAAGCAAAATTGAAACACTGAAGAGGTACAAAACTACGGAAAATTGTCTGGATGAGCCAGTGAGAAATATGTGAACACCGACGGAAGACTACTGTTGTTGTTATGAGATGGTTGGAGGCAAACAGCAGGAAGCCTTGCTCGACTTAGGTTTCGTGCTTGTTGGCACTCGTCAGAGAAACGCATTTGCAATCTTAAAGGAACCTCTGTCCCTTCCGACACTCAAACCCGTGTCACCCAGTTCTGCAGCTAGAGACGTTACTATTGTTCTATCCGGGCTCGCTTGACTGATAGAATTCAGCCTGAAGTAATCAATGGACTAGACACATGAAACTAGTTCGTGTCCAATAACAAGTACTACTGTATTTAGAAAAGGTAACAACCAGCCCTCAAAAACAGCTTACCTGAGCTTGTTCATATAAATTCTGTAATTTTTCATTTTCTTGTTTAATTCTTGTATAATCACTTTGTAATCCAGCTAACTGACTTTCTAGTTTTGTAATAATTTGACCTTGTTTATTGATCTCATCATCTTTTTCGTCAAGCAATCGAAATAACTCACGTATATCAGCATCATTATTTATTTCTGTAACTGGACAACTGCCAGTGAGTTTCTTGAGGGAATGATCGAAATTGAAGGAATAGTTTGAAGATAAAGTAACAGAAATACCTACATATTACTTATATTAGTAGGTAGAAAAAAAGTAAATTTTCTAGCAAAACATTAATATATACATAGATAAGTATAGGACTTTGTGGAGAGAGGTGTACACCCAATGGTGTTGCCATAATTTGATTTCATAGTACCCACACCAATTGGACGGATAATGCTCAGTTAACTTTGACTCATTATACAATTATATATTTACTAGTGTCACGTTTCGAAAACTAGGTTAGTCGCATAGTATTTCAACATATGTAAGTGACTTTGTGGCATAAAACACTATGGCGTGCATATTGAGGTTTATGATGCACTCAAAATAGGCATTATTAGTGAAACAAGTGGCAAAGATACACTTTATGATAATTTAATGAATTATGTAGACACGTGTTCACAAGACTTGTAAAATCCTTCACCCAAGGATTTCATTTGCAGTCGTCCTATAATCCTAATGCTTTGTAACTTTTCGTTCTTTAGGTTAGCACAATCATTTTTATTGAATTTTTTTGATTTTCCCGACTGGACCGAAGTGCTCAGTCTCAGGTTGACATGTCCGTTGGCTTCTTGTGCAGATGCTTCGACGATGTCTGGGCATTTAATTATTATTTAATTGGTGGATGGTGACTAGCAGTGGAATCCAGGATGCGCAATTCGTCCTATTTTCGGGACTCGTCAGAGGTGGCTCTCGTGGCCCAAGTGGTCTAGTGGATAACGCTTTGGCGTTTGACATTATGGGCGTTGGGTTCGACCCTCAGTGAGAACATCATCACTCACTGAGAAATGCAGGTACATCCAAGTGACGAGTCCCAAATAGGACGAAATGCGCATCTTAGATTCCGCTGCTAGTCACTATCCACCAACTAAATTAGCACTATCATTATTATTAATATTATTACTACTCCCTTAGGTTCCGAATGAAACACACGGTTCCAACAGCACATCCTATTTCCTCCTATTCTCTACAATGGCCTTCAATTGGCTCCATGGGTGACTATGTAGTCTCACCTCCCTCTCACCTGATCTCTTCTTAAAACCCTCAGATGCCCTATTCATCATTCCCCACTCAGGTTCAATTTGGGGTCCTGGTACAGGATGTCACTCAGTGACCTGCTCAGAGTATTTCCGATCCATCCCCATTCTCTTCGATACATATTTAGGCATGACGTCTTGTCTTCAAAGCACACTGATGAACAGTTTAAATAAATCAGCTATCTGAAGAAAGTGTTTCTGTTCAACTACCATCTGCCATATTCTAGATAGTCATTGTTAGCATAGTTCATTTAATCATAAACTTGAAACTTTCAAACGAATTTCATTTTAAGGAACATTTATCCTGTTTATTCGAAGCACGTTATTATTGTAGTGAACACTTTAAGGTTCTTGTTAAAATATCCATATATCTTCAAGAATTTGCCATCAATTATCTTTTTTTTTCAAAACAACTGGACATATTCCTAATGTCTTATAGTATTCTGCTTCTCTAAAGTTTAGTATACATAGTTAATTTCACCATCTGTTGATAACCTGAATGCTGACTTAAGAGTCTATCAAGAACAGACTAATTCTATCAGTCAGCCTGCGCCAGACAAAGGACTAGACGCATCACTTTAGTTACCATCTAGCATTTAATCAAAGTATCCATTATAGTCCTAAAGAAGGTCAGTCGTGAGCCCGAAACTGCTCAGTGGGGCTGTCTATGACTGCAGCACAAAGTGACCTGTCTTAATGTCAGAAGAGTCATGAGTTCCTTCAAGAATGCATATACGCCCTGTTGAAGAATACCGGAAATTACGAAACTTATGTCCAAGACTTCCCGGCTATTTCCTCCTACCATCCAGCAACAGAAATTTATGATTTGAGTAGTAATTTGGTTTGCTTCTGCTTTAAATATCTGCCTCTCACTTTGATCCATTGACGAGGTAAGTTATGTTGCGTTTTTTAGCGAAAAATTTTATTGTCGAATTCAAGTGTTGGTTTGTAGGGATTTGATTTGTTTACAGGATTTAATCATGAGCTGACATTAGTTAGAGAACCATTGGAAAACCTGAGAGCACTGGACAGCTGTTTCGTCCTAGTTTGAGACTCTTCATCAGTACGCAACCACCGGGGTTCGAACCCAGGACCTTCTGGTTACAAGGCTAGCGAGCTCGTATGCCATTAAGCCACTGAGACCCAATCCAATGGCCCATGAATTCCAACTTCTGTCAATTCACGACATAGCGCGACCCGTAGCCAATGTCTCCGGCGAATATTTGTCCTCACACCTGACCTGCTGCACCCTACTGGGCACGACTTCTCACTAGAACCCCAGGTAATTGTTAAATTCAGTGTAATTAGTTGATGTTTTGAAGTGTCTATTTATCTGGACATTATCTGGTTAAATGTGTGTGTACGTAAAGCAGAAACGAATTTAGGCGGATGTATAATGAGTCTTAAGTAACAAGGCTGGTTCACTGCACTCAGGGATAAATGTACGTCATTCATATTATATTATTATTCCTATTAGATTTGAGGAGCAACAAAGAGCTTTAGCAGCACGCCGCCATTTCACTCAATTCTCTACAGTTTTTTTTTTAGAAGAGCCAATGGTTACCCATAAGCTTTCATTTCCCCCTCACACGACCTCCCCATGTCAGCACCAAACCCCCAACCAACTCACCACCTTCAATTCGGATTCAAATCGAGGGACTGAATTGCTGAGGTGTTACTCAGCTGTCTCCTCAACGCTTATTTCCAATGCACTTTCATTTTCTTCTGCATACTTGTTGGAGGATAGATTGTTGACAGCTTCGTGCTAGAGTTCGTTGCTGCTAATTCATTCTGATTGGCTATCTGACCTTTAGGATGATGCCAGCAAAGGCGACTGTTCATTACAGCTTGTAGTTTATTGGAACTGCTTTTGGTTACGCGTGCGCCAAGTCTCTGAACCACAACAACTCATTCATGTACTCATAAAATCATGAAATAAAAGTCTGATAATGATGTGAAGCACTTTCGCGGTTGTTTTACGGAATCATTAAGCAAAACAAGAACAAGTAAATAAAGAATTTAACTGCCAGTAAGACGAGCTATTTGTTATTGAAAAGGTAGAAAACTCAAAGACATAGCCAGATACTACTAACTAGTAGGATTAAATCAGTCACAAGGAACATTACCTATATTAAAGTGTGAAAACAGTCAGTGTTATTTTCAGAGGTACAGTTTGGCTTTAAAATAGCATGTTTTTAACGTTATTTTTTCTAATTTCTCAAGTCTTTTGATCAACAAATTCCAAAACAAGGATATATGAAGTGTTTCCTAACTAGATTATCAAAATCTTAACGTATATTTAAATATATAATGCTCAATTTTAACATTTTTAACAAATTTGAACAAGGCACAGAATAAATGAGAACTATAGAAATATTAATTCTTACATGCTTTAGTAATTCTAAACTCGTTTGAGTGGGTGAACGAGGGTCATCTTGTTCGTTAGCTGAATAACATAACGATTGATTGACTGAGGGTGAGATACTCTGTTGTACTAGAGAATCCTTAAGTAGTTTAACATATTTATCTTCAGTGAACCACTCATCTTTTGGCACTTTTTCACCTGATGTGACAGAAATGAAAAGATTTAAAAAACTGACCTTATTTCTGGCAAATAATGTCTAATTTCAATGTGATACATCATACTTACTGTAGTACTAGGAAATACAAGAGAATTATCAACACTATTATGGTAACCAGAAGTTCATTAAGTCAACCTTAAAGGACTCTCCATACCTACTCTAATTACCAAAAGTGCCATGTGGTTAGTTAAAATTTTGTTACTCTGTCTGTTTATTTAGTGCTACATAAACGTATTCATGTATCGGTGAATATTTTTTAAATCAGTGAAATATGTGTGTGACTGCAGGTGGAGATTGTCATTTATATTAAAACAAATCGATAATTACTTCAGTCAAGAAACGGGCAACTATGCAGTTAATGTAATCCCAAATGTATACCTTGAGAATTACCCACAGTAGTATTTATATCAGAAGAACAACATACTTCACAACACCGACACTCTTACATTTTTTTCACCACATCTGGAACAGTCACCCTGGAAACTTGATTTGCTTCAACGCATAAACTTACTGAGTAGATCTAGGAAAGACTGTCTCGTCGATTTGGAGAATTCATACACCTCTCGAACATCACTTTCCTCTAAAATTAATCTACCTGTAAGTATCGTATGACAGCTGGAGATTATGAGGCTCATCCTTCCCAGTTTTAAGGCAGTTTTGTCTTTCTGCTGGTTGTTTCAAACATTCTGAGAATGTTTATTTAATTTAGTATTGTTCTGGTAAAAGATTTCCAGATCAGACTCAAAATTAATATTATAATCCAGCAACTACCAAAACGATATAAGTTCTTACGCTAAATGGTGGTCTGTATAATACTGGTGGACATTTCATTTCTTTATTTCATCAACTAGAACAGTTCTAGTCGATGAAACTGTGCTATTCCATTTCTCTATTGGTTAGGATGAAGTATTTATGCCTTATAAGTGGATTCCATCACTTTGCTATTTATTGAAGCGTGTTTTAGGCCAAAGTTTTGGTGGATAGATTTTTCAGTCGTTCGGAATAACATATATATATATATATATATATATATATATATATATATATATATATATGCATTTAACTACCAGTTCATTTGAAACGAAGAGCAACTTCATTTTTCCTACGAAAAACTGTGTCTCACAAATCATTCCGTTAAATACTGTGTAGATGTAAAAATTCGGACCATAGTAAGTTTCGAAGCAGTTCGATGGACAGTTACTAGCAGTGGAATCTAGGATGTGCACTTCGTTTTATTTGGGACATGTCATCTGGAAGTACCTGCATTCTCCAGTGATTGGAGGTATTCCCACTGAGATTCTAACCAACTACCGGCCGTTTCAAATGCTAGGACGTTATCCACTAGACCACTTGGGCCATTAATAATAATGATAAGGTAATATCATGCTGTGATGGGTACAACAGACTGAATTTTGTAAGTAGTATGTTGTGTGTGAGGTCTTCTAAAAAATATTCAATAGAGGAGGCATGGATGAAGCTGTGAAGGGGAAAAATGAAAGATACCTATTATAACAACATGGAAAACATGAAAGGAAGACAAAATAAGCACAAAATGAAGAACATGTATTAATGGAAATTTTAATGTATCACTATCTCTCCATATCCGTACACCATCGGTAGTTCAGTAGTAATGCGCTAACCACTCACGTGGTCCGAGATTCGATCCTCGGTCTAAGCACTCCTAAACTTAGCCAAACTGGTAAAGAGGGAAGGTTGGGCGTGACGCTAGCAACCCTAACCCGTAAAAATAAAACCACTGCTAATGAAACTTCGCAGCTCTAGTTTGAAGCCCTATGTTCTTCAGTAAACAAGCAACATAAACCACACCTCATGGTCTGACTAAGTAGAATACCTTTGAATTTACATACTCCTATTGGTATAAAAGATTTTGATTGAAAGTGAAGTGAAAATTTAAACAGCATTAGAAATGCAGCCAACAGATTCTCTAAATTGAATATAAACCTACGTAAACAAATTTTAACAAATCAATTTATGAATGTAAACATACTGACTGATTCTCGTGAAAGTTCAGGTAAGTGCAATGTGAAGTGATTAATCCGTGAACCACAAGTATGTACAAATAATTCCTGCTAAGCAGAAATGAAGTTTTGTGAATCAAGAAGTGAAGAATTTCTGGATGGATGAGAAACACTCACAAGGGGTGGCAATGACCAAAACCCATGTGTTATGGTCCAAATGTAAGAAACCGATTCTCCAGTTGTACTACTTGGCCGAACGAAACTTCCTTCAGTTTCCCACAGTCACAAGAGGCATCAACGAAAGAAAAATGACAGTCATTCGAGATAAAATCTATAGCACCAATCAGCAATAATACCACATCGAATAGTCAAAATTACCTCAACGACGCCATTAGGCAGCTATACAGACAAGGTGAGCTTCTAAGTACAAAACAAGAACTGCAGAAAAAAATTAGTTGACCGAAATTCAACTGTAAGCAGTACCTTAGAATCAAGTAGATTATTCCCAACAAGGTAGCATCGAAATTCTGTGCACATGAATAACACACTGAATATCTCCGCAGGCAGTCCAAGATCAGAATCACCTTCATTCACTCAAACACAATCACATCGTAAAACAACACGTTATCAATATCAAAGCATTCAGTCAACACATGATAGACAAGCGTCAAAACAGTGATAAATAACCTGGAGGGGTAGATGAAACGAAAAGTAATTATAAAGTTGGTTGAAACATCGAAATAAGTGTGAATATATTGTAATTAGACCGTTGAAGAGGGATTTCCCGAACGGTTATTCGATCACATGGTTGTGTAATCCTCTGAAGCGTTAATTACTAAATTGATGAATTATTAAAATCGGAATTTGTAATGACAGTGAATCTTTATATATTTAAGTCAAATAGAAGTAAGAATAATGGCAATAAGAAGTTGAAGAATGTTTTAAAAAAAAGCAGAAATCTGGTAACAAAAAGAACTTAAGTTGATCAGTTGCCCATTTATTCAAGGTGCATATAGTTGAAAAGAATCTGGTGAAATGAAATTTGTATTAAATACCATTCCTAACACCATGTTTATCTGTGAAGTATATTTATATGTGTATTTGAAGTACTGAAGCAGTTCAAGTTGCCACACTTCACACATAAAGTTGGAGAAACAAACAGAGAAAAACCCATAAGAAACAGAAATGAACAACAGAAAGAATAATTACATGAATAATAGACAGAAGTGAATTAATCTGGGATTTCACTGATAATGACTGCTCCTCCACTGATAGCCTTCAGCCATTGGTTCTTAGTTCCACTGTGATCTGAAGCTTCTTATTTGACTCAAACCGACAGTTGAAGACTTAATAGACACAATCACATACCTAATAAACTGCATTTTATAAAATATGAAGATTCGGCTAGCTACACTAGATAACTGTTTGATTTCCCGCTGTTTACGCTTGATTTGTTCGTCGCAAACTATCATGTTTTAAAAATAATTTCCAGAAAAATATCGGTGTAACGACTACATCATTTTTTTCAGATCGCACAATTCCCTTGAATTTCTCTGTCTGTTTTAGATTTCACATATTAAAACGTTGGCAGATACCGTAATCTTTAAAAAGAGCATAAAGAAGAGAGCACATATGATATCACATTTGGTGAATAACACTAACCACTCCTCCATCTTTTTATTTCGCTGTCAAGACTACTAAGAGCTCCACACAGGCCTTTTGCTCGATCTGATTCACTTTCAAACAGTCGACGCCATTCTTCAGCTGTCAGCTGAGCATTTAATGTGACTTGATTCTTTATAGTTTTCGCTCTTACACCAAATGTAAACGTTGATTTTGTTTCATTCTGTGAAATAAAGAAATTCAGACAAAACAATAAAATTTGACACTAACACTCATACTGTTATGACTAGGCATACTTGTCTAGTTTCAGTCATTCTGGTACATCACTAATGCAGTCAAAAACGAGTGAACTCGGTGTTTGACATATTTTTTTCTAGTGTATTTGAGTTGTCTAATTATAGGTCAGGGTATAGCTGGCTTAGTAGTCAGTGAACTAAGGCTCAACCTTGCAACTATAAAATCCAAACTGTTCAGACGTCTTAATGTTATTTTCATTGCTGATTAAAAGAAGGTCGTATGACAAAAAGACATCTGGTCAAATGTCATTTAGAAGCTAGATTCTTGAATTTCAATCAAATGAGTAGAATGAATGTTGCTAAGTCGTTCAAAAGAGATGAAATCATTGCTGAGCCAAGACTGAAAGTAAACGACACGTTGCTAGGCTATTGCAGTACATTAAAACAAATGTTCATTATAATAGAGGTTACCCAATGCCCAAATTTTTTCAAACCGTTAAAAGTGAACTTGGTTTGGACATATATAATTAAAACAAATGTCACCAAATACTAGTCAATTCATAATCGTGTCTTTTGAATAACTTAGCAGCGTATCTTGTACCGTGAAGAGAATACTGTCGTTTGATTTAAAGCAATGTATTCGAACTTTTATACCTGTGTAATTAGCTTACAGACAGTCTTGAGAACTAGTCTTATTATTCTTTAGAACATGGACAGATTTGCACAGGCGAGATTTCAGGTTACTCACTGAAAAGCCAGTATACTGTTTAGCATTTCTGTTTTTCCTACTTTAGAGTTGCAAAACACAGTCTTTGAGGGTAGACGACATGAGAATATAGGTTTTACTATCGAACGTGCTTTTGTCTCACTACAGCAGTATTGTGATTGATGTTGAAATTAAACCTGGTGCTTACTTGGTTAAACAAGGAACTAATCCGTTTAGTCATCATTTGTTGGTATGTGCTATATGGATTGTTTGACTAGAGTTCTTGGGTTGCAAAGAATTAATAGTGGGAAACTTTCAGTGATATAGTTCAAAAGTACTCTCTCTAACTGACGTAGTTGATTTTTTTCCGTATCTACGAAATTTTAAAAATCTCAGCTCAGTTGAGTGGTATTCAAGTAGTTATACTCTGTAAACTGGATGGCTTCATTGCTTAGCTTTCATTATCTCTCTAGACAACATCTTCAGTAAAAATCTTCTTAAGACAACAAATTATAGTCATCATTCATGCGAAATTCCAGGAAAAATCCATTTCATACTGAAATCACCTGTGAGGACATTTTTTAAACAGAAAATGAAAGCTTAGCAATTTAACCATCTGTCTCAGACATTACAACTACAGTAACATCAACTGGAATGCCTCCTTCTCAGGAGTTATTTAATTGATTTCAGTTTGTTAGATGAATTATCCTCTTAAAAAAAGTACATAACATCCTTTGTTAACATACAATTTACCTTCTGTTGTTTCTGTTTGACCTGATTAAAATAGATTCGACTACCACAAATAATATACCTTTCACTTCTCTGTTAGTTAAAACTAAATAACTAATCGCTTTGTATACTGTATTAAGTGATATACCAAGGATACGATTTGTGAATAATGATTTTGTGCAAATTAACTACTTGTTGTATTTTCTAGTTAGACCGCGGATTGATATCACTTGGAACACCATTGAAAACCGTGGAGTACTGGACAGATATTTCATCCTAGTTTGGGACTCATCGGCAGTACGCACCCACCTACTGGGCCTCGAATCCAGGACCTTCTAGTTAAAAAACAAGCTCGTAGACCATTCAGCCACTGCGACCCGATCCAATGGCCTATGAATTCGAACTTCTACCCAGCTCATCTTGTAACCGGTAGGTCCTGGGTCCGAAACCTGGTGGGTGCGTACCGCGACTGAGACCCGAGTTAGGATGAAACAGCTGTTTTCGATAGCTGTCTAATTGGTATCAGTCCTTGGTCTAGTTCGAAAAACAAATAAAATCCCACGTATTTCACTTACCTACAACACTTTTAAAGAGTGGAACGAAAACTATAACGGAATAATTGTTTGGAAAATCTCTCCTCAACGAACCAATTACAATATATTCACACTTAGTTTAGCGTTTCGACCAACTTGATAATTACTTTCCGCTTCAATTCTCACCCCCGCCCCACCGCCACAGGTTATGTATCATTGTTCCGTCTCTGGCATATCATATGTTGACTCAATCCTTATTGTTTACCTTTTGTCTCTGTTTAGTCTCTAATGTCATCGTGATTGTGTGACGATATTGAAAATGTGTTGTTTTACGATGTGATTCTGCTTGAGTGGAGGTAGGTGATTCTGATCTTGGGCTGCCTGTGAGAGTTGTTTGTTGTGGGATTCTTGCTGAGAGGGTTTTGACGCTTCCTTGTTGGGAATAGTGTATTTGATTCTACCATACAACTTACAGTACTTGTTTTGTACTTAGAAGCTTACTTTGTCTATATTGCTGCCTAACGGGCATTGTTGAGATAATTTTGACTATTCGATGTGGTATTATTGTTGAGTGGTGCCATAGATTTTATCTCGAATGGCTGTCATTTCTCTGTTGTTGATGCTTCTTGTGACTGCGGGTAACTGAAGGGAAGTTTTGTTTACCATTAACAACTGAACTCAATAATCAGTTTGTTAAGTGTGGACCATAACGTGTGTGTTTTGATCGTAGTAAAAATTAAATTCATTATCTAAGTTTACTAACTGTACGCGATCGTTGTACCGGTGAACACCCTAGTCTTTTCTCTAACTTGCCTTGTTCACAAAAAAACACGTTAATAGAGAGTTAAATATCATGGATTTTCAATATTTTAACAATAAAGTTTTATAATAAAATTGCAATTTAATTTTCGCCACTACTGTTTTGAAGACGTTTTGTTTGTCAGTTAATGTATTATATACATCTTCAACGTATACCAGCTTGAGAAAGGTGCAAATTTAGAAGAATATGTAGTGAAGTAAGTTTTTATGTCAGAAAAATATTACGGTCGCTAACTCTAGAAATGTTCAAGCTAAAATGATGTTTTTTTTGCAAACAGTAACCTACATAAAAAACCGAAATGAAAATGAGTGTGTAAATTGTCAATCCGGTGGATACTTATAGTACTTATAGAGAAATTGCAGAAAGATAATAGTTTCAACCAGCAGACTCAACAAATTAAGTGCCTAGTACCATCAGGAGAGCCAGATTTTGCATTTAAGAAGCATCAGGAATCATTTGAAATGAGCTATCACTAAGTCAGTACACACACACATACTCGTGAATATTAGGTTAACTTGTAGCCAATAAATACTCACTTACTTCGTTAAACGATGCCGGAGAAGCAGCAATGATAATGGTTGTCTTCGAATTACCACCAAGTGATTGTTGTAGAATTCTGGTTAGCTTTGAATCGCGATATGGCACATGAGTCTACAGTAAGATATATTTATCAATAAATATTGGTAACAAAAGCTGGAAAATGGAACAAGGCTGGATAAGTGGTTACTTTAGTCAATCGTATATTTCAAAACAAACTTCAAGAGGAGAGTTTCATTTTTCCAACATTCCACAACTGAAATAAAATTTATTTGTTAAAAATAACACAATAAATGCAACTTCTATAAGGTAGGAAGTTGAAGGCGATAACATTCAGTGAGTAAAACGAAGACGTCATGTTCTACTGCTTTATCTGGTCTCCTGGAGTGGCATATAGTATGGCGATCCGAATTCTGTCACGAATCAAGCTTTATTTCATTTCCAATTAAACATTTCCATAGTTCGTGGATTTTAATTGTCACGTAGATCCCAAACGCGTAAATTACGGTCCCCTTACAGCTATATACCTCTGATTGATTTAGGTGAATACTTTCAATAGTGCTTGCTAGCCAGACCGAAGTGGCCTAAACACTGGATGGCATTTTCGCTACTTTGATCCGAGCTCATCAGCTGCCTATGTGGGTTGACTCAGCTAAGACAACCGAATTCTAGCTAGTTACCTGGGTAACCTGGGTAGCAAACACTACTGATTGATGTTAGTGGTATACAACTACTTATTTCAATCAATCAGTAGTATATGGTTTCAAACAGTTAACCTCACTTCCTTTACTGCCATTTTCAGTATCAAGCAGACCACATATTGTAATATTTGAATAATTTCGGTTTCCGAAAGAATGTGTAGTAAAATATCACCTTGAAGTAAGTAGAATGCAAATTAGTTTGCGAATTGTTAATTGGATTCATAATTTCCTACACAGCTCAGACCATCAGCCATAGCATTTTCATTTTGATATCAAAAAGATGTCTAACCACACTTTAGTCTCTTTCAGTTCGATCCTACACTTTCTAGGCTAGATATATGGCTGAGGTGTGAATATTACGTAATCCTGGATACGTTAGTTGACTAATTTATGAACTTATCTACTGACTAATCTGTTTTATGCATGACTCTTTTATAAATATTTCGTGGTTTAGTCAAAGACCTCTTTGTCGAACAAAGCATTGAAAGTACGAGTTTCAGTTTCCCTGAGATTTTACAAATATCATTTCATGGACACGAAAAGGATAGTAAAGAAAAGTTAAGGCATTGAATTTTATATGCGTGGTGAAAGCTTGCTGCAAGCCAAAATTGTAAACAAAACATTTACGTCAACGTTTACGTCCCGAATAGGGTCATGAGAAAAAGCAAGAACAAGGCCTAACCTTGAGGAACCCAACAACCAATCACAGCAGACTTAGCGTAGATGGATACGATTCACAGATATATCACTGGACTGTCTAAGAAATGGCAACAAAGAGATGGCAGAATAACCTTCAGCAGGAAAACAACCAATCAGGAGACGTTGCTACTCTGACAACAATAACGAATAATAATATACATAAAAATCTGTAAATATCTGTTGATTTTCTCAATAAACGATCTGTTGCCTGGCCCTTGTCTTCTGTCGGTACACATCTTCAAAAGTTAACAGATTTTAAAACATCGCCATGAACTGACCAGATCGCTAGTAAGTTGTATGCTCTTCACAGTAGAAATAACGTCGAAGTTATATTTATCTTATTGATAAGAATACATGACAAGTAATCGAATAATTTGTCAAGTCATCGTTCTTTAACATATTTTCACAAACGATTCATCTCTTAACCTAAGATGACATAAAATGTCTTAAGAATGTACCTGGTAAAATTAATTATTATTGTCTCCTTTGGTTCCTAGAGGAACATAGAACTTCAGCTGCTTGTCTCCATTGCGTTCGGTTCTCTGCCAACGTTTCCACCTTGCTTTACGTCTGCCCTCTTGCTTTTATCTCCTCATCAGATCACCTCCTCTATGTCACCCTCACACTGACGACCAACTCACCGCTTCCCATTCGGGTTACACTCGAGAGAGAGCCTGGAGTTTGATGTCACTGGATGATTTCTTCAGGTATGACAAATCCACCTTCATTTCTTCCTGCACATTTGTTGCACAATTGGTTCCTGCTGGGTTGGTTCGCTCATTGCCAGAGATCCCTCCTTGTTGTTAATCTTTTCTGGCCATATGATCTTGAGTACACATTATTCAAGGTTTAAAATCATTTTGACGCTATTTGCACTTAAAAATTCCCAAAATACGAACAAATATCTATGATGCTTACATTGCCTTCAACCAGGGCATTAATTACACTGCCCAATGTTGACAGAGATTTGTTTATATTTTTAGCTTCATCTAGTGTTGAGCCTTCAGAACCAGTCTTGCAAACCTTTTCACTGCCAGCTAAATCTACCAGATACAATGAACCATTCAACTGTTTTCCATTTTCACGATTATTTTGTTGAATAGAGATTATAAAAATTGAATGACTTCTTGAACTGTGTTCATTCATGTCTTTAAAAATGAAAAAGGAAAAGAAATGAGAAAGGAAGTTTATACGGCTATGATACTGAATACACTTAGAATAAACTAAAACAGATCGACTATATTTTTGACTGGATACTAGTCAGTAACCAGTCTAGTGTGTCTAGTCCTATCTTTGGTGCAGACTGAATTCTATCAGTCAAGCTTGCAATGTGGCTACCATGGTAGGTGGTTGGCCATCGCGGTGCACTGTGAACTGTTGGTATTAGATGACTGGAGGCAATCAGCAGGAAGCCTTGAGCAAGGCGTATCTGCAAGCTAGAAGGAACTCATGTGCCTTCTGAGATTCGAACCCTCTTCACTCAGTGCTGCAGTCACAGGCGTTACCACTAATATCAGCAGTTTACAGTGCACCGTGATGGTGAGCCACCTACCATGGTGGTCACATTGCAAACTTGACTGATAGAACTCAGTCTACACCAAAGATAGGACTAGACACATTACACTAGTTACTGACCAGTGTCCAAACAAAGCATCCAATACAGTTCTACAGGAGGTCAATTGTGAGCCCAAACAGCTCAGTGTTAATGTCTGTGACTGCAGTTCTCACTGGGCGACGCGGGTTCAAATCTCAGTAGGGACATAAGTTCCATTAGGGTTCAGATACGCATTGATGACTGGTGAGTGCCAAGTAGCACGAAACCTAGGTCGAGCAAGGCTTCCTGCCGATTGCCTCCAGCCATCTAATACCAACTGGTCGATTATGGTTAAATATAGTAACTTAACTTTGCTGCTTATTATTATTTTATTTTACTCTCTTTCTTTTGCAGCAGAACCTAATGTTATGGAATATATATGGTTTGGAAAATCCCTCCTTAATGATGTTACTAATTTAGAAGTTTCAACTAAATTTGTGATTACTGTCCCTTATCTCCTTGACTACATATCATTATTCTGACGTTTGCATATTATATATAATTATCATCATTTTTCCCTTTGGTTCCTTGTGGAACATAGGGCTTCAACTGCACGTCTCCACTTGCTTCTGTCTACCTTCCGCTGTACTTTTCACCTGCATCCATTCAGTCCATACTCTTTCAACTCCTCTTCACACGATCTCATCCATGTCACCCTTGCAGTGACGTCCCACTCGCCGATTCCCTTTAGGCCTGGTTCCACACAAGCAATGGCCTGACGCGCGCGCGATGTCACCCAGCGGCCTCCTCAGCAAGCGAGTGTCCAATCCATCTCCACTTTCTCCTGCATATTTGTTGGGTGGCGATTGATTGGTTCTTGTTTTGTTTGTTCCCATGGTTTCTTGTTGGTGATTCTTTCCGGCCCGGGCATCTGAACTTAAGTATAGATCCAGCGAAGACAGTTGTTAATAAAGGTCTGAAACAGGCTGTTGGAAATATTCTTTGTGACCCGCCCACCAAGTTGCTCATCCGTATAGAAGAACTGACTGGTTTGACGTTTGTATTGAAAATCCTACCGAATTTTGTTGTTGATGCTGGCTGGGTAACGGAGATTTCCAAATTGGTTTCAGGTTGATGAATGTGTTTCTCGCCTTCCCGATTCACGATTTGACACTTTCGTCCGTTCCTCGTGTAGTTGAGACAATGCTCCCTAGATAAGTGAATGAAGTAACCCCTTTCAAATCCCTCCCGTTGATGGTAGTTGGCGCTGGATGTTGCTGTTGCTGTTGTTGGTTGGTTATTTTCATAACCTCTGTCTTGTCTATGTTTACCTGGAGTCCTGTCTTTGCTGCTTCTTCGACCAGTTTACAGGTTTTTGCTTGTAAGTCTTCGATTTTGTGTGACATCAAACATAATATGTTTATTATTTATCTTTCTCCTATTTAATCTCTAATTTTAGTACTTCTCTTTGTGGTTGTGCGATGGTGTTGATATGGTGTTATTTGATGACTGAGATTTTGTTTGAATGAGTCAAGGTGATTCTCACATTGGATTGTCTGCGAGAATTATCTGGTGTTTGATTTATAGTTGACAGAGTTTTGATCCCGTATATTGTTGGAAATATTCTGCTTCATTCTCAGGTACTTCTTACAGTTGAATTCCGTTGACTAGCTTTGTTCAGCACTACTTGTTTTCATACATTTATTCCCCTAATGAATTTGAACAAAGCAAGAACTACAGTTTTAGCAGAATAAAATGTTACCATCTTTTATTTCGTTGCCTTCTCGTCAGCTGCTTACATGGCAAAGACATTATTAAATATATCTACAACAACAATTTTAACATACTTGCACAGAGTTCAGTTTAAACAAAAATCAATCGATCAATATACGCATACACTAAAAATATATACATATATAAATATGCAATATTAACTACTATTCCGAACAATAATAATCAAACACAATGGAAACTTTTAGTATTTCACATTCGGAGGAAAGAGAGGTGAAATTATCCAGTTACCAGGGCAAAGAAAGACTGATAACCTCTTCTTTCTGGACGCATAAATCAGGTTTCAGGCGCTTGATGGAAATGGCTTCAGCAAACTTAAGGAGAATTGAGCTATTTTGCTTATTAATAATTTTGAACGACTTTTCGACGTCCACCTCATGACCCGTGTCGAGGAGATGCCTGGTGATGGCACTGTTTAAAGCATTTGTTCCCTTTAGACGTAAGCTTTTTGGTACATGTTCAGAAAATCGTAGATATGCCCTTATTTCTGTCCTTCCAATGTAACTGCTCCGCAGATACATGTAAATTTGTTTTGTCTTTAGAAAGTTAGCCTGTCTGTATAGCTGCCTAATGGCACCGTTGAGGTGATTTTGAGTTTTTGATTTTATTATTGTTGAACAGAGCCACAGATCTGTCAACAAACAATCATCTTTTTTCTGTCTTTAGAGCGTCTTGTGACTGTGCGTGTTTCAAGAAAGTTTTGGTCAGCTATACAGTAGAATGTAAAGCTCGGTATCCTGAGTTCAGACCACAACGAGTCTGTTTTGAGTCTGTTACACGTATGGCTTCAAGCTTCAGCTTTGAAGTCTCAGTAGCAATGATTTTATTTTTACAAGGTGGGTTTGCTATCCTCCCGCCTAACTTCCCTTCATTACTGAGCTTACTCCTGGCTAAACGAGGTTTGGGAGTGCGTTATCCGCGAAATGAAGCCTGGATTATGGGCATGGTTGGCAAGCGTCCTACCGCTGAACTACCGATGCACAACTTGACTTCATTGTTCTTATAGTAAACAGATACACCCACAGTAATAAAATGATTGATTATGATACGATACGGTCTACAGTTATTTTTATCGTAAAATAGCATGCATCAGCGCAGAAATGTATACAGTGCATGGTTCTGTCTGGTATGGCTTATTAGTTTGAAGCGTAACTAGTGGGAAGGTGAGTGACAAGTATTATGCAACACGTTTATCTTTTCTCTTCATTTTGTCTGTAAGAAATAGTCATTACAATATAGGACATAAAGATTATTAAAAAATATTAACTTAAGTATATGCTTTCGCTAATACAGCGTAACTGAAACTCACTTGTTACTGAAACATGTCTGTTTAGTTTGCCCTCGTCGAGTGCCTCCAGGACGTCATTGGCACATGACACAAAGCGTTCAGTTACTCCCTTCACAAAGGATAAAACACATGAAAAGAAGATATCAGTCATAACATTCCAAGTCATTGAGAAAAACATCTGTCAAAAAATATCTGATGCGGTGAGAATCATTAATACTGGGTACGTCGTAAGAAGAAAACTGTTTAGTTAGTCACACTTTATCAGTTATAGAAATAGCTAAGAAACACATTACTTGATTTAAGATAAACAGAAGACAGAAAACATGTCTACCAAGTATTCGTTTGTAGAGATTATGTTTGATTGGGTAGAGGATTTCATCATGAGCTGACACTGGTTAAAGAACCACCAGAAAACCAGAGAGTACTGAACAGCTGTCTAGTCCTAGTTCAGGGCTTTTCATCAGCACTACGTCGTGGATTGGCAGAAGTAAGAATTCGTGAGCTGGCCATTGAATCGGATCCCAGTGGCTTAATGGTCTATGAGCTAGCTCGCCCTGTAACAAGAAGATCCTGGGTTCGAACCCTGCAGCGTTGGTGCGTACCACTGAAGTGTCCCTAACTAGGACCAAACAGCTGACTGCCCAGTGCTTCCTGAAGGTTTTTCAATGGTTCTTTAACCGATATCAGCTCATGACTAAATCCTCTGACCAAGAAAGTGTGTTTCTTATTGCAGTTTAAGGATGGAATGCCTTGGCGACTTCAGGACTATGAGGATAGGTTTCATTATCAATCATTAAACTCATAAAATCTCACAAATATGTATTAACACAAGCAAAAACGAATAACTTCCCCTACCACTCTTTAATACATATTTTTTTCAAAATCGAATGAATATTCAACTTGAAGGAAAACTTAATTCATAGAAAATGTCAGTCAAATGGACCTAGGAGCACCAGACCGGTGAGATTCTTGATCAAGATTCGAGAATCACTTGTCAAATATATGTGCTGCTGCTACTCCTACCATAGCGTGCTCTACCGAAAAAATCATGTAAACTGAAGTGACGCCAAATAAAAATGGCAAGACACCGTAGTATTTTGGTAGTCGTTTGTTTTTTTTAGCGAAATGATGTACAGTTATGGCACATTTTATTCGTTTTATGCTCCCTTTGTCTTCCTTTAAGGCTTTTATATTGTTTCAAAATGACTTTTTATTCCTCCCTTTTACAACTCAGACCGTCGCTCCACTTATTTAAAATTCTACCGGAATACTTCACACATAATATACTCATTGCAAAATCTTGTCAGTTATCACATGGTACGCTACTACTACTTCTGTGGTGAGAGCTGGCTGCTAGCCAAAATTTGTAGACATTAATTTTCGTCAATGTTTACGTCCCCAATATTAGTTATAAGAGAAATAAGAGCAAAGATAGATTCAACAACCAATCACAGCAGACTTTGCATAGGCGGATACAGTCAGTATAAAGTTGATCTGACATTCAAGAAACAGCCAAAAAGAGATGAAAGATTAACTTTCATTGAGAAACAACCAATCAGAAGACTGTTTTTCTGCTAACAATAATCCATAATGATGTACATGAAAATCTATAAATGTATGTTGATTTCGTAAATAAACGATATGTTGTCTGGCCCTTGTCTTTTGTCGTTACATTACTACTTTGATTAAAGCATAGAATTTTATGCTGATATATCTTAGAATTAGAATTCAGTGTTCAACAAAACCTCTACATAATTAAAATTAAGGGAAACTTTTGTAACTTGTATCTGATGATTGCAGATAGCGTAGTCTATTTTCTATAAGAAAAAAACATGCCCAGCACAACTAATATTCCAGTATAGATCAAGGAGTTTTCTATCTTCTGCAAACACTTTTTTCTACCAAAAATTTCTTTGTCATTATATGCTGAATCTCTGTAAAACAGAGAATGATTATCACATGGTGCTCCAGAGAAAGTAACCAATGAGGATAGATCTAATGTTTAAAAAGTAAAATTTCATTGGACACTGGATAAAATGGAATGAATTTACACCGCAGGAAATCATATAGCAAATTTTCTTCAGTTCATGTTATCATAATTCATAAAATCACGCATATAAGTAGACGAAAGAAAGACATTGAAATTATGGCAAATAGAAATGTGTGGCAGGAAGAATAATTAAAATTTTTAAAAATACTGGGGATTTAATAAGTGCGAAAGATTCCAAGGAATGAATGCACTGTATTCTACCATTCGTAAATGTTTTCAACAATCCTGTATTGAAGATGTTTGATTCTTCAGTGTTTAAATTCATGGATAATCCCCATCCAGGCATTAACGAAAACAAGACACGTAGATCAGTGAAGAGTCTCTTTTCGGCGGCGAATTCATTTTCTTAGCTGTACAATCGCAAATATATATATGTTGTTTTGTATGTATGTATGTATACATTAAGTTTGTCAAACAAAATTACAACTGATTAAGGTTATTTTCTTTTCTTTGCCTGTTCTTTAATTGCTTATAATTTTTGTATCTACTTAGATCTCTTACATAATTTCGTATTATCTACTTTGCTTCTATGTGCATCCTGAGTAAAACTCACTCATCAAACTATTCATATTATTACATAACTTCATCTTAACAACTGTTTGTGACAACTCATCACCTTTGTTACTACTCTAATTTCATTAACATCTGATTTTCTTGACTTGTATTACCAATCATCTGTTTAGTTAAAATAACCATAACCAATTGTAATTTTGTTTGACAAACTTAATGTACACACATACAAAACAACACATATATATTTGCGATTGTACAGCTAAGAAAATGAATTCGCCGCCGAAAAGAGACCCTTCACTGATCTACGTGTTTTGTCTTTAATGTTTACCGCCTAGAAATTTACCAATGTCCTGGCATTTCCCCCCTCAACGTCTTTCCCTTTAAAAAGAGCAACCAGTGTATAAGAAGCAGTATTTAATGGATTCATAAAGTGTGGTAGGACCAGTCAAATGAATACTCCACAGGCAGTATTATACATGAACATAGTAACAAAGAATAAGTACCAGTTTCAACAAATATATGACTTTCAAGAGTTAGTTTGTAGGGATTGGATATGCTTTTCATGTTTGACCGCAGACTGATATCAATTAAAGAACCATTAAAAGCCCTGGAGTACTTCACACATCTTTCGTTCTAGTCTGAAACTCATGGGCATTTGAATCGGGTCCCAGTGGTTCAATGCTCTACGAGTTTGCCTGGTAGCCGGAATGTCCTGGGTTTGAAACCCAGTGGATGCGTGCTGATAATGACTCCCAAACTAGGACAAAACAGCTGTGAAGTACTCTCTTGTTTTCAGTCATTCCCTAACTGACAGCAATTCCTGGTCAAACTTGAAACAAATATATGATCGATAGGCGTTGAGCGGTAGTCTGTTAACGTCATTATTAAGTGAATAATTTACTTTGATTGGACACTAGTAACTAGTATATTGTGTCTAGTCCTTTCTTTAGTGCAGACTGAATTCTATCAGTCAGGTTCGCAGTGTGGCCACCATTCTAGATAGCTCGCCATCATGGTGCACATTGATTTGATGATATTAGATGGTTGGAGGCAATCGGCTGTAAGCCAGTGAATAATATTCATCAATGTGCACATTATACAAATAAGCAATACACGACTATATAACAAGATTTCAGCGTGTCTGATCTAAACTCAGAAGGCAGTTTTAAAACATCTCACCATGATTCATTAATACTCAAGTTTGATTTTCGATTAGCAAATATCCTCAAGAAGAAACTAGGAGTCTTCCAGACAGTAATAACAGTAATGGAAAAAATATTGTAAAGAGAAGAGGGAAGGGGAGAAATGTTATTCAGATAAAACAAATGGATGCTACCGACGTAGATATAAGGTAACTACTGTCGCCTTTCCCAAAAAATAGATCCTAGTTTTTTCAAGCCGACTGCACAAGCTCCAAAGAAATCAAGAACTTTTTTATCACCTGACTTATTGATAATTACTAAACTTTTACCCAAACGTCACCGTACGATTTAGCTGCTTTGGATGCGATTATGAGTACTGTTTGTTTTCGCCACGGACAGTATTTTCTATCTGCTTATATTTATTTATGAGTACTGTATAATAAACTACTGTAATAACGTTCATAGTAGTAAGATGATAACTGCAATTCAAATGTTAGTTTAACTCACGGGGAGTTATTTTCAGTCACTGGTGTAAAATACACTCAAAAAGCATAATCATATAATCTGTGTAGTCATTGGTTAACTTACCTTCACATATGCCACATGATCTTTTGATTCATAAATCGGTAAATTTGTTTTAGTAACTTAAATGAAAAGTTTTAGGATTTTTATTTTAAAAATTACTAATAGAATAAACCTACTGTCCAGTAAATCTTTAATCTTTTCCAAGTATACTTCAATGTACGAAACCTATCATAAGTTGAAATTTATGCATTAGAATAACAACAGAAATATTGAGTTTACCTTGATCAAAAATTCTAGATTTTCATCCATTCTTTCAATGTGTAAAAAGATGTCTTCAATAACCCGTGGTATCACTCCTTTATACACTGGATCTTTAATTTTCCCCTTGTGGGCATTTTCGTTAGAAAGAGAGAAGTGAAATACAACACAGTCATATGAAGATATGAAAAGATAAGGTTTCTGTCGATTAATAAGAAAATATTTTATTGTTAAATGACAGAATATAATGTAAGTCTGCATGCATGAATGGAACAGACCGACAGCATTACTACACCTTGTTTAACTTGGAAGACATCATCTTGACCTTTTCCAATGATATTTCAGTGTCTTCCCATTTTGTTAATAGTTTTACCAATGATCCCAAACATAGAGATATAAATTAGTTCTTTTAACTGTCTTCATATACTGAAAAATATTTCTGAATATTGTTTGGTAGTCAGAGCCATTTATCATGCCATGTGACCTAATGATCATTGAATATCTTGTGCTACGAATTCAGGAACATATTACTCTTACTACTATCAGTATTATTATTAAAAAAAATAGCACCATAGTAAACAGTATTACTGAGATATCAGATATAACTATAAATTTTAACAGAACTGTGTTGAGAATTCGCAAGCAATGGGGTCCACCAAGTCAGGTCAAAGAACTGTTACTCGCCTATGCCATAGGCTAGCGGTTGAGCTATATTTGTCGCGAATCATTAGAAGTTGGGACTCATGGGCCACTGTTACGGATCCCAGAGACTGAATGGTTCACGAAATCGTCTTGTAACCGTGGTGGGTGCATCCTGTGAAGAGTCCCAAACTGGGACAAAACAACAGTCTAGTATTCCCTAGTTGCCCAAAAGTTCACTAATTGATGTCAACCTGTAACTTATCAAATCCGTTCACATCAACAATTGATAATATTTTATGACAGATGTTATCAGTGTTATTTTGGTGGATGGTGACTAGCAGTGGAATCCAGGATGCACATTCCGCCATGTACGGAACTTGGCAGGTGAACATGCCTTCAATCACCAATGAGTGGTGATGGTTTCACTGGGAACTGCAGGCAAATCCAGCCAACAAATCTCATATAGGATGAAATGCGCATCTTGGAATCCAGAACTAGTCACCATCCACCAAATAACATCTTGTTAATCCCTAGACATCTTTGAAGTATCCGCAACAGAAGCCAACACACACCAACAGAGGTTGAACATTTCCGTTCACTCAATCAATGGGAGGACAAAAATTCATTTAAACAAACAAGATATTCTTAATTTTGATACTGGAATAAAACTTTAGTTCCCTTATACTTTGTTCATTAAATAAGGCCATTCCCTTCTTTCTGTAATGAAGACGATGAAAGTCCAAGGACTAATCCTCAAAAACTTTGGGCATTTTGCAAAGTTTATTTTTAACTTTGAACCTGTTTTACTTAGCTTGTTTCTAGAGCTCTTCACTATAACTAAAATATCTTCTGTAGCCAATGACAATAAACAGTCAGAATGACTCCACCAAGTTGTAAAATGACTTCTGTCTATGTAATACTTTACATAAGAATAATCCCCATATTTTAAATAAATCAACGATTAAAGATGGGATCAATATCGGACAGTGATGAAATAGATCGAATACAAGCATTGGACAACCGCATCCAAAGGACCTTAAACAAGCTCACTAAAACTGGACAGACCACAAAACAAGACCAATGGTGAATGAAATCCAATGGAACAGTCCTACCCCGATTCTATGGCAGACCCAAAATGCACATGCCAAATATCCCGTTACGACCAATTGTATCACTCCCAGGAACTCCAACATATATTTTATCCAAAAGAATTATGCAGAAAACTAAAACACCTAACGGAATCTTGTGATCACTCCATCAACTCTGCTATCCAATTCCTAGAGAAAATCAGAAGCATCCAAATAGATGAACAAGAAATAATGGTATCCTTCGACGTCACAGCATTATATACCTCAATCGGGCAAAAACTAGCGAAAGAAACCATGTAGAAATTACTCAGCAACGACGAACACCCTTCCCCCACAACAATCAAAAATGCAACACACAAGCTGGATGGAATGCATAAATCTATGCCTAACAACATACTTCCAATTCAACGGCCAAATATATGAACAAGTCAAAGGAACACCCATGGGATCGCCAATATCAGGTTTGATTGCAGAAGCAGTGATGCAAAGGCTCGAAAACATTATCCTCTCAAAGATCAAATCCAAAATTTGAACACATTACGTAGACGACACAATTGTAATAATCAAGAGAAACGAGTTAGATAAAACTCACAACTTAATAAACGTCTTCAACGACATCAAATTCACAAGAGAGGAGGAATCCGACAACCAAATCCCATTTTTGGACGTCTTAGTCAAGCGAACAACCAAAGGGGGATTAGAAACTCAAGTTTATGGAAAATCAACTCACACAGACCAAATCCTGAATTACAACGGCAACAATCCAATAACACACAAAAGGAATTGCATATAAACACTATTCAAGAGGGCAAGGACTCATTGCGGCACTCCCACCTTAAGCAAAATTGAAGAAAGATATCTCATGGACGTCTTCCAAAAGAATGGATATCCACGGAATTTCATCAAAAGACATATACCACCAAGCCAAACTATCAAACCAAAAGCTACCAAGGAAAGCACAAAGAAAATCGCCTTACCATATATAAAGGATATCTCAGAAATCACTTCAAGACTCTTCAAACCTTTAGGAATTGACGTCATACACAAACCAACAAAATCGCTTCACTGAGCTGTATGTCAACCAAAAAACTCAAGAGCGAAAGGAGATAAAACCGACATCATCGACGAAATAAATTGTAACAACTACGAAAAACACTACATTGCCCAAAGTGGACATCCCCTTCGTCTTGGTACCTACGAATGTAAGCTAGCCATCAAAAGACATGATATCCACTCCCTCGCTCATATCACTACATATAGACAATCACGGACATCGACTTGACTGGGACAACCAGCGTTCAAATATTAGACAGAGGAAACAACAAGAATGCTAGAGAATTTTTAGAAGCTTGGCATTCCAGTGAATCATCAATCAACAGACACATCGAAATAGATAAAATTTATCAACCAATAAGAAAGAAACCTCACACACAAAGGATCAAAGTTCAAGTCAGAGAAACAATCAGTTCCAATACAAGTAACCCAGAATGTGTGAAAACACACAAAGACAACCAATCACGTTCAAGGTCACGTCACCAGGAGAGATGACTAATAAACTCGTGGAGAAATTTAAAAGCTCATTTAAAATTGAAGTATTCGCTGAAGATGTTGTCTAGTAGGGCGATGGAAGCTTCACAAATTAACTTTTCACCACAGAGAACACAACCACATCAAAATAAATCGAATTATCATTGACTTTAAACACAGTTTCCAGATAGACTATCTTTTGCTCTTTAGACTGGTTTCTCAATTTTGTAACAAGTGTTAACCAAATAGTCTCTGAGGTTACTGAACTTTCACTCAAATGCTCAAATGTAGCTCAGCTTACAGCCCCATATTAGATAAATCTCTATGGTATAACACAGTATGATACAGTTTTGAGAAATTGATGACATTTCAAGCACAGTCATTTCACATTGAAATGATTTTGACGAATGAATTGTACTCCAAAAATCTTCCACTTATTAATTTTGTATCACTATGTGTTATACCAAATAAAATTACTTAACATCGAGTTATATAAAATACCACAGTAGCCAAAATTCTACTGTCACTCAGTTTTCAGAGTTTCACTGTGTACTTGAGGGTGAATATATCTATTATTGCAGTATCATTATTATTATTATTATTGTTCCCTTAGTCTCCAAGTAAAATATAGGGCTTCAGCAACACATCTCCACATTGTCCTATTCTTTGCAATCCTCTTCAGCTATTCTCACGATTGCCCATAGTCTGTCACTCCTCCTCCCCCTCCTCACATGATCCCTATCATGTAACCCACAGACCCACACCATTCGAGTTGCACTCGAGCCATGGCGTGCATTGCGCACGATGTCATTCGATAGTCTCTTTAACATGTGACTGATCTATCTCCATTTTCTCCACCATATTTGTTGAGCAATCGGATCTTGGTAGATTTGTCTCCAGAGTCCTTTGTTGTTAATTCTTTATGGTCATTCGATTTTCATTGTGGAGCCAGTAAAGACATCTGTTGATAGGAGTTTACAGCAGCCTGTTGAAAATGTTTTTCGCAACGCATCACTTATCGTCATCTCGCTATACTGCACCATGTGAAATAAGCTAGGTAGCAGCCTAACAACATATTTCTTGAAATGGAATTGGAACAGTATGTGGTGGACATAACTAGATAAAAATTATTCGTTTTCATGTAACCATTTGTGAACCAGGTAACGGTGGTGGTATGATACAGACAATGGGTTCCAAAGGAATACTATTCTCGCAGCAAGAATCATTGTATTTGTTGGTGTTAACGTCTGAATACTATTCCCACAGTTCATTAGTACATTAGCAACAGAATACTATGTATATTTGAACATTCTATTTCGTGTCTTTTAATGTAAACCAAAATCACACTCTCAGCGGTCCGCTAAAGAATATAAACTGTATAAATATAAATAACCGTTTGATCACTTGAAAATATACCTTGGCTTTCGTGTCTTGCCTTCTGCTGTTACAAAACCATAAAATTTATAGTAATTAAGAATAAAGAAACAAACAGTCAGGGAATTCTAATGTGCTACACAACCTTTCCAATCAGAAATCAGTGAAACCCATAACAAGAAATATACATATGTATATAATACCTCCATTGTGTACGTCTTCCCGGAAGCTGTCTGTCCATAAGCAAATATAGTCCCGTTGTATCCATTCAATACAGAGGCGACAATTGATTTTGCGCTACGTTCATAAACTTCACTCTGTGTACAATTTGGCTGGAGAACAGCATCGAAGGTATACACCTTGCCCTTAATAAAAGTACAGTATAGTTGTTGTTACACAGATTTAGTTTAAGTAAACTGGTTATGATGAGATATAATAAGGAAAAGTTTGTACCAGCTAAACTGACTTTATCTCTCACTAAGGGTTTATTGGATCACTGAAATCCTAGTTAGTTTCGTTCTTCAGCTAATACGAATATAATTCAGATGGAGACAAAATAAATTTCCAAGGGCAATATGTAGATACAGTTGAGGATACAGTTATAAGATAAATAACTGTGAAAAAAAAACTCGAAAAGTGCCCAGAATTTCCCAAATCTTACTCATCGAGTTCATTTGATTCATTGTTCTAGGTGTTTTTACGTAGATTTTTTAAAAACGAAAATGTAATCATGGGATATTGTCGTACATTTCCAACTAATGTATCTTTTGTTTGCTAAAACGTCACCATTTTATCAAGTTTACAAACTGTTGAAATTAATTCATCACAAATAAATCACAAATCAGTTAAGTTCTACTGTGTCTTGATAAGAATCAAAACAAGACTGATTAACAAATATTGGTTTTTGTAGGGATTTTGTTTGATTCGTTGGAGCGTTTTATCATGAGCTGACATCAATTAGAGAACGATTGAAAAACCTGTAGGGAGTACTCGACATCTGCTCCATCCCATTTCGGTACTCTTTACCAGTGCGCACCCACCGCCAGGGTTCGAACTCAGTACCTTCAGATTACGAGACGAGCTCGTTGATCATCAAGTCACCGGAGCGTTATCCAATGGCCCGGCATTTCTGACTTCTGTCGATTCTCTACAAACTAACTCTTGGAATTTGCACTGATCCTCACTAATGACTGATTACAGAATGAAGTTGCCTGGAAGTCAGTGGGGTCCACTAGGTTAGGTGTGAAGACAAATACTCGCCTATAACACAGGCTGGTGGTCGTGCTAAGGTTGACAAATGACAGAAGTTAGAAACGGCGAACACTGGGACCCCGTCCTGAAGGGAGAACAGCAAACTGAAGGTAGTGGGTTTGATCGCCGGTGTCGTTGGAGGTGCGTGCTGATGAAGAGGTCTAAACTAGAACGAAACAACTGTCCATTATCCCTTGATTTTTACTGACTCTGTAACTGATATCAATCAGCGGGCCAACCGTAGAAACTTATTAGAATCAAAAACGAATTTCTTCAATTCATTTTGTAGTGGATTTCTTCTGAGACTCATACTGAGTGCCGTTCATCTTGAAAGTCAAAGAATAATCTGCTTACTTTGCTTCTGTTTCACCAGAGACATAGCCTTTACGATAGGCAGTAATTAATTTACTTTTTGGTTTCATGTTGTTGCATATTTTTCAACCGTAGTGATTAATTTCTCTACTTTGAACAAAGCAAGAACAACGATTGTACCAGGATAGTATGAACTCATCCTTTATTATTTCGAAGATTCTTCTCAACTGGTTACAACCTGAACGTTAAAAAATATGATTTACATTAAAGATATGAACATACTTTTCCACGATTACAAGGAGTAATTGGTAGGAATTAAAAGTAACATTAGTCCGGAATGGTTTAACTGATTAGGAGTTACAAACACTGACTATTTATAGAATAATTAGACAATTAGGCTTGGAAACAAAAAAACAGGGTTGCGTATATATGTGTGTGTATATAGAAACAAGATTTAGCTAGAAAGAGCATAACAAAAAAGTGGATTACGCAACTAAAGAAAATGTCTTGTCTAATAGCCAATAGAAAACAAACATGACTCACCCTACCTTGTTTCTTTTCTTTCCTTTTTTCTAATGGCTATTAGACAAGACATTTTCTTTAGTTGCGTAATCCACTTTTTTGTTATGCTCTTTCTAGCTAAATCTTGTTTCTATATACACACACATATATACGCAACCCTGTTTTTTTGTTTCCAAACCTAATTGTCTAATTATTCTATAAATAGTCAGTGTTTGTAACTCCTAATCAGTTAAATCATTCCGGACTAATGTTACTTTTAATTCCTACCAATTACTCCTTGTGATCGTGGAAAAGTATGTCATATCTTTAATGTAATTCATATTTTTAACGTTCAGGTTGTAACCAGTTGAGAAAAATCCTCGAAATAATAAAAGATGAGTTTATATTATCCTGGTACAATCGTTGTTCTTGCTTTGTTCAACTTTATTAATGGGAAGAATTTCATGAAGTTCTTTACTTTGATTTCATTGTGGTTTGCATTTGATTTCTTTGGAATACATGTTTCGTCTTATCCAGAACTCATCAGTTGCCTCTTCTGAAGCAGTATTGGTTACATTCAGACGATAATAATATTTACGATAAACTTATACTATAGTGTCCCTATGTATAATGAAATATCTTACTAAAGGTATTAGAACAGATACTGAGTACTTATTTACACAATTCCAAACCTTCATTGTCCGTTGAAGGCAAAGTAATCAATACTGTATCGTTCTATTTTACGTAGAACTGTCTTACCAGACAGAAATCTCTAATTCTGCACCATATACCGTGATGATGAGTCACCTAGCATAGGACCACATCGTAAAATTTCCTGAAAGATCTGTGTGTGCACCAACACCAATGAGTATATTTATTTTATTTTTTTATTTTTGATTAGAGCTTGATTCCACACTGTATTTTTTGTACAAGTATGGAATTTTCAGAATAGATATTGGTAGCCCAAATTTTGCAGGCCGACCATAGATATCAGGTGTGTGTTGGCAGGGGATCGAGCCTTGGACCATGTGCATGGTCGGCGAGAGTCCTAACCACTGTGCCACCGACGAATATTAATTACTACTTATTGTTCAACTAAAGTACCATCACAGTCTTACAAGAGGTTAATACGTAACCCGAATACCTAAGTGGTAACGTTTCTGACTGTAGTACTGGGTAACACAGGTTTGAACCTCATGAAGGCTCTTGAGTTCTTTGAAGATGGAAGACACACCTCGCGAATAATAGATAATAGTCACAAAACATAGGTTCAAAGCTTCCTGGCGATTGCTTCCAACCATCCAGCAACTCGTTTAATTGAAGAAACTTAAATGCATTTTCAGATTGTATATTTGTTAACTAAATACTTTGAAACACCGCTGATATTATATATTATAATAGAATGCTTGTTGACAGTTTAGCTGGAATAGTAACCATCTGAATATAAGTTGCCAGATCACTAGTGACTACTGAATGAACTTCCTGAAGCTGCAGAGGGAAGTTGTGTGACCAGTGGTGTCCACCACGTCAAGGTGAGGTAGATTCTCATTCCTATTTCAATCTCAATGTTATTGCGAAACGAAATATAAGAGTGACTTCATCATTACACAAAATTAGTTAAAACTGTTTATTTTTTGGCTAACCAACTTACTGCAATAGCTACACTGTTTGGTCCAGGAAATGAAACACTCATTGTACTATTTTTCATTCTTTCCATCTGATTTAATGGTCTAATTCGACAGACAACATTTATTGCCTCCTTCTTTATAGTATTCCTAGACTCCATTTGTGATGGGCTGTGTCGATAACAATGCACAGAAATGAACTGTAATTTAATTAACTTACTGTATTGATTCAGAGTTATTGATTTTAACCGATTGAATTTGTAGTAATATATGTTATATGATAATGAAGAACAGGACAGAATATAAAACAAGTGGCCTGATTTAATAAGAGGTTAAATCTTCACACCAGCGTTTTGAACATTTTATACTTACCAAGATTATTTCTGTTTCTTATGAAATGTTGAACTGAGAGTGAATGCTTTTGATTTAGTTGTGTTCTCTTAGCTGGTCCATTTAATCACGAAGCTTTTGCTGTCCTTCTACACAATATCTTCAGGGCAGGTTTTAGTATGAGAAGTATGACATTATGAGAGTGAGTCTTTCTGACTTACAAAAATCAAGTCAATTTTGACCGGTATTACTAAGATAATAAGTAGTTCATTGCAGATATTTTGTTTAAGTCAGCTCAGTTCAACAAGTTTAAATTTCCATTATTTCAAGTTTAAATTTGAATTTGAGACTAATTCTTAGAGTATATAAAGGTAGCCTAGGAACATATCACACCACTCTAAATCTTCCCAATGTACCTTGTAATTTTTAATTGCAAATGACTGATGCTATGAATTCAGAATGATAATGGTCCTGGACTACAGGTTCATGAAAAGTCAGAAGAACCATTGTGCTTATTTCGGTCCTCAAAGAACTGACTATTTCTGCAATTTCGGGAAAAAGAAATCCCCCTCTCACTATGAATGTCACTCCTTTCATATCTCTGCCGAGTACTTATTCAGGCTCTGTTTATCTATTGCTTTCATCTTTTTTACCAATATACAATTTTATTGTAATCTCTAGGCCGGGATCTACTAAGCCCTTTAGAACATGTATCTGCATAGACTTGAACTGACATTGAATAATGGAAGTAGCTCAGATCCTTCTTATCATCCTGTCTATAAATCACCTTGCTGAGTCTTCTTACTCTCTGCAACTGCTCGTATGCGAATTCTAATTCTTCGGTGCTTACTTTGAAATTTGCAGAAACCATCACATCTTCATCCAAAGCGTACTCAACCACCCGTTTGGTAACGGGATGAAATATCATTGAAGCCTACCTATTTGCCGCTGGATTATATAATTTAAATTGCAGAAATTGAACTTAAACATGGCTGCAAGTAACTGTAACTTTACATGACTTATTTACCTTGACAGTTGTCATGCACTTTTTGAATATCGTAACTAACTTGCCCTTTTTATTTTGATAATTTATTGTGGTGATTGACAATTTCTATCTCTGTATTGTTTAAATACTTACTGTTGATTGTTAATATGTTTCTTATATGAATTGCATAATAATTCCGCTAAATACAAATTCCTGAGTTCCGCCCTCTTTGTGTTTTGGTTGGATTCGTGTAATTCGGTCATCTCGAAATACTAATACTACAATTACAGTAAATTACTACATTTATATGATAGCTTGTAGTGACCCATTTTATTATTTATCATCGTAGTATACTTTCACTATACAATTGGACTTGGAATTGTTGATTACTCTAAGGATTGCGTGTTAACAATTGATACATTGTACTCGCTCAACTTTGAATTTTGACTATTGCGGTAATACAAGTTCGTACTCCCTCTCAAGTGCCCCTTGGTTCACGTTGTGGATGTCAAGTAATCACAACTTTAGGTATTATTTAATATTATTTAAACGCATAAAAAACTTGGTACAATATGGCACCAAGAAAGATGCGCCACAACTTTAGGACACAATAATCAACGTGAAGAAGTACTAGGATATACGTGTATGCTATTTTGGTCAAACAGAGCAACACAACAAACTGTCTTTAGTATTTAGACCACCACAACCATGATTATGTTGTAGTTAGTACTGAAATTTTGTCACTAATAAATATTCATCAGGGAGACAAAAGGAAACATGGCGTGTGGTGGTGCGACACAGAAAATGTGTGCCAACGGATTCTCACATATTCCAACAGTTCAATTCGGCATTAGTAACAGAATACTGTATACATATTTGAAGATTCTATTTCATGTCAGAGACGGAATACCATCCCCACAGATAAATACTTGATTGGCAGCAGAATACTATGTATATATGAACATTCTGTTTCATGTCGTTTGATGTAAGCCAAAGTCGCACGCTCAGTGATTGGTTAACGAATATAGACTGTAGACATATCAACGGCAGTTTGATTAATTAAAAATGAACTTTGACTTCCGTGTTTTGCCTTCCGTTGTTACAGGCGTACTGGAAGTCTATTTCACTCTAGTTTGTGAATGACAAGCACAAACGATCCCAGTGGATACTAAACACAGGACCTCCAGGTTTCTTGGCCAAACGTTTCGCCATCAGTTGGCTGAGGTGTGACAAGATGTCGTTATAAGAACTCAATTACCAGGAACATGCACTTGTTCATGTACCAGGCTGAAAGACACTTATTGCATAAAGAATGATGATACTACTCATTAACCAAAGTGAAGTAGTTGGAATGGTATTCGAACCTGTGACCCATAGGCTGAAACTCAAGTGACACATAGTCCCACCGGAGTCGAATGATTCATGAATTATGATTTCTACCAATTCTCGACTGACCCCACCACTAACGAATCTATACACACCAAAAATCCAAAAATTATTCTAACTTTGACGACTTTTCACTTGGAACATAACATTTATAATGGTTTAACACCTTGAAAATTTAGCCTCGCCAGATTTACTAGTTTCCTAGTTTTGTAACTGGTCCTAAGCCTGAAGAAAATGGGAATGCTGAGAGTGAAGCTAACGACCATACCCTAGGAAATCAATCGAGTCTATGTGGAAACTTCAACCCAATTCCAAAGGACTGTAGACTTTTATCAACAGCCTCCTCAGCCGGTTTCATAATAAAGATCAAATGGCCAAAAAGAATTACTAACAAGAAACTCAAGCAACAAACCAACCGAGAGCCGATCAGTCGGGAGAAAATAAAACGGATTAGATACACGACTAGGAGACCGTTGGATGACATCGAGTGCAGTGCAAGCCATCATTCGAGTGGAAGCCATATGTCAATGTAGTTGAAGATTGAACGATCAATTCATGGTTGTTTGCTCAAAACCAACTTACCCAATTTTCGCGCAGGCATCAATACACCAGTCATCGTCTCATCGGTCGCTGTTCAGAAAGAAGTCAGACCAAAACTGTCAGAAGTAATATTGTGATTCATTATTGTAATATTTGTTCATAGACCTTAGTTGAAGCTTAATTTTAAAGTTGGCTATATGTTGGTGTTACAATAAAGAATTCTCGAGTAGCCAATCGGTGTTTTGGTTTTGCGTCCGTTCGTACTAAGCGTCTCTGAGAAACTTAAAGGAACAGCGTGAGTCCCAGCGTAGCAAGAGCTGGGCATTGACGGTTTACGAGACGTGGCTGACACCATATATGGGAAACGATAAGTTAAGCTTTGGTTGGAGAGATATAGTTTAAGAGAAAGATGAGAGACTAAACGCAATCATTCGACCAGGTAAAGAGTATGGCAGAGAATAGGACTAGGTGAAGATGTGATATTTGAGCCTTATGTTCCACATGGAAGCCAGGAGAACATAAATATTTTAATAAGTGTATAAACAGGTGCATATCAAATGCACGTTTTCATTTTTATTCCTTTGGGTTCCAAGTGGAACGTCATGATTCGTCAGAATATCTTCACTTCACTATGTTTTTTGCAGTCTCTTTTATTTGGCTCTACGATGGCAAATAAGCTTCGATTTACTCTTCACGCCATCTTCTTCATAGCATTTACGCGCCAGATAAATGATTTCTTATCGTTTCGTAGCGGAAAATAATCCCCTATAACTGTTATCCCACAGCTTTTATGTCATTCGAAATTGGGAGTTGATCTACACTTACAAGGTTGATTTGTTAAAATGAAAGTACTCTGTCAAGGGCCCACGCCATATGGCGCACTGCAGGGTAACATTCCTTTGATTGCCCATGAACTTTAGTCAGTTAAATACACATAACTGGACGACTTTACAGATGTCTGAATATTTTTCGTATTTCTAGTGATCAAACTGTTTTTACGTCTTACGCCTTCTAACTCTTCTCTGGTCCCTGCCAAGTAGATAAATTTTGGGAGTACGTGTACTACTATATTATCTCACTCTTTGACACCTATCATCTCCTAAAGTTTTTCTGGAATTCATGAGGTGAACTATTTGCTTCAACCTGAAATCATAGCGAGCTACTAATAATATAATTTTACCGTTGAATTTCAGGCTTCAGACTAATAGTGACCAACAACAAATTCTGACCCCAAGAACCCACGAAAATAAAGACAAAAGACGGGCTGGTTCGTGCTGGTGGGAGAAATTCAATCTGTTATGTGAAAACAGACTATATGAATACATTAAGTACCTAGGAAATCGAAACCAACAAGCAACCGACTAAATTTGCTTACAAGTTTGTGCATGTAGATTGGCCAGTTGCAGGTCTGCGAACCTGCACCACTGAACATCCTGACCAGAACCACAAACCCTGACAAACTTGACGCAGAATCAGTAGACGTTTTGACAAACTTCATCACAAAAGAGGTTATCAAAAGACTAGGTACTAAACTAAGTTTGATAGTCTATAATATACCAGATAGTTAGAGGTTGAAAATGGTTCAAAGTATCTTGCTTAGGGTGGCGAAAATGCCTAACTCCCAAACACAACGTCACAGAAACCAATGCCTCTTGTAAGCCGATAACATCCTCTTATAGCCATAACGTGAGAATTCAAGTTGAATTCGGTAACAAAACGTGCCGAAATACACCATTTGTAACGAAAAATCCCCAACATTTTCAAACTCCTTAGAAAAATCCACGCTGTATAGTAAATAATATAAAAAAACTATGCTAATAACCAAATTTAAAAAGCACAAATAAGGTCAAAAGGCCCACGGACAGTAGCAACATAGCTCGCTAGCATACTATGCCAAGCCACACTAGAAGCTGGTGTGGCGACACCATCACGCAAAGTAGTTTAAGTGGCAACACTCAGAGCCCAACCACCCATCTTTCTGGGTGTTCAGAGTATGAGACACGGACAAACGTTTACAGAATACACGGAACAAGTCTCCCGGGAATCAAACCACAATGCGGCAATTCATATTATGAAACCCGCGTAAGGACGCTTAGCATGACTCAAAACAACAGGCAGATTAATAAGTCATGGGCATCACAGGGTGCCAATGATTTTTCATCCTCTACATTCCTATCAGCGCTAACCAAACGACTGGTGAGGATGTTGACTCTTCTGAACCCGTACCACTAATGTTGGCTACCTATCAGGAAGGAAAAAAACACATTTAGTGCACACGGAATTATTAACCACATCCAAGGCTTGTACAAGCATAGGCCAAATAAGAACTCCCACCCAAGTCTCCAACCTACCCAAGCCTAGAACTACCGCATCCCATAGTGAATCCAATTATATAACTCATTATTCACTAAAAGAAATAAATGGTAACTCGATGACATAGGTGAGTATGGTACAGTGGCACAGTGGTTAGGACTCTCGCCGACCATGCACATGGTCCGGGGTTCGAGCCCGCACCAACGCACACCTGATATCTACGGTCGGCCTGCAAAATTTGGGCTACCGATATCCATGCTGAAAATTCCATACTTGTACCGAAAATACAGTGTGGAATCAAGCTGTAAATAAAAAAAAAAAAATTGCAACACAGGGTTGTTATGCCATGCGGAACCAGAGGATGCCGAACCTTACTTGAGCCTGACCAACCAGCTTAAATACTTCAAACACTACTTCAACTCTCAACTTTACTTATTCCTTATTAATCCTAGAACTTTCCTAAAAAACTACCGATGCTCAGGGCACACACACCGGTATTAGTATTATTACTGAAACTTGTGTCACCCCAAAATACCAGGCTTAGAGATAAGCGTCGATGGGTACACACACTTTCGATGTGACAGGAACAGCGGTCGGGAGGAGGTTGTCTAACGTACTTCCTGAACACACTCACTGTATTACAGCTAGAAAATAGGGAACTCAACGACATGTACGACACCCTATGGGTCAACGTACACTTCAAAAGTGCTACTTTACTGGTAGGATGTATATACGGAGCACCTGACACTCTTAGTCATTGCCAGACTCAGCTCATCGATGCACTTGAGAAAGTCTCCAATCTTCCATACAATCATAAGATCATATGTGCAGACTTCAACCTACCCGAAATCAACTAGGATTTATCAACAGGCCCAACTAAATATGACAAGCTCTAAGTTACACTGAACATTTTCGGCCGGAGACAAACTGTCATTATCCCTACAGGAGGTGACAACGTACTGGACTTAATATTCTGCCACAACATAAGTCCACTCTTAATCTTGGTGGGTCCTAAGTTTTCAGGTCGTGACCACAAAACAGCGATGTGTGCACTGCCACTTCCACTAAATAGCAATGCAGCTCATACCTCCACTTCACAACAATTAATACATAGGAACTATAGTAAGGCAAACTTGGCTTTCGTAGAATCAATGCTAAGATCCTGTGAATGGGGCGAATACTTAATTACTGATGACTTCTCGAGAGCTCTGAGAATCTTCTACCAGAACCCAAACACATGCGTAGATGCCGCCATTCCACTCTAAACACTGAAGATTCCCCACACAGAAAGTCATTTATAAAACCAAAGGATCGTACGAAACTGAAGAAACTCTTGACAAGTTACTTAAAGGACGATGACTTTGACACACTTGTTTTATTACCTAGCGCTCTTAGCTACATCTCACAGGCTTGAGATTTGCGTATAAGAAACGAAGAACGCACCGCACTAGTCAGTCCTGTTAGGGCGTATATTACCGCGGAAATCCTAAAGAAGCGACTGAATCGCAGAATAAATAAATAAATTTATTCTCATGGTACAGTATATGAGGGAAGCCAGTTTACAGGCATCATTAAATTGTTACGGAAATAGAACCATACTATTCAGTCACAATTTACAGTCGATAGCAAATTATGTTTAACATGTACGCTGGAGATTATACATACACTTGATAAATGTTAATCCGAATAGTATAAAACATCCTTTTCACTTATGTACAATCTTTTCTGTGCATAGTTGGAAAAATCCGCTAGATTGTCGGTGAGTGCAACACATCAGGAAATACAGAAGTATTGTCTTCGCATTAACAAAAAACCAGGTCTTTGGTGGATGGGTTATAAGTGCCTGGGAAAAAAATAAAGCTTGAAGTCAATTTTCGTACATTACTTTGTTGTGTGCATAGTCCATGAATTATAGTTCACTGATGTGTTATTTTGAAATCAGTGATATGTTTATCTCATTTGATCTGCAATGTCATTGTTGGGAGTAAAATACATAAGCTGTAGACGCATTAATTAATGGATTTCTACTGCTTGTGGGTATTTACTTCTCGTGAGGAAGGTTTTTGAATTTTAGTTGTTCCGACAGGAGTTGTGGATATTGACTGCTCAGCAACATTACGGATATAAGTTCATCAAATTATCTTAGGAAAGTTGGGTTGTAGTTGGTGAGGCATATACGATGCCCGACGAGCGTACATCTGTCCATGTGATGTTGTGGTGAGTTATATCTTTTTCATGTTGTCGATTTATGTCCATTTTATTCCACTTATTGTGTTGGGTAGAAGTTTTACAAACGAAACTTCTTGTCTGTTTGAGGGTAAGCATCTTAATCGTTAATGTTTTATCTAAAATTATAAATATCGGCAAAAACAACAGGCGTAGTATTTAGGCTTATATATTAAATCAAAGCATTTCTCTCCTCATAAACAAAGGTAGGCCATGCACTGATTCGGTAGACATGCGTGAATTATTCAACAAAAAATTTGCAGCTAACTACCTTAAGCCTACAGTCCTGTTACCCGGTATACACCCTCCTACTAATATGGCACAACTTCCATCCTTATACACACCAAAACAAATTAGTGTCGTTGAATTCACTCATGCCAAGATCAACCAAACTACTAGAACTCTCAAAAGTTCGAGGGTTTTGGCATTGGCGGTATATCATCTACTACTGCTTAAAATCTTCGTGAGGTCCTTAGGATCTCAAACTTTCCCGGACATATGGAAAGCAACATTTATTATGCCTAAACACATATCTGGCTCAAAAACAGAAATCAGCAACTGTAGGCCGATCAAAATCACACCCATAGCATCTAGAATTATGGTAAGGCTAGTTAAAGATAGCATATTCAAACTCATGCTTTAAGTTCAACTCCATGAAAGAGTTGGCTCTAGTACTTCAATGGTGGTACGAGAAAGAGGGTAACGTGGGAGAAAATATCCGATGCCGCGAAAGCTGACCTAGAAGCATAAAGAGGTGGCAAACTTAGATCACAACGCTTCCCCATGACTCAGTGACACTGCAGTGGTGCGACACTGTGAATCACAGTTAATATCACCCAAGTGTCCTATCTATTCCAAGGGAAAACGACAACCGGCCGGTTCCATCAGAATCGGCCAATTTGCCCCAACATTCATTCCTCTACCACCCCATAACACGCTGGGTGGTAGCTGCCTGTGTAGCAATATAAGAGGAAACTTAGGTGAACTCAGAAACCCCAGTCACGCCTACACCCAAAAACAATAATCCTTATAAGATCCTGGAGAACCCCCACTATCGCCAACAACGAATTCACTATAAGTGAAACGGTTCTGGTAAGGCAAGACAAGGATAACAAGAAAGGTGGAGTTGCCATATACTCTGACAAACAACTTAAGTGCGTGCATGCAACTGACCCACGATTTACTGAACTCCCAGACTCTATATGGTCTCATTTCTTCGTAGGACATACCAAGCATTTAATGGGTGGCAACTACCGATCCCCACCTGTGGGGCAGTGCACAACCAGCTCAGCAGCATCACAGAAATACGGGACTTGGGCCGTGGCCAAGTCACTACAGCTGAAGATTTCATTGCCCCATCCCTGAACTCCGGATAGAGGTAAGCTCACAGAAGATTCAGTCGAAGCCTGATACAAACCATCAGAAATACATGACTCCCTGCGAACGTTGGAGAAAACCCCAATGGAAAGTTATCGAAACTAGATTGCATTCTAACTAGTGGCCAGGTACTTGTCGAAAATGTCCAGATCATGATCCCCCCGTGTAGTAATGGCCATGCAATCCCAGAGTTTGATTTTCTTCTGTGTGACCGCTTACAGTGTGAAGCTATTAGGCCTTCTCTGTGTTTTAGAAAGGTGACTATGTAGGAATGCGAATAGGCTGAGTTATTCATGAGTGAACACTAGGAAGTTGTGAAAGAGATTATTCGCAAAGCCATTTCAGACGCCTTCCCTCTAGTCGAAGTACAACCGTAGAAAGTATTCTGATGACTGAAGAAATATATGCAACATATTTTGCAAGCAAAGTGGAAGGCTCGGTCTACTTGGCGAATATCCAAGAGTCAGACCGACCACGACGCATACCTGGAACTCGGGAACCGGCGCAACTCAAGGATCACGGGTGACAGGAAGTCATTTCGGACCAACCTTTCCAGAATCTCCTGGTGACACAGTCTTAACACACAGCATACTGAAAACTACTGATAATTAATCCCAGCACCACTCCTTTTGCAGTCAACAAAAGCTGCGACAGTCGAGTGGCGGAAGTTTGCTGAAGACAAGGAACCTTTGCCTCACAAACAAGAAGTGAGCAAAAAGAAATCAAAGTGACTATCACTAGCTCATAAAAACCAATATTGGATATTGTACTTGTTTAAAACTCTTATGTTATGACAACCTAGGACACTCGGCTTTGGTTAACTTTTGAAATGGCTAAAAGGAGGGTAGAAATCGCATTACAAGATGAAATCAATGATCAAGATAGCTGGAATTTGTTTCTCGAAAAAGATGGTCTGAAAAGTAATAAAAATGTAGTGGCCGCTATAGTATATCTTTTCAGTAATTGATGTCTATCAAGAATGGTGTGGTCCTTGTTCAGCAGTTGTTGGACTATTCAAGAGACTAAAAACAGAGATCAATGATGACTTGTTACATTTTGCTGTTGCGAAAGCTGATAGTATTGACTCATTGCATTTGTACAGGGGAAAGTGTGAGCCTTACTTTTTGTTTTATGGGGTAAGGTGACTTAATCTACACATTTAATTACTTATCAGGGTGGTTGCCTTGTGGCTGCAGTCAAAGGAGTTAATCCTCCAGTCTTGGAAAAACATATTGTTGATAAACTTAAACAAGAACATGATGTAATGAATGGCGAAGCTAAAAGGGTTGAGGTTTGCATTAACATTGAATTGAATATTTTGTGCTAATGAAATTACAGATCAAAGATCCTATGCTCCTCGCTAAAGAGCTTGAAGAAGCTGAATTAAGGAGAAAAGAGAGGAGGAAGAAGGTAAAATAAATTAATGGTGTTCATAATAATGTACTTATAACCAGAGGTTGAACAGGAAGTTACAATTGCAGTACTCAAGCCTGATGTAGTCGAATCTGGACAGGCAGAGGAAATTATTGAACATGTAGGTGGTATACCACTTTTTATTTTCTACATAGCTTAAAGAGAAGGGCATTAAATACTTGAACAACAGGAACACTTATTTTCTACTGAAGAGGCTGAAGTCTTTTACGAAAACGTCAAAGACCAACCTTATTTCAATGATCTGGTGCAATTTATTATATCTGGTCCTAGCAGAGTATTAGTGTGCGCATTAGAAGGCAAGCAAGGTGTTATAGAGGAGTTAAGAGGTTTGATTGGACCATCAATTATTGAAGACGGTGTAGATGATTATTCTGAAACGTAAGGCGGAATTTCCAGTTTGATCTCTCTCTCAAATGCTTTATGTACTTTTTATGTTAATTTTCTCGAAGTTATGGTATTTATGTTAAGTTTTGCAAAATAATGAAACTTTTTATGGTAGTACTTAACAAGCATTGACTTCGGGCGCACTGAAGTAAACTTTTGTGCAACAATGTTGCTGACACTTAATAAAGTAAAGCTATTGACCTATGTTTGCACCTTCAAAGAGTGCGTTTATTGGCAAATTTATTGCAATAAGTGCAGAAACATGGTGCAAAAATCAAATCAAATGTAACTTTTAAGTGATAACTTATCTCTAACGACGAAACAGTCTCTAACACTATTTGGCGATATTTTTATATTATTGCCACTTAGTGTTTAAAACCCAATAAATTCACCAAAACTGTTATACTCGAACAACTTATCAAACCTAACCAACAAGAATGGATAATAATTAAAGTCATAGCTCTCTGGTTAACAATGATAACCTCAGAAATCGTGTATGGCTTTCTTTCATGAAGTAAAGTTAAAGTCACTATCAGAAAAGATAAGCCCAAGATAGATATTCGTAAGGAAAGACAGAGTTTTGTTCAGTAGAGAAATATTTCTTTCCAACATCTTTATTTTAAACCTGTACAGCTTTATTTAAAAAACGGAATAAAGCATTGAGAAGCGCTAAACTCCGAAAAGATTCACACTTTCACTTCTTATTTATAACTGAAACACTAACTTTTGTTAGGTTCAGACTGTAAAAGCAGAAACACGTCATCCTGTATACGCTGAAAACTGGATATATGAGATTCTGAAGGCACTGTCCCGTGAAATTTAAGTCAGGGTATCTAGTGGTAGACTTGTTGGATTTTGACGTGAAATATCCATAGCTCCTTACCCATTGTCTTTAACAATCTCACATCAATTCATAGTATTTTACACATCGTTAGTTTGCTCCTATTTTCTGTTTATCTCAGCTTTGAGTATACCTCCAAGCAAGAAGTTTACCTTGTTTTCTATAAGAGCTTAGAATTACAAGCAGTAATGTTTCACAAAAAGTCTCTCTGTAAACTTTGAAGTTCACATTTAATCCTCTGAAGTTACATATATAATACACAAATGAATGCAAGTACAAAGATTAGGCACAAAATTATTTTTCGGATGACTCAAAAAAACACCCAATCATACACTGTAAGTGGCTGTAGAAGCTAACATCCAATTATTGTTTTCCTCAGCTGAATCAGTTGATTTTATTGTACAGACTTATCAAGCACATAACAGTGAATACAGTAAGATAACAAAACTTCTGTTACTTTTTAACGATAACTTGTCTTAATTCAGTGTTTCCACCGTTCATGTGAAAGTAAACTACAGATTTGCATCCTGGATTCCACTGCTAGTCACCATCCACCAATTAGATTTTGATTACATGCCCAGACATCATGGAAGCATCTGCGCAAGAAGCCAACGGACATGTCAACCTGAGACCAAGCACTTCAATCTAACCAGTCGACGGGAAAATCTAAAATTCAATTAAATAATTAAGATGACCCGCTGCACAAGAGGTAGCTCTCGTGGCGTTTGGAACTACGGGCATTCGGTTCAATCCTCGGTGGGAATATCACCCTATCAGTGGAGAATGCAGGTACATCCAGTTAGCTGACGAGTCCCGAATTGGACGAAATGCGCATCTTGGATTCCACTGCTAATCACCATCCACCAAATGAATACAGATTTTGCAGTTTGTAATAGCATATAAATATGACTAATACTTAGACCCATGCAAATCTTAAGTAAATTATTTAAAGTAGACCCTTCACTTTGTTAAAATGAGTTTTTACCAGTTTTTTAAGCTACTATAGTAATAATAGTATTGGTGATAGTAAAACTTTAAAGTTTTAAGGTTCAGCTTGATGAATAGCATTTATTTTGTTACTCCGCAAGAACGAAAAGCCTACACTTTTTACATTAATCTAGCGTTAGCTTCCTGAAAAGGTATTTCACTCCTTGAACAAGAGTATAAATACACCGTAAATTCTTGTCATCGTGATATAAAAGTCCTGAATCAGCAAATATGTTGAACAATTCTTTCACATAACTCGGTCATGAAAGTTCTAAGGCGCTTTAATAGCGATTTGTCATTTTTCTTTGTGGATTATACACCTGTAATGTGTGCGTCAGTGGCACAGTGGTTAGGATTCTTACCGGCCGTGCACATGGTCTGGGGTTCGATTCCCGGCCGACGCACACCTGATATCAATGGTCGGCCTGCTAAATTCGGGCTACCGACATCACATGCTGAAAATTTCATGCTTGTACCAAAAATACCGTGTGTAATCAAGCTATAATCAAAATTTTAAAAAAATTAATTATATATGTTTGAATTGTTTAAAATTTTGCATTTACTATCACTCAGTATTTCATGCTCATTAAATTTGTCTTATATTTCAGAATAAGAGCAAAGTATGCTAGTGGAAGAGTTAAAAACGCTATTCATGCTGCTGACTCTAAAGAGGAGGCTGCAAAGTAAGTTTATGGGCTTATCTAGTATATAATTACTTGTTAATTTGAGCAGACTGTGCGAGAGGGGAATCACATTAATGAAAGACCGTCCTATCTTATTATCCTTTACTTCAAGACTATTAATTTTGGCTCAACATTGTGTAGGATTGACCATAAGACTTACAATTCATAGAATTTTACACATGTTGACCTAAACACTGAGTTTATTAAATTATCTAAGAATAAAACCGCTGTACGTGGACATATGTTGTACTAGCTTGTTTCACCTCTACTAGAAAACAGTAGTTAGGTACATTCAGATATTTTTGCATACAGTCTACTACCTTTAAAATTCAGCATACTATTATGAACATACTATTACGATTTCTTTTCGGAAACTTGTATTTCGAATATATAATGTTGATTTTTAGTAATTATGACTTATTTCCCAAGGCTGTTACTCTGTTTAACCTGAAAATTCACTTTCTTGGGCACTTCTACCGAATAACAACTATTTGAATAACTTACTATAGATGCGGAATTTGGACCCTATGGAATTCTCCCCAGTATACGACATGTAGATTATATATTTAGATTACAACTGAAACCTTATTAGTGTCAATATTCCACTAAATAAATGATATACTTTATTTATCACCGTTCACACTTCTGTCCTTAAACTCTGACTATCTATACTATACATTGTGAGAAGCCTATTGCTGTCTATAGAAAATCTCTTATTCATGCGTGTACTTTGTGGAAAAACAGACGGTTACTCTTTTCACCGATTTATAATCATGACTTTTAATTTTTGTGTAGTGCAGTCACTTTGTAACGACAGAAGGCAAGAGTCAGGCAACAGATCGTTTATTAAGGAAATCAACACGTATGTATATATTTTCATGTACATTATTATAGCTTATTCAAGCAAACAAACGCAGTCTTCTGATTGGTAGTTTCTCACAGAAAGTTAACCTTGCATCTCTTTGTGGCTGTCTTTTGAGTGTCAGATCATCTATATGTTAAATCTATCTACCTACGCAAAGTGTGCTGTGATTGGTTTTTGAATCAGTCTTTGTTCATATTTTCTCATGGCCAATATTTGGGGCATACACACTGACGTAAAATACTGTCTACCACTTTTGGCTAGCAGCCACCTCTCGCCACGACTTATTTTGCCATTTTCTGTCTAAAACGTTTATGTTCAACCTGAGGCTCTAAGAAGATTTATGCTACGGTTTACCGTCTTAATTCCAAGTGATTCAGATTTGAGAGTATTAATTTCCTCTAGTCGCCATTATTCATTTAAACTGAATACTGTTAGATCCGAAACGCCAAGTTTATAGTTAGTTTAATAATAATAATAACAGCTTTATTCCAAACAGTATTTGTGGTACAGGTATGGAATTTTCAGCGTGCATTACAGTATATTGCATCTAATTACCTCATAAATTATATAAGATTTTTAAAAATCAAAGATAAATAAATAAAAATAAAATAAATAAGTTATAAATAAATAAAATAAATAAATATTAAAAATTAAGAAAAAAAACAGCGTAGAGTATTTCATTTCAAACAATGCACCACAGGATTTGAAATATAAAGTTGATGTGTGGTAGTAGATGAGAACAACAGTGTAGTAGTAACGAGGAAAGGAAAACAAAAACTAATGAGACTATTTGTTAGAGTGCCGCAGTAAGTTTATCGTGTCATACCTAACGGATTTCTCATCACATAACAGCTGTGCCAGATATGGTATTGTGGAGTTTTTGTATTTGGTAGTCCTAGCATATAGCCTCCTATAGCTGCTTCTAGTTCTTCCAGATGAAATGCAAGGAGATAGATGCGTATAGAGAGGATGCTCGGGGTCCGACAATATTGTATTCGCTAGTTTCTTACATGACATAATATGTCTATCTACAATAGTGTTCACCAGTTGGTTTAACGATATCCCACTTGCCCTACTAACAGCTTTTAGTGCCCTTCTCAGCGAAGCAAAGTCTTTCTTAAGTAGTCCAGGAAAGACTAATGGGGAGCAGTAAAGGAGGATGGGTAGAATACAAGAATTTACAAACTGAGAAAGTAAAGACTGGTTTATGCCAGACTGCCTAAATTTCCTAATGTAGAACGTTAAGCGAAACATCTTTCTAGTAACTAGCAAGATGTGGGAAGACCAGGAAAGATCGGTGGAAAAACTCAGCCCAAGGTACTTGACATAAGATGTATTTTCAACCTCTGTGCCGTCAATGAGAGTGGGGCCATGTGAGCTAACTAGTTGCTGTAGGTCACATTTACGTCTGAAAGTGAAATTGACTACCTGACATTTAGACGGATTAAGCTTAAGTCCGTTTGAAGAGGACCACTGACTAATTTCCGACAGAAAGCTATTTAATTTGGAACAATCTGACTGAGAGTTGACAGGCATAGAAACCGAGAGGTCATCGGCATATTTAACAAAAGTGGCTACATCAGAATGAGGCAAGTCATGTAAGAAAAACGAGAACAGAAAGGGAGAAAGAACAGCACCTTGAGGAACACCAGCTAAAGTAAGTGAGGTAGTGGAGGATTTTCCATTGTAGACGGTGTACTGCTTCCTTTCAGAAAAATAGGAATGCAACCACTTATTTGTCCAGCTTTCAGCCTGTGTTGCAGCAAGCTTACTTAGCAAGAGAGACCTGGGAACAGAGTCAAATGCAGATGTGTAATCAAGGAAGGCACAGCGAACGTATTTAGCTCCTTTATCTAAACTAGAGACTATGCTATGGTGGAGGACGACAGCGGCATCTAACGTACTCCTACTATGTTTATAAGCAAACTGGTTGGGGTCGTTGAAAGGTTTTAAAGAGGGATCAAGATTAAGTAAAATAAGTCTTTCCATAACTTTCAAAAAGGGTGAGGTAATTGAAATGGGTCTAAACTTAACATTAGGTCCACTTGTAGATTTAGGCACTGGAACGATCTTGATGTTTTTCCATGATTCAGGTATAATACTTTTGGAAAACGATTCGTTGAAAATGTCAGTTAGCGGGGAACACAAGATGTCGGCACACTCCTTAAGGATAACAGCAGGAACACCATCAGGACCGAGGGACTGAGTAGGCTTGAGAGATTGAAGACACTTGAGGACATCATTCGTGTTAAAGCATGAGAAGCAGTCATTGTTTACACTATTTGAGTTAGGAATCATAACATTTGCTGGGATACATATGAAGGATTCATTAAGCATGTTAACATCTACAGAAATATCATTCAACATTTGCTTACCACCTGTGATTTCCTTTAATAACTTCCACATATTTGATGGGGATTTACATGAAAGAAACTTCTGGTTATAGAGAGCATTCAATCTTTGTAATTCAAGCTTAATCAAAGTGTTCATTCTCTTAACACCAGATTTGTTTTTCATTTTGAACAACCTTTCTTTTTCACGGCGGAGCTTTTTGAGTTGAGAAGAGGAGAAGCGATCGAATTTTAAGAAGATTGTCTCTTTTGGACAACAAACATCAAGACAGAAATTAAGATAATGTGTTATGTTGGCAATTGTGTTATCAAGAGCTTGTTCAGTAAATAGATCCCAGTTTGTGTCTTTTAACATGGACCTTAGGTTCAGTATGTTGTCATGGGAATAACATCTGTGTTGTGTTTTCTTTCCAAGGTATGAGAAGACCCTTTTGTGCTGCTTTCCATATACTTTGGGCAATATTCTTATGATACAGTGATCTGAATTTAGTAGTGGGGCTCTTTTTCGAGCTTCAAATATTCCTGCATCGTTTGTAAAAACAAGGTCAAGAGTGTTGTCCATTCTAGTCGGGAAGTTGACAATATTATCGTGTCCAAGTGAAATTAGGAAGCTGTGGTCACTAGAATTAAAATCACCAGTAACTATAGACAAGGAATTTCCGAAGGAGGTGGCAGCAAGGGAAGTAAATTCATCCGCAAATAAAGATAATTCTGTGGAGTTGCATCCAGGAGCAATATACATGTTCGAGATGTAAATGTAGTTGTATTTTGACAAATGTTTAGGTCGACACTTAACGGTGAGACAGTCAATATTGTCACTAGAGAATTTGAAACATACATTATTAGACGTACACCATTGTGAATTGATGAAGATGGCGACACCGCCACCGCGTTTCTTCCTGGAACTACACCGATCTTGTCTGAATAGTTTGAAATTATTTAGATACACTAGATTGTCATCATATAGATCATGAAGCCATGTTTCTTGAAGTGATATGATCCCAGCTAACATCTAGTTGTTCCTGTTTCTAGTCTAATTCACTTTTCTTTCTCAGTACACCTTCTTTACTAAATAAAAAGCGATTATTTTAATTTTAGTTTAGCTAACTTGTTTGATATTCACCTAAATAACCTTTTCTTATTTATTCTTCTTATTTATCGCGTATAACAAACAACAACAAAAACAACAGGGAACTGGCATTCTTCTATCCAAATTTTGAACCACCCATTATAACAGTAAAACGTGCTCATCCACTTCGTGAAAGACACGATGAAAAATATGATGATATTGATAAAAAAGGCCAAATAGAACGCACAGTCGCCTTGTTACGTCCACAAGCTTACGAATTATATAAGGATAAAATTCTGGAAGAAATTAAGAGTGCTGGATTTACAATAGCAATGCAAAAAGTGATACAATTAACTAAAGAACAAGTAGAAGATTATTATAAAGAGCATAGAGGAGAACCGTATTTTGGCGAGTTAACAGTTGTAATGTCCAGTGGTCCATGTTTAGCCTTACTTTTAGCCAGAGAAGTAAGTTGTTCAGTTCGTTTGTTTTATAGTTCAGAAAATATTTGATGTGAACATTTTGTAGGTGAGTTAATAACTTCACTTACTATTGAAAATATTCCACTATCCTATTCAGTATAGAAGAAATTACACATATTTTATCTGTGATATCGAAATATAAGCCGTAGTGTCAAAATAACTACTGGGTATTTAATTCATTCTCATAATAAGCTACACCTATTTAAATGTAGTGAAACTGATAGGCAACAGTGTTGTGCATTAAACAGCTTTGGAATCTGACCGAGTCACGAAGTGCTCATTACAGGTTCGTAAGCAAATTAATACACGTGTAGAACGTGGTTGGTGGTGCAGCTATAGAATACTCGGCAACCACGCCTCACGTGGTCCGAGATTGGATACCCAGCCGACATACTCCTAAACCTCGTTAAGCCAATAATAAGATTGGTAAAGAGGAGAGGTTGGGCATGAGGCTAGCAACCCCTTCCTGTAGAAATAAACACCACTGCTACCGAAGCTTCAAAGCTTTAGCCTGAAGCCCTATGTTCCATTGGGAACATAAAGGAAAATAATAGTAAATAATTTCTTTACAACCTATTTGCAGACTAAAGGTATAGGCTTTTTGTCCTTAGGCGAACAAGAGGTATCTGTTCAAAAGATCACGTTTATTATTTCAATAATTATGAAATTATAATAATAAACTACAATGTCAAATAATAAAATGAAACAAAATTATGTCAAGAATGTTACTCTGGCTATAGTAAAATGATTGAGGGTATGTGATACTTTCGAGCGTATATGTCTGGCTTCAGGTCCCAAACAGCCAGTACTTCAGGTGTTTATAAATGGTGTATTCGAAGTCCTCTTGTGCGCTTTTGGACAAATCTTTGTATCACTAAGATACAATCGTAAACAGGTCCCGATGTCCAGAACTGAAAAGGTGCTGGAATTTAAAACTGTTGGTATTCTTCTTCTATCTTCTGATCAGCCAGAAGATGGACGCTATGTACAGCCGATGAAGTTTGCTATACAGGAACAAAAGAATAGATACATGCACTATGAGGTAACCAAAAGCGGTATCTTGTCTTTAAAGTATGAGCGGACTAAATATCTGCTGCAGGATGTCATTGGCAAGCTGACTGCTTGGATTGTCTTTTTCAGACACTTGGAAAGGCAGTTTTTCAGAACTTTCACTTCAATTTCATCTTTGAACAACAGGTTTTACGAAGAGAGTTTTCTGGAGAACAGTTTTTCTCACGTACTTCTGTTAATAAACCTTAATAGACATCCGTAATCTACGAAGGTAATGCTCACGGATTTCAATTCAGCCTCCGTCGTATCTTTCGAACAGTTTTTTTTTGGAATCCCTGAGCATAAAGAAAGTTTTGTTTCCTGACCAGTTGGAGATAGCTCTGGAAGTTAATAAATTGTCCAGTTCATGTGGGTTTTCGGTATATTACTTTTGTCTTACTGTCAACTGAAATTTACGCAGTACATTATATAAGCAGTTAACAGATATTTACTGTTCTCATCCTTAGGTTTCATAGTAATCAGATTAATCATTGATACACCACGTCAATTTCTCTTTAGCGAAATTCTCGACCATAAGCTTATGCATTATTAAACCCAACCCAATTGGTTAGTATACATGCGTTATTAAAATACTGGACAGTTTATCTTCGAATGTATTATTAAAATTCACCGATAATGAGTGGAACTACGAAATCTTAATCATAATAGTTTCCAGAAATATGATGGAAAAGTATCTGAAGCTTCTTGGTTTTAAATATTATTCATGAATTTATAAGAGTGCGAAACATCCTATGGTAGTACGATAGTAATTTGCGGAAATTATTATTTTGAACTCCTTCCCTACCATATTGACTGATGTTATTCGAGAGAAACTCCCGGTTTCTGTCTTCATGTTGACATCCAGCTAGTAAAGTTACAAGTAGGGAGAAACCCGCGTCGTGGATTACACTCCTACTCTCCACCAGACAAATTACATGATATTACAGTATTTCTCAGTAATTTCTCCATTAGCTGCACAAAGAATATCCGATACATTTTGATAAACTAATTTTTATTACTAATTTTCAATTTATTCTGTAATAAAGGATGCTGTTAACAAATGGAGAGAAATGTTAGGCCCAACAAAAGTTGATGAAGCCAAAGCTACAGCTCCTGAATCACTTCGAGCCCAGTTTACAATGAAACCATCAGAAGATGCCTCTGAGAAAATCAGTGAAGATATTAATCTTTTACATGGTTCAACTGATGCAGATGAAGTGAAAAAAGATTTAGACTTCTTTTTTCCAGTTGAAAAAACAATTGCGGCTATTAAACCAGATGCTTATGCTAATCGAGATGAGATTATTGAAAAGATTAAATCAGCTGGTTTTCATGTAGCAGCACGCAGGGATACAAGTCTTTCAAGGGAATTAGCTGAAAAACTATATGAAGATTGTTCGGATAAACCATTTTATGAAGATTTAGTAAACCATATGATCAGGTTTGTATACCATGTTTCTGTTAATAAAATATGTAATAATTCCCATTGTAGCATTAAGAACACAATATTCAGCGAAGAGACTCACTCTTTTCAACGAATTTATTATCAAACTGTACAATCGTATTTATATGGTTTTAAGTAATTATATCCGGTGAGGGAATCAAGTCAAAGGTGTGAATACATGAAATAATAATAATAGTATGAAATACAATTAAAATATTTGTGATTATAATCATAGTTTAAGGGAGAAAGGAAGTGTGTGCAAAGCTCTATTCTGGAACACCTGATCCACTTCTGTTACTCGACCAACCCTGACCATGATTTCAAGATCATCTACCGAATCCATGCTAACTCGCCACGTTTCCTTCGTTACAAACGTCTAAAGACAGCTGAGGCCTTGGCAATTCATGTGCGTCGGTGGCACAGTGGTTAGGACTCTCGCCGACTATGCACATGATCCGGGGTTAGAGCCCATGCCGACGCACACCTGATATCTATGGTTGGCCTGTGAATTTTGGGCTACCGATATCCACGCTGAAAATTCCACACTTGTTCCAAAAATATGGTGTGGAGTCAAGCTGCAATCAAAAAAAAAACCAGACCTTTGTGTACAAAAGAAGTACGTACAATCCCTAGTTATCCCTTGGACGTAGAGGGATTGACATTTAGTTATTTAGTTTATTCAGTTATTCTATGTACCTTTCCTTTATTACTACGATTATTTTTATTATTATTATTACCATTATCATTATTAATATTACTATTCTTACTCTGAATCTTTTCCACTTGGCCCACTTGTCATTTTAAACCCAAAATGATTAATTTTTATATTTTTTTATTTTGACAACATTGAATTCCATCTTATCGAATTTCACACCATGTTATGTAACACTTTATATTCGTCTTCTAATCTTATAATTATGTATACCTTTCCAAAATCTATACACATTATGTATTTATTATTCTATATATGACATTAGTTATTTTGCCACTTGACATTAAACTATATCATAATCACAAATATTTTAATTGCATTTCATACTATTATTATTATTCCATGTATTCACACCTTCGACCTAATTCCCTCACCGGATATAATTTCTCTAAAAAAACCCAGGTATATACGATTGTACAGCTTGATAATAAATTCGTTGAAAAGAGTGAGTCTCTTCGCTGAATATTTTGTTCTTAATAAAATATATTCTGATATACTATTAACTTAACTTGATGTAATCATTCTTATGTTTACTATCCATTTCAAAAAATCACCAACGTTTTCGTTTAGAATTTTGAGTTAATTCATACCGGTAATTCCCTTGGTAGGACGATAGGTTTTACAGAACAGGTCTCTTTTAATTAGTTGATATGTCAACGTTGTAACGCCGTCCAACAGTCTTACTAAATTCCTGCCTACCAGAATCAACTACAGTCTATTTATAACAACTAACCAGAACACAACACTCAAAGCAAAAGAAGTAAAAGCATTCTCGTTGTTTAATAAGTTTGCTTATATGTACGAAAGAATAGTCTGACCAATTATATTATTCAAACAACCACATTTATGTTACATCAAAAACCATCACCTGATTGCCCGTCTACATTCGTCTCACTGGCTACTTCTTCATGATCTCTCTCTAGAGCATCCAAATCTTCTCGAACCTCTGAAAATTCACCCTCTTCCATACCTTCACCAGCACACTAGTGCACAAAAGCCTGTTTCGAATACATCGAATTGGATTTACGGTTCAAACGTGATCATGCTTCAAATATCGCTGTTGTATTGCTCAACATGCCGATAGAACGTTTCACTTCAGTTATATCACCACCAGGAGCAACCGTAGGCGGCTGATAATTGATGCTAACCTTGAAACCTGTAGAACGCCAATCCATAAATTGAATACCCTTCGGAGTCTCGATACCCGCACTCGACGAATTCACATCCTTAGGAACAACATCACAACGATACAGTAAGCAACACGCCATTTAGTTCCCATTCTTAGGATCACACTTCACCATTTGATTCACTGGCTCAAAACACGAGTTCGTGATTTCAGATACACTCAGCTGCTCGCGGAATGACTTCTCAGCTGAGATTATCGGTGCATATTTCGTCAACAGGAAATAAATACGAGACTGAGTTAAGCTTAAATGCACCTAGCTTTTGATAAACACATTTCCTGTATTATAAATTAAAAGCAGTTGAAAATTATGAACCTGTAGATTCCAGTTCATAGACTTCATAAGTTAAATATGCGCTTGTAAACAAATACAGGAATCACATTGTATTGTGTTTTTATTCCTTTGCGTCCCCAGAGGAAGACTGAGCTTCAAGCTTGAGTTTAGAAGTTTCAGTAGCAGTGGTTTTATTTTCATACGGGTGGGGTTGCTAGTCTCACGCCCAACACTCCCTCTTTGCCAAGTTTACTGCCAACTAGGTAAGGTTTGTGAGTGAGTGAGTGAGTGAGCGACGGACTGAACCCCGAATGACGTGAGGCGTGGTTGGTGGGTATTCTACTACTGCTTCTACACCAACAATGCCCTCAGTGACTGGACTAGAAGCGGCGATTTCAACATGGTGTGATCATCAACATTGTATATTTTACCTTGTTGAAATAAGTGTCGACTTGAACCTATGCATTTCAGTGAGTTATACATTGTTTTGATTCTCTCAAAAGAATCAGAATTATCTAGTGATGCGCCTTTTAGCCAGATAAGGTAAGGCTTAAAAAATTCATGAAATAAAGCTTTTGAAAAGAAAGCAAATATGGCATATATCTGTCTCATATAGTTTTAAAAAAAATATGATTGTAGCTATGGTATTACTATATTTTTGTCCCAGTTTACCGCATTTCATATCTGTACATAAAATGGAAGGAATACAAAATTACACACTCAAGAGCTTTAAAACACTATATGACTAAAAAAGGATAAGGTTAGAAAAGAGACTTGGCATAATGCTGATGATGTCACTGAACCATCTAATCTGGGGTCTTCGTTCATCATTTCCACTTGTTTCTTGGATATTAAGGCAAACTGTTATATGAACTAAAAATAACAGTTGATGATTTACGTAAAAGTAGAATTCAGGCACTGTAGTAGACTATAACTCTACACAAGTTTATTGAACATAACACAATGATGCAATATTACCAACTTAATAACATTTTCAGAACAAATTAATAATAACTAAATGATTATTCATCCATTCAGTCCCAACTGGAACGTAGGGCAGCAGTAACGTGTCTCTAGCCCCTTGACTTTCTGCTATCACTTTGAAACAGCTCCATAACTGCCTGCAAGCTTTCATTTCTAATCTAATGGTGTTCTCCACGTCACCCCCAAACGCCCAACTCGTTGCTCCCATTCGGGTTCGACTTGCTATCTTGACATGTGATGTCCCTTGAATATTTCCACGGTTTATGTCCAGTCATGGAGAAAACAGAGGTGGTAAAGATTCCTGGCCAACAGCAACAGAAACAACAATCAGACAGCATAAATGGGAGAAATCTGAAAGAATCAGCCTCTTTCGCCTACCTACCTTGGAAGCACAGGCGGACGGAACTGATGAAGATATCAAAGCGAGGATTGGGAAAGCAAGGCGACCTTTCATTGCTCTCAAGTCTGTATTGAGATCAAAAGCACACAGCATGAAAAATAAGATCCGGATTTCCAACTCCAATATGAAGTCGGTTCCACTATACGAATCTGAGACTTGTCGCTGGGCAGCATCACGAAAGGCACTCCGAGCAAACTACAGACCTTCATCAACAGCTGTCTTCGCTCAATACCACTCAAGATCAGATGGCCAGAAAAGATCACTAACAGGGAGGGATCTCTGGAAATGAGCTAACCAACCCAGCAGGAACCATTGTGCAACAAATATCCAGGAAAAATGGAGGTGGATTGGCCATACTCTGAGAAAAAAAAGCCATCAAGTGACATCATACGCCAGGCTCTCTCTCATGTGGAACTTAAATGGGAAGCAGTGAGTTGGTCGTCAGTGCGAGTGTGACATTGAAGAGGCCACGAGAAGAGGAGGTGAAAGTATGTGGGGAGACGTGGAAGCAGATGAAAAAGTTGGCTGGGAACCGAACAAAATGGAGACGTGTGGCTAAGGCCCTATGTTCCTCTAGGAACTAAAGGAAACAATAATATAATATTGTCCAGTCAATCTCCACTTCTGCATATTTGTTGGTTCGATGCTAGAGTTCCTTGCTGCTTATTCTTCCTGACCGGCTATTTGATCTTCAGTATCAGTCTATAACCTCTTGGAAATGCTTGTGATGACGCCCCAAGTCTGTATACCATATGGAATTAGTGAATTGTCATTGGTGTTGAGCATTCTGATTCTATTTCTTGCCCAAAATGCTGTAGATCCCACAGTTGTTCATATTATTCATATAACTGACCTAGACGGTTTGTGACAGGAAGTGAGTGGTCTAACTACTTTTCTCTCCAAATTTAAAACATCTTTGGCTATTGTTATTTTATATACATTTCTACTTTCTATGTAACTGACTATTCTATATACATACTTTACAGCGGTCAAACTTTGTTTATGGTCTTGACCAGAAGGGATGCAATAGCTGGCTGGCGTCAAATGATGGGACCAACAGATCCAAATGTAGCAGCAGAAGAAGCACCAGAAAGGTGGGTTAATATCTCTTAAAAAGAGATATATAGTGTATTTTCATCTGTCCTCTCCTATATTACTAAAATTCACTATATAATGAGAGAAATATCTATAAATAATGCAAAATTACCTCCACTAGCATGATCCCATTTCACTCATCCAGGTTTTGCTTTACAAAGGCGGTTAAGCCCTCTAAGTTCCACCTTCATTACAGTTGGAAATGACTTAAATTTTGATAAAATATTCTCTGAAACGTTATAATTTTATCTTCAGCTTACAATAACTCATTTCGTATAGATTTAATTGCAGACTACAACTAAGCTGTACAGATTAATGAATTACTTTTGAATTCGCACAAATAATTCCCCTTAAAATAAGATCGTTTGAATTTGTTCTTGTCTATGTAATAAGAAAAAAAATTCATTTAAGATTAATTTAAACAAATTTTGGACGCCTATAAATCTAAGCATAAATTGATATAAGCCATTTTCCCTCGCGCGAGTTAAAACAAGTAAAATTACAACTGTTCAAGCACTCGTCAGTTGCTTCATTCTAGTCTAGTCTGAGACTCTCCAATGATACTTACTTGTTATTTTATAAGCAGTCTAACTCATAATTATCGAGTATCACAGTTATTCAATAATTCTATACTCATTACAGTTTCAACCAACTAGTAAAAGAACTATTTATAATGCTATTAATAGTAATATAATCGTTGATTCTAAAGGCTAGAAGTAGGTTTACTGTAACTTTGGTGACTATTCTTCTGAATTACATAAAACAGTTCATCTGGAGAATATGCAGCAAATTTCTTTAAAAAATAATTTAAAAAATAAAAGAATCATGAATTGGCAGAAGTTAGAATTCATGGGTTGGCCATTGGGCCGGGTCCCGGTAGCTAAATGGTCTACGAGCTCGCCTTGTAACCAGAGGGTCTAAGGTTCGACCTACTGGCGGTGGGCGCGTACTGATGAAGAGTCCCCAAAAAAAGCCGACGAAACGGCTGTCCAGTACTCCGTGCAGGTTTTCCAGTGGTTGTCTAATCGATGTGAGCTCACGATGAAGTCCTGTAACCATTTGTTAAGCATTTTTTCGACTGGACACTGGTTACTAGCAAATATCCAATACAGAAGGTCGATTGCGAATCCGAACAGCTCGGTGGTAACGTGTCTGACTGCATCACTGGGTGACACGCGTTCGCATCTCAGAAGGGGCATGAGTTCCTTGAAGGTTTCAGATACGCCTTGCCGACTGGGAGGTCGCAACTAGCACGAAATCTAAGTCAAGCAAGACTTCCTGTGGGCGATTCCCTCTAACCATCAAATACCAACTGTTAATCATGTAGGTTTCTTTCCTATCACTAATCGTTTCCAGTTCTAGCCAGTTAGGGATAAGAAATATTCTGTCTATTTCAACAGAAATTTTTAAAAGAATTTAATGGTGTTTATTCTTAAGTTTCGGTAATTCAGTTGGCTAACTTTCACACTGAAGATGACTTCATAAAAATAACAGGGAAACTATAAAACCTTAATAAAATAATTAGAGAAAATTACCCTATTTAATCATATTCATCCAAGTATCCGAGTGACTTCCGAACTCGAATCGGATAACAAACTCGGTTTCCTGGATATTACAATGACCAGGAGAGATGATCTATTTTTCGTTAACAGACATGGAGTGGACAATATCTTCATTTCACCAGTTTCGTCCCTATCCAGTATAAAAGTTCCCTAGTGAAATGTTTGTTCTCATGGGCCTGAAAAATATGCACGAGTTACACATTGATGGATGAGTTTCGACATATACATTCAGTTTTATTAGCTAATGGTTATCCGGAAAACTTTATCACTTGTCACAGTAAACAAAGACCACATGTCGAAAAGACAGCTTCTGTACCAAAGAAAGCTATCTTTATTAATCTACCATTCAAGGGTGACCAGATTATGCATTTGGCAGCTCAAAGACTTCGGTCAGCCATCAAACGCACATTCTACGCCACCGTATCTCTTTTTCTCACTTGCCGAACATATTCGATCCCTGTACCTGCGATTGAAGGACGAAATTCTGTGGATTCTACTTCAAACTGTATCTACAAGTCCACCTGCAGCTGCGGTGACACCTATATACGTAGAACCAACAAAATGTTTCAATGTCGTCGAAAAAAACATGTTCCAAAATGGCTATTAAATCCTATAGAAAATCTCAGTGAGATTAATCTGAATAGAAATCCAGAATCATCCATTGCGAAATGTCAGGTCACAAAATCAATATTAATGACTGTTTGACACTTATTTCACATAACTCTAATTCAAGGTTGGTGATTAAAGGTAATGGAAGCACTTTAGAGGATTAATCACATACAGCCTAAATTGTGTGTACAAAAAACAATAGACTTCAACCTCATCGCCTACCATGGACAACATGACCTACCTAAATATGATTGGTCATTAGTATGTACTTTTGTTTTTTGTATTTAGCTGAGTGATTGTCATGATCTTTATTTTGTTATTGTTAACTAACCATGTTAGTTGTAAAGTGGTTGTAAAGAAACTACGAAATGACGATATCATCTCGCGAAATTTGTCTGCTAAATGCCTTATTCAGAAATAATTAGAGTAGTTTTTTTTTATCTAAGACTATAAATCCTAACGCCTAATTTTAATAACTGCATAATATAACTAATCATCATTTCTACTTCATCTATGCATGCATCTAGAGATGGCGGGTAAGTCGTGTGTGTGTGTTCTAACTTATTTTCATCATATCCCTAAATGCGAATAGTTAAACTGATTTTTCCTTCAAGTGATTAATTTTTCTTTACCAGTTTGCATTTCGTATTCATTGTACATTGAGTTTTTTTATAGAATCTTGCCTGTTTTTCTTCGCCTAACAAACTTCGTTGTGTTACATTTGTCTCTGCGTTAACTCTCTCTCTCTCTCTATTCCTCATGTATGATGATAGCTGATTAACTTCATTCTTGAGATTATTGCCTAGTGTTGCTGTTCATTTGTTTGATAGTTTAGTTTTCTAAGATATATTATTATAATTATTGAGTTCTGAGTGAAACATATGGCTTCAACAACACATCTCCACTTTTCCCTGTCTTCTGTCATCCTCTTCAGCTGGCCCCACGATTGACCAAACTCTCTCATCTTCTCCTCACATGCTCTCCTCCATGTCACTCATGCACCGACCACCTACTCGTCACTTTCCATTTGTATTCCATTCAAGAGCCTGTTGTGAGATGTCATTTGACAGCCTCCTCAACGTATACCCAACCCATCTCCATTTTCTCTTAAATATATATTTGTTGAGCGATCAGCTCTCGCCTGTTGGTTTGTTCCACTGCAGAGTTTTTTGTTACCAATTCTAAGGTGTATAATAATATATTATATATATTTTTTTCTTAAAACTACTTTTTTGTGTCACATTCCAGTATACGTTCTATATATGGTAGAGATATTCTTCGTAATGCGGTACATGGTTCATCTAACATAGAACAAGCTCAGCGTATTCAAGAATTATTATTTGAAAATATTGAAATTAGTGATAAAAGCCGTAAGTTACAAGGGTGATTATTACAGGTAATATATATATATATATATACATACAAGTTACTCACTGTGAAATATATAAATGAACATTGAATGTTGATTTCGTACAGTCTTTCAGCTTGTAAGCAGAAAATGACTAGCTTGTGGTCAAGTAGAAGTTATATATGAATTGTATGTATGTGTATTCTTCGGGTTATCTTCATAAAATCAAGAAGAACAAAATTTATAAACGTTAGCTTGATGATAGGAGTTCATCATGAGCTGACATCCGTTAGAGAACCATTGGAAAACCTGCAGGGAGTACTGGACGGCTGTTTCGTCAGCTTGGTTTAGGACTCTTCGTCAGTACGCACCCACAACTGTGAGGTCGAACCCATGACCTTCTGGTTACAAGGACAGCGAACTCGTAGACCATTAAGCCACTGGGATCCGACGCAATGGCCAACCCGTGAATTCTGACTTCTGCCAATTCACGACATAGTGCGACCACTTCGCAATGTCTGCTACGAGAAGTAACTGTCCTCACCTTCGACCGGCTGTAACCTACCTGGAACCCCAGGTAACCAATCAAGAAAATCTCCCTACAAACCAATAGTTGAAGATAGGCATTCAGGCGATAAATGTGAGAAAAAAATCCCTAGCGCTTCTAAAATTATTCAGAAGTTTTACATGTAAAATGCTAATTTTAGTCTACTATTTATATCAAATATGGGCGTTTTCAAAATTTCGCTCCAGGAACTATTTACTTTTTTGATTGAAGCCTTTCATCGTTTGTTTATGTTTCACAAAACATTTGATGTTCCCCAGTTGAATCAGCTGAAAAGTCATTGGTTAGTGTGGAACACTGGATATTCTATCTTGCAACCCTTCAGGATTGCATACCTACGACCTCACTAAGGGGTCAAACTCAAAACTTAGTGAGCACATTTGCTATCCATTCATCAGGTCTAAGTAAAATGTCTCATGGGTTGTAAATTCTGTTAATTCGTGATACAGCAACATCACTGTCATCTGCAAATATCTGTCTTTACAATCGATTTGATGGATCATCTTTGTCGATTATTTTCACTAGAACTTCATGAACAGAAGACTCCTAAAAATGAACGAAATAGATGTACAGTACTTCATCGTTCTTATTACTTCTCTCTATCTATCTTGAAATCAAGCATATCCCCACAAATCTAACTTCTAAATACTTATTGCAACTAATATTATGCGTCCAGTCCTTTGTTTGGTACATTCTGAATGCTTTCATTCAGGTTTTCAATAAAAGCTACCATTCAACTTCAACAGATAGAGTTTAGTCTGTGCCAAATAAAGGACTGGACACATGACGCTAGTTAATGCCTAGTCTCCAAGTCCTACAGGAAGTCAGTCGTGAGCCTGAGCAGCTCAATTATAATGTGTCTGACCGCACCACTGAGTAACAAAGCTTCGAATCTCAAAAGGGACATGAGTTCCTTCCAGATCGCAGATACGCCTTGATGACTGGTGAGTGCCAACTAGCACGAAACCTCGGTCAAGCAAGGTTTCCTGCCGATTGCCTCCAACCATCTAATAATTGGTTACAAGATATCATCATGAACTGACATTGGTTAGAGAACCATTGGAAAACCTGCGAGTACTGGAAAGCTGTTTTGTTCGCCTAGTTTTTGACTCTTCGGCAGTATGCACCCACCGTGGTTCGAACCCATGACCTTCTGGTTACAAGGACAGCGAACTCGTGGACCATTAAGCCACTGGGACCCGACCCAGTGCCAAGTCCATGAATTCTAGCTTCTGCCAATTCACGATATAGCGCAAACGCTAGCCAATGTCTCCGGTGAGTATTTGTCCTTACACCCGACCTGCTGCACACTACTGGTCACGACTTCCCACTGATAAGTGTTTATTGTAAACCACGTTTCGTTAGAAGTTCACGAGACGATAGTGTTTTAATTTCTTTAATTGCTTTCTTACTTCAATCTTGTAAGTAGCATGAATTTTAAAACTACATTTCTATCACATGATTTTCGTAATAGTACCAAACATTGTCAAATTGGACGATATTTGCTTAGTTGTCTCTGTCTGTCTGTCTGTTTTCGACATAGAACTTTGCACAAATGTGCGGAAGTTCAAGTCGCCACATTCCGTGTAGCACGCGAAGCAAGAGAAGAAAGTACAAGAAAAGCATAATAGAAACAGTGAGCAGAGGTGTGAGACAAAGGAGTAATAAAGAAATACAAAACAGTTTCATTGAAGATCATAAGTCACAGGGAGTGGATGCATCTGCGCCACTGAGAACGGTTTTGAGCCATGTCACCAATTGTTTCCAACCATAGAGTTTTACCGTCCTGAGGACCCCAGCCTGGAAGTCTACACCTTTCTACGTGGCTTAGTTGACTTCACTGAGAGTTAAAAGAAAAAATACTGCCAAAGTGTAAGTTTCTCGATTATCAAGGCATCCTCAGAGTAAATCTAAGTAGAAATTACTGTTTTACAGTCGGTCGTGTAATGAAGAGGAAGAAAAAAATTTAACAGTCATTCACAGTTGTTAATTTTTGTTTTTCATTTTGTAATTCAACTGACTTCCCACTTTTTAGCAATGAATCCTAAATTTCGATTTTACCAAGTATATCACTGCAGATAGATCAGTAACACAATCAGTGAATTATGTAAGAACAACACAGTCTTTATCGTCTTGGGAGAAAGTGACTCTTTCAGCAGTTATAAGGTTTATCATACCTTTAAAATGTAAGGGAACTCATTATATTTCATTATATAATAATGAAATGTACTCATAAACTTTCAAGTCAGTGTAGAATAAATTTACTGAATTACACATTCTTTTACCATTTTAATTTCCCTTCAGGTACAATAGGTGAAACCATCGATACTGATAAAGGTAAGTTTAACGATGATCACCTAATACCTTTTGGTGTAAATTCATAGGACGTGATACTTTCATCATAAACCATCAACTGAAATCGAGGCTTCTTCAGCTTTTTCATCTTCAGTGTAACATTCATACCTTTTATGTTTCCCTTTCTTGTGTTTTGTATGCGATAAAGCAGTGATCTATGAGATTAGGTTTTCAAAATATTATAAGTAAACAATTTTTAAGTATGGAAAACATGGCCACCTAAACATTAAACTAAATTTATACCTTTGCTTATATAATTCACTTAGATTTAGATTTATTGGTTGAGGATAGAAGGCTTGGAGCCTATGTTAATCCTTTTCTAGTAGATTTCTGTGGTTGTCCAAACCCTTCTTGAACGAATCAGTTGAGGTTGCAGACACCACTTCTTCTGGGAGTCGGTTCCAAGAGTTTATGACTCGATGTGAGAACCAGTACCCAACAGGAATATGATTTCTCCTTGGCTTTTGAACTTTCCTGCTATGTCCTCTAAGGTGTTCCGACCTGGTGGGAAGGAAAAGAGGGAATAGGTCAGGTCCGTAGTCATTATTTAAAATTTTAAACATTGTGATTAAATTATAGGTTTCCAGACCGTAGGTGTTAATGATTAATTATAATCCGAATAAATCTGCTGAAGAAGCTGTGGCTTACACGGCGAAACGTTCAGAAAAATCTTGTTTTGATTTTCTTAACACGCTGGGATCAATTTAAATAATTTATAATGGATTGTGATTAAATCTCCTCTCTGCCTACGGTATGACAGTGAGAAGAGATTTAAACTGTCTAGTCTGTCCTCGTATGATAAGTCAGCTATGCCGTGAACCATACGTGTTGCTTTCCTTTGAACACTTTCTAGAATGTGTGAATCCCCTTTTAGACAAGGACTGGCGGCCTGGATGCAGTTTTCCAGTCTTGACCTAACCAGAGATGTATATAAGGAGGTGAACATATCTCTAGTAATTCTTGTAAAGGCTCTGCGAGTCGCCCATAAGGACCTGAAACTGCGTGCAGCCACCGCGCGACAGTGTGCTGTAGTTTTTAAGTCGTGGCTAACTATGACACCTAAGTCCAAGTGAGTCTGAACTGATGGAAGTGTAGTAGACTTGTAGCAAATAATTCTATTAACATGTAGATGTAAATTTGAAATGCTTACAAATGTTTACAAATCATACGTAATGAGGATGGTACATTTAGATATGTACATCTGGCATACAATTGGTGGATGGTGGCTTGCAGAGGAATCCAGGATGCGCATTTCGTCCTATTTGGGACTCGTCATCTGGATGTACCTGCATTTCTCAGTGAGTGATGATGTTCCCACCGAGGCTCGAACCCAGTACCCATAGTTTCAAACGCCAAAGCGTTATCCACTAGACCACTTGGGCCGCGAGAGCCACCTCTTGTGCATCTGTACATCTGGCATTCAAGAAAAATCCAACTTATTTCTGTAAAGCAGAAGCAACAAACTTTGTGCGATGAAGTGAGTTCGTTTCATTATCTCTAAATCAGCTGTATACGGATTATTTTTTTATTTTTTTTATTTTTTGATTTACAGCTTGATTCCACACTGTATTTTTCGTACACGTATGGAATTTTCAGCATGAATATCGGTAGCCCAAATTTTGCAGGCCGACCATAGATATCAGGTGTGCGCCGGCGTGGGCTCGAACCCCGGACCATGTGCATGGTCAGCGAGAGTCCTAACCACGGTGCCACCGACGCAGATTCTGTATAACTCGCCAGTGCGTCGGTGGCACAGTGGTTAGGACTCTCGCCGACCATGCACATTGTCAGAGGTTCAACCCCCTGCCGACGCACACCTGATATCTATGGTCGGCCTGCAAAATTTGGGCTACCGATATTCATGCTGAAAATTCCATACTTGTACGAAAAATACGGTGTGGAATCAAGCTGTAATCAAAAATAAATAAAAAAGGCGTTCTCAAATGGAAGTATTCTCAAATAATTCAGTGATAAATCCAACACAAAATAAATTTTTTCAAATACAGATATCAAAATATATATAGAAACAAAAGTGGCAAATTTCATATCCTAATGAATAAGGGTAAGGAACAGGTTAAGGGAACTTGAATCTCAGAGGAGGTATCAATTCCTTCAGCGATGTAGATTATTATTATTATTCTCTTGAGTTCCGAGTGGGACATAGGGCTTCAACAACACATCTCCACTTTTCCTTTTCTTCTGTCGTACTCTTCAGCTTGGACCATGGTTGCCCACACTCTCTCATCTCCTCCTGACACGATCTCCTCCATGTCACCCTCGCACCGACAACCTACTCGTCACTTCCCACTGAGATTCCACTCGAGAGCCTCGCGGGCGATGTCATTCGACCTTGTCCTCAATGTATACTTGATCCATCTCCATTTTCTTCTACAAATTTGTTGAGTGATCGGCTCTTAGCTGGTTTGTTCCCACAGTTTCTTGTCACAAATTCTCTCTGGACGGCCATTTGATAAATGTCTGCAACAAGCTGTCGGAAATCCTTTTCGTGACACTCAGTACAAGTTTCTGACTCGTATAGAAGAACTGACCGACTTGATATTGGTTTAGAAAATCCGAATCTTATTCTTTATGCTGGCTGAGTGCAGTGTAGACGATTTCCAAACTGATGAAGGTTGATGAAGGCATCTCTTGCCTTTCTGATTCTGGCTGCCTTTGACATCTTCACTGGTTCCGCCTGCATTTGAAACGATTTTTCCTAGATGTGTGAAACAGGTAACCATCGAAAAACCTCCCCTGGTGACGGTGGTTGGTGATTGCTGTTGGTCGGTTAGCTTCATCACCTCCGTCTTCTCTATGTTCACCTGGAGTCCTGTCTTCACTGCTTCTTCAGCCAGTTTGTTGGTTTTTGCCTGTAAGTCTTCGAGTTTCTTTGACATTAGACATCAGCCTTGTAGATACACCTTGCTAATGAGTACCAACAACAAATGAAACCTCGATATAAAGCTTCCTTCCGATTGTCTTCAACCATCTAACATCTACAAGTAGTAATTGTTGTAGTCATTATTCCAAATTGTCTAATTATGGATTTTATGGGCCTGATGTGTCCAGTCTCTATTTATATGTCAGCTCCTAGTATGGAAACTTCGATATTGGTTTAAAGCTATCATGATATCATTTGATTGATGATGGCTATGTTGTGCTTTTCACCTTTTTTGGGTTTCATCATCTGTATTTACGCGCATTTACAGTGTGTTGATGGTGTTCCCAATGAAACGTTTAGAATGATGAGTGCAGATTTCCAGTCTCAGTGAGAATAAATATCCTAACTGGAAATGCAGGTATATCCAACTGAAGAGTTAGAAGTATGACGATGACATATAAGATGATATATCCTACTATAAAATCAAAATCCTTCTGAATAAGATGAGAAATTAAGCAAAAATAAGTAAAAACAAGTAACTGTTTCGATTATATCCCAGTATGATAATCACTTTATCCACCTGACCTGTAGTACATATTACATTATTTGCTTACATCTATCATGATGACTACCAAATTAGCATTACTACATAAACATGTCAATAAAGGTTACTTTAGAAAATGTTACCTAAGCTTTCCATACCTATAATTCTTTCGACTAATGATTATTATTCATGCACTTTTTCCAATGTACACTTTTTCAGATCAAAGAAGTGAAGAGATTGAAAGCACGAAAGGTTAGTTTTAAAGTTTTGCTTTGAAAACGTGTTACTGACTTATCCATAAATATTGTAAAGAAACTATGCGGAGATAATTGTAACCAACTGTAATTTATTGATTATATAATTAGTTATGTAGTAATTGAAAATCCTCTACAACACTTTTCTTTTCACATAATTAATAGCTTGTTGATAATCTCTTGTAACTAGGCTTATTAATACGTCTGGAACTAAAAAAGGGACTGTATGCTCTCTACCAACAAATATGTATATAATCTATTTAGCTGATTTAATCAAATTTTGATAAAATTACTGACTTTGAAAAGGCCCTCAGCAGTTAACGTCGATCGAGAGGTGATTTGGCAACCACTTCGCTACTAAGGGGTGCCATGGACAATCATGCATCTCGTCCAACAGTTGTACGACAATGCTGCATGCCAAGTAATCCAAAACGGGAAACTTAAGGAATCCTTCGAAGTGAAGACGGGAGTAAGACAAAGCTGGCTGGCTGCCTACTATCTCCAATGAATTTCCTGACTGTGGTTGGTAGGCTGGATAATGCGACAGACAGCGGGTAACGAGGAGAAAGGCATAAAATCGACCCACACATAACACTTGAAGGATAGGGACTTCGCTGATGACATATATCTGATTGCCCAAAAAATGTAAGACACGCAAATGAAAAGCAACAAGTTGGCTGAAGAAGCATCAAAGATAAGATCTCCTTCAATTGAACATAGAGAAGACAGTAACAGCAACAACAACATAAAACAACCAGCCAGCATAAATGGGAGAAATCTGAAAGAAGCAACCTCCTTCACCTACCTACCCGGAACTGACGAGGATATCTAAGCAGCGAGGATCGGAAACGCAAGGCGAGCTTTCATTACTGTCAAGTCTGTGTGGAAAACAACAGCGCTCAGCATGCAAAATAAGATTTGGATTTTCAACTGCAATGTGAAGTCAGTGCTACTTACTATACGGACCAGAGACATGGCGCGTCATGAAGAGCACTTCGAACAAACTACTCACTTTCATCAACATCTGTCTTCGATCAATATCAGTCAATATCAGATGGCCAGAAAAGATCAGTAACAGGGAGGGATCCCTGAGAGGGAACCATCCCAGCAGGAACCAACTGTGCAGCAAATCTGCAGGATGAAATGGAGGTGTACTAGCCATACTCTGAGAAAACGAATCATCAAGTGAGTGGCATCACACGCCAGGCTCTCTCTCTTTCTCCCAAGTGGAAATTGAATGGGAAACGGCCAGCTGTTCGTCAGTGCGAGGGTGGGGTGACATGGAGGGGGCTATGTGAAGAGGAGATTAAAGCATGTGCGCAGACGTGGGGCCAGTTGAAAACGTTGGTGAAGAACCGAACGCAATGGAGACGTGTGGTTGAAGCCCTATGTTCTTCTATGAACTAAAGGAAACAACAATGTAATAATAATACTGTTGTGTAAATGAATTAATTCATATCCAAAAAGAGTTTTTTCTCAAAAAACCCCATTTATTTACCGCGGAATATTTTCAGTTGATACAGCTACAAGCGATTAGATAACTGTGAAGTGTAGGCTATTTTAATAAGAAATCTATCTGTTGTTAGTTTGTATACTTCTGTATAGAAGCCTGGAGTTAAAATTCCGTTTTTACATATTCCTTATAGTTTGTAATCATAGTATGCAAATGATGACTGGAAGTTAAGGCGAAAAATAGACTGGAGTACACTATGAACCATAGACTTCTGGATTAAGAACTCATTTACCAACTAACTGATTTGTATTAGATACCTTAGAAAACTGGCTTCCAAAACACACTATCTTCCATCCAAAACCTATAAATATTGATGATTAAGCAAGTCTTCAAGTTTGGCCACTCACCGACCAGGGATTACTGGACAGTTGTTTCGTCCTAGTTTGCGACTCGTCGCCAGCACGTACCCACCCTAGGAGTTCGAACCCAGGAGCCTCTGATTACAAAGTGAGCGAGCTCGTAGACCATTCAAATACTGGTGTAACAACAGAAGACAAGGGCCAGGCAACAGATCGTTTTATTATGAAAATCAACACGTATTTATACATCTTTCAACTACATTATTATAGACAAGCGCAGTCATCTGATTGGTTGTTTAGGTAGACAAACGCAGGCTTCTGATTGGTTGTTTCGGGATTCCTTGACAAATAGAGTTCTCTCTGCGAATCATATTCTGCCACGTTAACTTTGCTGTGATTGGTTGTTGACTCAGGCTTGTTCATATTTTCTCACGGCCCATATTAGTGACCTAGACCTTAACGTAGATTAGTGCCAACCAATCGGCTAGCAGCCTGCTCTCACCACACTCGTCCCCCCGTCAAATACGTGCGACTGAAGTCGGCTTGATTTACTTGGTGCAGGCGTCATCGTTGGCTTGTCTCGCTGTATCCATTTCTGGAGCTCGCTGACGTTCACGCGCCTCTCATTGTTCGCCATTGCGACTGTGTCTGCGTAACCCCATCTCGAAGTGACCATATATGGTCCTTCCCACTTTGGAAACTGTTTGCCTGACCCTGTCGAACATTCGTCCATACTTCGGCCCACACCTTCATATGCTGCTTTCGCCCGACCTCCCAGCAGCGTCTCAAGTAGCAGCTCCATCGCTGACAGATCTTGAACGCCACTCAACTGCGCAGAAGCCTTGAAGTCCTGCCCGAAGATCCATATGTCTCCATCAAAAACTGCAGGGTATAGGCTTTTCATTTGTCGGTAGGCAGCGACACCAAATGTAACAACAGAAGACAAGGGCCAGGCAACAGATCGTTTTATTATGAAAATCAACACGTATTTATACATCTTTCAACTACATTATTATAGACAAGCGCAGTCATCTGATTGGTTGTTTAGGTAGACAAACGCAGGCTTCTGATTGGTTGTTTCGGGATTCCTTGACAAATAGAGTTCTCTCTGCGAATCATATTCTGCCACGTTAACTTTGCTGTGATTGGTTGTTGACTCAGGCTTGTTCATATTTTCTCACGGCCCATATTAGTGACCTAGACCTTAACGTAGATTAGTGCCAACCAATCGGCTAGCAGCCTGCTCTCACCACACTGGGACCCGATCCAGTAGCCAGCCCATGAATTCTAACTTCTACCAATTGTTGATTTTAGCGCACCCACTAGCCAATGTCATCGGGGAGCATTTGTTCTCACTCTCAACCAGGTGGACGCCATAGGTCACAACTTCTTACTAGAACTTCAGTCAACTTCGTCCTGTAGTTAGTTACTAACTAGCATCAGATTAACTTTCAACAGTTAGTTTGTAGGGATTTGATTGATTGGTCTACGAGCTTATCTTGTAACTGGAAGGTCCTGAATGAATACTGCAGAGTTACAATTGAGAACAAAACGGCTATCCAGTACTCCTCGTTGATTTTCAATTGTTCTCTAACTGATATCAACCCGTGACCAAATTTGAAACAAATCAAATCACTAAAAACTAACTCGTGAAAATATGCTACCTTTATTGGAAAAAACCTTTAAAAAAATAAATATTCTCCTCATTTTCGACTTCATTGTTTGTTTAGGCTCATTACTCGACACTGTTGTTATCACGAAACGTACTTTTCATAATGATAAAATGCTCACCTTTTACGAAATAAACTGATCAGTTTCAGTTGTGAGATACTGATTTTTCTGAGGATAATTCTCACCATGTATTTGTGCTAGAAATACTGTTTTAAAACCAGTTATGAAATCAAGATTAGCTAGATCTATAATTCAATAGAACGTCCACCTGTGGTGACTTTTGAAAACTTACTGTGTATCCGCTTAGCACTAAATGATGTAAATATTGGTCGGTGGCACAGTGGTTAGGACGCTCCCCGATCATGCACCTGGTCTCTGGCCGACGCACACCCGATATCTAAGGGTGACCCGCGAAATTTGGACTACCGATACCACATGCTGAAAATTCCATACTTGTATCAAAAAATACTGTGTGGAGTCAAGCTGTAATCAAAATAAAAAAGTAAAAACAAAATATGAACAATGATACACGACTACAGACAAAGATAGGACAGCTGTATAACACACCAAGGGTTTCACTGGTTCTGTGGCTATTATCCGTTTATAATATGAGTTTTAGTTGATATTTCTAAATTGAATTGATTGACCATATTTTGACACAGGAGCCCAGTGAGACAAGGCCTTAGTGTCTAGCTTAGACTTGACTTCATTATAATACCTAACATTTGAACAAGAAGATGTTCACTTCGTTCTGCTCCAGATTGTGTGTTCGCTACAAATTCCTATAAGATGCACGTGTGACATCTGCATTCGAGTGAGTAATCATATCCTCTCTGAGAATGTTTGTCTCTGCAGACTTCTGAATAAGACTGTGACGTTTAAAGTAATTCGTGCTTAATATGAATCTTAATGGAAGTACTACCACACATTTAAATGGAGGTGTGGCTAACTGATAATTACCCAAGAAGTATTTTAGGCTTATTTCTAAATATGAAACTTGTATTAAATTATTTATATTTTCGATTAGTGATTAAGGGTATTCTTTTTTGTTTTGTGCATTATCTTTGTTAGGTAAAGATGACTTTGAAGGTGAAAATGGTTAGTTAAACAATGTTGTTTTATTAATCATTGTAATACTTGATTCATGTATTATTTGATTCTCAAATCTATATTTATGGATTTATTATTTCGAATAGTGCCACATCTATTTAATTAAGCAAAATCTCTTCCTATAAAACGAAAAAGGCTTACTTACTGCTGTTACCAATAGTGTTTAGTGGAGCTGTTGTTGCCTGCCTATGCAAATGCTGAAGTTCACCTTCGTTTTGATCATTTCAGCTTTCTCATTATAATAATTTAAAAACTTATTAGCTTTATAAAAAATAATGGTGAAACTAATAATGATAACATAAATAAGGAAGAATATAAAGCATCTGCAGTCTTACCATATAAGGAGGGGACATCTGAGACCCTACTTAGGATTCTCAAAAAAACAGGAATTAGGATTGCGGTATTCCAACCTACGAACTCACTCAGGTAGGACAAGCTCTGTAGGCTAAAGGACCCGGTGGACCCAATTAAACAAAATAATATAATTTATTCAGAAGAAAATAGTTGAAGAGAACAATTGTGGTTTCAATAAATTCTTCCCTCCTCAGGCTCTACAATTATAAATCCACTAATTTAAGCATACAATTGTTAGCCAGTAAAGGCAAATTAGAATCATTTCAGAAAGTGTATTGTGGAACAAATATAAGATGGGATGGAATAATAGTCAGTTAGTCTTTTTAATATGCATGGTCAATGAAAACATTAGATAAAATGAGATGAAAGAATCTAATTTAATGATGTGTGTGTAGGTATAAATATCTGGACACCCGATAAAACTTGACCAGGCGTTCTCAGTTATTTATCGCGTTCCTAGTAATCTATCTAGAGGAGCTCGACTACGTCTTCTATCAGTAGCTGAAGCGGTTGCAATTAATACCAGAAGACCAACTCTTTGTATGCAGAAGAAGTATGTTCAACCTCTTTGTTAAGGCCGACAAATTCTCTATAAACATTAGCACTATAAATTTCTATTACAATTTTCTTTTCTTCTGCTCCTTCTATTCTTTTGTTTCATTGACAAACGTTCATCTTCGACTTTTATGATTTCATGATCTTTCTTATGATTTCATTAGCTTAGGTTTAGGTAGTGCTTTTCTAATTTGTTATCGTATTTACAAAATCATGTTCATTCCAATTCATTATATGCGTTAATATTAATTATTTGACAATTATTCACTAACAGTACTTGTAATTTTACACCACATCATCGTTATTATTTTACAATCACTCTTCTTGTCGTTATCTTCAACCTTGAACTTACGTTCTGTCCGCCCCATTCGTTGGTTTATTTTCCTACTGTCTCACACACTCTGATTACACTCACCCTCGAAACCTGTATTTTTCTGTTGGCTAAATTCATATTTATATATATTATTAAATTATTTCATCTCATTTGATCTCATGTTCTCATTGACCATGCATATTAAAAAAAAACTAACTGACTATTGTTCCATCCCATCTTATACTTTTTCTTCAATACACTTTCTGAAATGATTCTAATTTGCCTTTACTGGCTGACAATTGTATGCTTAAATTAGTGGATTTATAATTGTAGAGCCTGAGGAGGGAAGAATTTATTGAAACCACAATTGTTCTCTTCAACTATTTTTGTTCTGGATAAATTATGAGAATATTCAATTTAAAAATATAATTTACTAACTACCTTGCAGTGACTGTGAGTTTGGTGAACTAAATGGGTCAGACTAGTAGATCAGGTGTAGTGAGATTATCAGAACATAAGAATTTAGTTAAGGTTAGAATGATTGATCCCACGAAGATGAGTAATTTAGAAGGAAAAAAAACTCAATTCACATTATAAGATTCTAACAAGTTACTTATTATTTTACTATAAAAACTATCTTATTTCCCATCTAATTGTATTTTATTGATAACACTAATATAATTTGCGGATGTCCTTTATTTATATTCATTTTATGCAATTTTCACTCATGTATATAAATGAAGCAAAAAAATTGTGTAAGCTGTACCTTGATATGATTATGAGTGGCAATAAATTGTGCTCGAAACGTGGTCATTAGTAAATATTATTGTATAACACTGTGTGACTATATCAAAATAAAATTCTATCCATAATGGAATGGAGCTATGCTCTACCACAGTGCCCAAGTTTTACTCTTATAGCTTTATAAAGTCTTTATTTCTAAAACACCTGTTTCTTTCTGGTCAAAAAAGACTTCACTAAATTGTTATGCATTATACAGAGTTTCTCCCTCTCGGAGCATCAGTGTGCGTCGGTGGCACAGTGGTTAAGACACTTCCCGACCATGCGCACATGGTCTTTGGTTCGATCCTCGGCCACCAACGCACTCCTTTACCTTGCTAATCTGGAAATAAAGATGGTAAGGAGGAAAGGCTGGGCCTGAGGCTAGCAACCTCATCCTTTAAAAATAAACACTGCTACAGAAACTTCAAGCCTTCTAGCTTGAAGTCCTTTGTTCCACTGGGAACGCGATGGAATAAAAAAGAAAAAGGAGAATACAGAGTTTCTCTGATGGCGAGGAGGGGGAACATAGATTCTCAGTTATCTGAGTAATCAGTAACTGTAACTGTAGTTCAGCAATAAAATATTTTTGATTTTTTAAAATGCCCATTAATAGCGTTTATCAAATGAGCATTCTATGTATATTTTATTTGAAATATTTCTTGTATTAGCATTAGAAATATGTTCCACGTGTTTATATTGTCGTTGTAAAGGGTATTTCAAATACACTAGAAATTCTACCAAGAACGAAATTAATTACTAGTGATTCCAGTGAGCACTTCTACAACACAACAATTAACTTGGGATTCTATATCTACTGAATACATGTGAAGACATATGCCTTTACGCACCATAATAATCGATATGCAACTGACAAGCGTAGGTTTCTAGCAGTTATGTGGATTGCAGAGTGTAATATAATGCGGAGAAAACAGCTTTCAATGAATGGTAGACAGATTTCATGACGAAATAACATTAGTTAGAAAGATTACTGGAAACCAGAGAACACTAAGGGGCTGTTTTGTCCGAGCTTGGGACTCATCACTGTGAACTAGGGATTGAACCCAGAACCTTTAGGTTACAAGACCAAGCTCATTGACCATTCAGTCACTTGAGTCAGTATTGAGTGACGCGTGAATTCCAACCACTCTCTACCAATGCCTAAGATAAGCTTCGACTTCAGCTTGACAGGGTGGCCTTCACTGACCATGACTTCTCACCACAGCTTCAAGAAATCGATCCAGTAGTTATCAATGAGCTAGAGATAGTTATTAAGAGTACAGAATTTGTGAGGATTTGAACTAGTTGAGTGAGTGGGCACTTCTGAAGAGTCCAAAAACAGAATAGGACACCTGTTCACTGTTCCCTGATTCTCAATGATCTCTCTAAAAGATCTTGATTCGTAACGATATCTAACAATGGAACTTAATCCAAAACTGCACAAATCCTTTAATCTAAAAGTTAACTGAATTCAGTTGGCTTTAATCTGAGAGCTATTTGTAAAATGAACTCTTAAATGTGCCCAATAGGTGTTCGTTAACAGTCTCCAACCAATGTTAGTAACAGTTAAAAGGTACTCAGAATTTGTTGCTTTTTCTTCTGGTTACATTAATTTTTATGAACAGAGTATGGTATATGGAACTAAATACAGACTAGATCACATGTGATAGTTAGATTTGATGTTCAGCATTCTTAACTTATTACAAATTGTAGTCATTCACACATGTATGACATTAAAATTGGTTCTGTGATGATGAGTTTATCACTATCAAGCTTATATATGATTCATTCATCAGTTAAATAGTCGCTTATTTAAATGAAGAGGTTATGTTAACTGCATGTTAAACATTATGAAAAGATGCAGAAGTGGAATTTGACTTTGCTTTTCTAAATCAAATAAAACATATTTTCTAAAAGTTGATGCTTTTACTGAAAATATTGGTGTATTAGAATTTTATTTTCATTTTATCCCTTCACATTCCCAGTGGAAAATAGGGCTTCAAGCTACAGGCTTGAAGTTTCGGTAGCTGTGGTGTTTATTCTTACGTGGTGGGGTTGTAAGCCTCATACCTAGCCTTCCCTCTTTACCAGTTCTTTTCCTGGTTTAGCGAGGTATAGGAGTGCGTCGGTGACCGGAAATCGAACCCCGAACCACATGTGTTTGTAGTCTGCGAGCATTCTACCGCTGTGCCACCGACGCACCATGTATTAGAATTTACAAACAATCAATTATCGTTTTTTTTATTTTTCAGCTGAAACGATTGATGCAAATGTTGAGGAACAAGGTACGTGTTATCATTTAGTTAGAATAATATTCATTAAATCCCTGTTATATACCCTTTAAAATGAAATATGATGTAACCGGGGCTCAACAGCCGATCTTGTTTGAAGCACTAGTGAGATGTATTCAAATGTGTGTTGAAGTAAACATTTGCTTTGTAGCAGTTTTCGGCACTTCACTGAATGCGGATCACTGGACGTATGTTGAGAGATCCACTTATTCAATAAACACCAGGCTGATAGACAGGCAGGCTTAACGTCAAGCAAAAGAAATGCAGTTGATTGTAAGACTTTGCTGGGATAGCTTTCAGCTGGCAGACTGTTACAGACGTAACGCGTGGTAACTGAAATGGAAATCTGCTTCATGACGGGATTTGAACCAGTGACCAAGGAACTATCAGTCCGGCTGTCTACCAGCTGACTTACAAGACCCAACTGCTAATGATTTTCATCAATGGTTTTGTCTTCCCGTGCTCTTTTAAATCACGTAAACTCTAAACATCACATCGTGTTAAGAAGGTGAAATTAACTCCTAGACTATAATGTACTTTATTAGTAGTATGCAATTTGTATATTAGAGTGTATACTAAGCCTAAAGTAATATGAAATTACTTCTTTTACCTTCATCCTTGTAGAAACAGTCAGGAAAAGGTTTTAAAAAATATAACAGTGACCTATGTTAACACCATACAGAATTGAATATCACAGGCTTCCTAATTAACATCGGATATGACATAATCCTACATTGACAATAAAGTAGGACATTTATATTTGTCTGCTTCAAAAGCCTTCATATTCAGTGTACTATGCTTTTATTTAATTTATCATCAGTCGTAATGTTGGTCAGCTTTTTCATATTATCAAGTAACTTGGACGTAAATATTTCGAAACCTCCTTTTTAACTTTATTCATCTGTTTCGCCAAGAACTGGATTCATTTAGAAAATCATTGTAAATTAGGGAGTACTGGACAACTGTTTCGTCCGTCTTTGGGACTTTCCTGCAGTAAGAACCCATGACACTACCAAGGATCGAACTCAAGACGTTTAGGTTACAACACGAACCCGATGAATCCTAATTTCTGCCTATTCAATATACGTAGCGTGACTGCCAGCTAATATCATGTGTAAGTCTTCACGCCCAACTTGGTGGATCCCGCTGATCACAACTTTCTATGGAACTTAAGGCAACTTCCTCCTGAAGTGAGTCACTAGTAAGCTGTCCAGTACTCTCTGGTTCACAGGGGTTCTCTAACTGAAATCAGTTCATGACCATACTGGAAATAAGCAAAATCCCTGTTAACCAACACTTGAGAATGTACTCACTTGTGAGACATTTTCTCTGGCATATATTCTAATTTATTGGGTCACTTACTATTCAGTGGAAAAACACCCTCCATACTTTCTTGAATATCATGATGTACTCAAAAATCAGTATTTAATTGGTGGATGGTGACTAGCAGTGGAATCCAGAATTATGCGCATTTCGTCCTATTTAGGACTCGTCAGCAGCATGTACCTGCACTTCCTAGTGAGTGATGATGTTCCCACCGAGGATCGAACCCAGTGCGCATAGTTCCAAATGCCATATCGTTATCCACTAGACCACTTGGGCCACGAGAGCCACCTCTTGTGCAACGGGTTAACGGATAACGCTTTGGCGTTTGAAACTATGGCCACTGGGTTCGAGCCTCGGTGGGAACATCATCACTCACTGAGAAATGCAGGTAAATCCAGCTGACGAGTCCCAGATAGGACGAAATACGAGTCCTGGATTCCACCTCTAGTCACCATCCACCAATTAAATACTAATTAAATGCCCAGACATCGTCGAAGCATCTGCACAAGAAGCCGACATGTCAACCTGAGGCCGAGCACTTCGGTCCAATAAATCGGCGGGAAAATCGAAAATTCAATTAAATGTACTCAAAAATCTTTAACACAATCACATCTTGCAGAACAATCATTTAGTGAGATTTTATTTTATTTTGGTATCTTTCTTATAATTTCACTGTGACATCAATTGATATTCAATACATAAAACTTGACAAATTGCTCAGTGACTTCAAAATCTAGAAATCTAGAAGTTGAGGATCCATCATAATAAAACTGTGTGTACACAAGTACTCGCCATAAGTGAAATTTCGTGCGGTTATATGACATATTCTTATTTTTGAACTGGCGCCACCTGCTTCATCCAATGGGTATTGGTGTGTTTCAATAAATACGCCAAAATATTACCAGCATGATTTCATGAAAATCCAGAAATATACGTTTAACTTCTGAAATAACTGCCTCCTTTGATCCATTACAACATTGCGCAGATATCAGTATCAAGCAAGAATTTTCCAATAAAAGTGCAGTAAATGTAGTGTAATTCAGGAATGTAATTCGATGGATAACGTGTACGTCAGAGAGAAAGTTTTGATGCAAAATTTCATTTAAAAAGTATACGAAAAATATAACTTGTAATTAAATCACGATAGCAACAGGCAGCAACGCTAAAAGTAGCGGGAATATGTGATAAGGCCACTCGAAACTGCCATACTAGCAGACTAGCATGTTACAATAATTTCGAAACATCTTTAAGGCACATTAATATTATGAAAACGTTTCATTTAAGCGAACGTTAAATATTTCACTTTGATTTTTAAGATGGCCTGCTTTTTAAATAACTTTATATATTTTTTCATGTGAAAAAAGAACCTGTTCTTCAATATGATCAGCGTGTAGTTATGGGTAAGCTTGTACTTGTATACTTGAAGTTCTTGTGTGTCTGCACATCAATGCACTTTAATTAGTATACATATTTATGTGTAGGCATCTATGTGTGTACATATCTGTGTGACTAGATTTCTACTGTGTAAAATGAGTTTGTACGTGTGTGTATATATATATTATTCAATCAGTATTACTAGTGAAGTTCTCTGAGCTCAGTATACTAATGCAATGCCCTTCTTTTTATCTTTCTACGATAAACTGTGATATCCATTCTTTAGAGGCGGAATCAGCAAGAGTAGAAGCCAGTGAACAAAAAGGTGAGTTTGTTTTTACTTTTTTTGAGAATTTAGTCAACTACTGAGTTTACAAATAAGTAATAATTTAATATAAAAGTTAAGTTTTCAAACTGTTTTAATTGTAAGATGTATGGGTTCTGTTTGCGAGAGTTGTACTGACAATGCTATCCAATTTGACAGCGAAATATTAGCTGATCAGAACTCTTTGCAGAGAAAACCAAGAGATACGCAGTATTCAAGTATTGGTTTTGTGTGAATTTTGTTTGATTGGTTAGAGGATTTCATCATGAGCTGACATCAGTCAGAGAACCATTGGAAAACCTGCAGGGAGTATTGAACAGCTGTTTCGTTCTGATTTTTTGATTTTTTTGGCAGTACACACCCACCATAGGGGTCGGAACCCACGACCTTCTGGTTACAAGGCCAACGAGCTCGTAGACTGACCATTCAGCCACTGGGACCCGATCCAGTGGTCCATGAATTCTTACTTCCTCCAATTCATGACATAGGGGGATCACTTCTCAATGTCTTCTTCAATTAGTTACTATCTCACCTTCAACCTGCTACACCCTACAGGTTACGGCTTCCTCCCAGAAGCCCAGGTTAACTGCTTGGGAAAATTTAAATAATAGCGTCCAAGGAGTGCGAACGCACGATTGACCTTTAGCTGACCAATCATAAAAATGAGGAATGTTTACTCAAAAAATGATGTATATTGACAAGAAAATGCTTGAAAACGCATTAAACAGGTTATATTTCTCTGACATGGCCTAGAAATACGTCCTAGTTATAAAGAGGGGTGTCAGTTGCTAAGTTAGACTAGTTTCTGTACATGTATTCACCGAGATGACTATAAATAAACTGCTTGCAGTTATCCAAAAATACCCTCGGTTGAATTATTATGATTTCCAGCAAGAGGATAGACGACTACTTACCAAAAAAAGTGGATAATAAAACAAATTAAAATAAATGACATCAACTATAAATCTCTCCCTGATCATAACCCTAAGTTTAATCCTGACCCTCACACTAGCCCCAACCTTAATCCTAACCCTAAGCATAACCCTTATTCAAACCGTAATTCTAACCTTAATGCTAATTATAACCCTGATCCTAACTCTAACTCGAATGCTTACCTTAACCCTAACCCTTACGAGCTACTAACACATTGTCCAAACAGTACTTAAAAACGCGATCTGGATGAAATTTCCTCCAAAGTTGGTGAGTAGCGTTGATATTTCAGCCATGATAATGACAGACGCCATTAGCCAACGACTAGCATGCGTTCAAGCTCATTAGAGCGTTCACACTCCTGTGACGCTATTGCTGACATACGCCACTGCTTGAATAGGCCCAGCCGCTAATGAGAAATACTAAACGCCTAAGATATGAGTAGTAATGGTGGTCATATTTTGTATCTAATCTTATATGGAGTATTTACTATGACTCACATGCAATATTCGATGGAAGTTATTTATGCGTTTTTCAATCTTTTCAGTGCTACATCAAATTTTTTTAAATTACGGATCTATTGTATTTATAGTGATTTACTTGTTCATATTTCTCAATAAGACCATATGTTTCATGAGAATAAGCTATCTTGCAACGTTTTCGCCTTGAGTTCATATTTCTTCTTTTCTATGCGTAACATATTTATATTAATAAACAGCAGTCAACTATATAAATGACTACTGTTAGGAAGAATTAAAAAGTAATGATTGGCGTAGTAGAGAAAATCTGTAGCTTAGAATGACGACGGAAACTGTTTAGTGTTCTTCAGGCTTTGATATTTTACATAGGAGGTTTCATCATCATACTGGGTGATCCTAAAATGTGGAGCATATTTACTAGATGTACAAATATTTAGACGTAATTAAGAGAATAAATCCTTCATCATATAGGTTTTAGGACTCAAATTGTATTGGGTCACACAAGAACCACCTGTGATTAGCTAGAATAAAAACATTTAATTATTGACCCAGCTAGTTGACTGACTGAGAGGCGTTTGTTCTTCATTCTAAGTAAGCTACAGGCTAACTGGTAGGCCTATGTATCCACTGAGGGAAGTTCTGATTCACTACTACTATGCTGCTAGAAACTCTCTTGCTGTCTTGGAGTTTGCGCTTGATCAAATAATAATACTCTTTCAATCATAAGAAAAAGACGTAAACAGCGAAGAAAATTTTCTTTTCGACGATTCATTTTCATGAGCAGTACAATCGTAATTATTACTGTACTCTATTACTGTTTATTAATAAAATTGCGTTTTCTTACAGATTTTATCGTCGTTCCACTAGTTCTCGTCCATTCTACACGAGCTTACTGACTAGTCATTATACTAAATCTATTACGTCACGCCAAATTCTGCCCCTTTTCTAACTTCCAATTAGTCATACCTACTAGGTTGCACCTCACATTGCGTAGTGCATTTTTCAAGAACAAAGTTTACCAGTATCTGATTGGTCTTATGATTTCTTTGTTTAGATATAATTGCGATTGTTCAGCTTATGAAAATGAATCGTCGAAAAGAAAATTTTCCTCGCTGTTTACGTCTTTTTCTTATGACTCTCCCAGTCAACTGTTGTTTTCTATATGCTTTGAAGTAGCATTGTGGTGAGAGCTGGCAGCTAGCCGAATTGGTAGACATTAATTTACGTCAATGTTTGTGTCCCAAATATTGGTCGGGAGAAAAATAAGAACAAAGACTTACTCAACATTCAGTCACAGCAGACTTTGCGTAGACGGATACAAATAACATATAGATGATCTGACATTCAAGAAACAGCCAGAAAGAGAAGAAAGATTAACTTTCAGTAAGAAACAACCAGTCAGAAGGCTGTGCTTGTTTACTTGGATAATCTATAATAATGTACATGAAAATCTATGAATATGTGTTGATTTCCTTAATAAACGATCTGTTGCCTGGCCCTTGTCTTCTGTTGTTACAGTATGTCTTCATAGTACCAAACGATGTTCGTGAATCCTTTGGGAAACGTAGCAAGTGAACTGACGAACGTAGTATTGTGAACAGTTTTTACGATTCCCTTAGTACATTTGATTTCTGTAACCCCATTTTGTCAATAGATCTACCAGTTCGGATATTAGACTTAGTAATGATGTCATCGACTCATGTGGTGATCTGTTTATAAATCGGCGAGTCAGTTTTTTTGATGTCTTAAGCATGCTTAGTTAATACATTTTTATGTAAGTGAGAATCAGACTACCATCTCCATATCTCACTTACTTAGTGTTCAGTGGCTTCAAATGCCTTCCACTTACCTTTCTTCAATGCCGACTTTTTCTTTTCAACTTATGCATTTTGCATAAGCATTTTATCCCTAATTATGCACAATAAATGAACAAATAATTACAGTTATTATAGTTGATCTATCATGACTTTACGATAGCTTTTGTATATACACTGAAAGAATCACAAATTTCTAATTTTTCCCTCTTGTTTCAAATTTAACAAAAATTGTTTTAGATTCAATAATAAGTTTGGGCAAAAATATGATGCTTGTTTAAATTAATATATTGAAAGTAAAAATATTTGGCGGTGAATTTTCAATTTAACTACTGATATTGCATAGATCCAATACCCAAATGCTACATACTATAGTATGTATATAAAATTCAGCAGTTATAACACCTTAAGACATTTAAAAATTATATTTGACTTAATAAAATAGATGCATACTTTCGAAAACATCAACTGAAAGGTAGAGGCAATTCAATTCACTTATGAATTGGAAAGTCAGGAAGGGGAGCTTCCAATGTAGATTGCAACGTAAAAAGGAAAGAAGATTGGGAGTTAAACACAAGGGTTTACATGAAACCCACACATTCAAACAGATATTCAGACTCCCGATCATCCCATCCTATGTCGATAAAAATAGGATTGATGAAATGTTTAAGCGACAGAGCACAAAAACTAAGTAGTACCAAGGAAAATCTAAGACAGGAACTGATACACATAAAAGCCTTGAAACTTATTAATTACCCTGATAAATTAGCCAAGAAATATGTAGGGAAATGTAAAAATAAAATAAATAATGATAGTAGCGATAGTGATAATAATAATATTAATGACTGCACCAGCAATAAGGAATCTAAATCATCAATAGTAATTCCATACAAGGAAGGAACCTCGGAAACCTTACGCAGAATTCTTAACAATCCAGGCAGGAATTAGAGTGGCTGGCATTCAAACCCCCACAAACTCAATTAGAAACAAGCTTTGTCGGTTAAAGGATCAATCCTGTGGAGCCTTTAAAACAAAACAATTTAGTTTATCCAATACCCTGTCTGCAATGATTGTCAGGTGAAATACATAGGTCAAACTAGTAGAACAGGGGCAGTCGGACAAGCCGAACATAAAAACCAAGCAAAATCTAGATTGGTTGACCCAGACAAGATAAGAAATCTGGAGAACAGTTCAGCTATGCCACTCACTACATGCAGTTACACACAACCATATAATAGGATGGATGGGATAGGATGACAGTTTTAAAATCTAATGTCACGGGGTATAGGGAGAGATTGATAACGGAAGCTTTGTTTACTGAGTTAACTGCAAACACGTGTAATAGGAATGATTCAACACCTGTTCCAGATATCTGGAAAATTCTACTACCCCAACGACGACAAATAGGAGAAGACAAAGAGAACTATAAAACTCAAGTTTAAAAGTCGTGTGATTATAACTGATATGATAAGGAAAAATAAGTTGTGTTCGAAACCTTGTCATCCAGTAAATAATACTGTTTCAATGACTGAGTGATACATCTAATAAACAAACTAATATAGAATTGCATACTTTCTATTTTAAAAACATTTAGTCATATTCATATATTCATCAATTTTTATTTTTCATCATACTAATGTCGGAATACACTGGCCTATGCATATTCAGTCCTTTGTGACCATACTAGTCAGCACTTGTTGTTATCCTTATGGTGTAACATTTTTTCATTGTTATAGATGTGGAAGAAGTAAAAGGTAAGATAATGTTCTGGTTATTTCGCTTGGCTGTTAGCAGATAGAATTCTAATGTTCGGTTGGTTTTAACTTACCTAGTAGTAGAGTTACGCAGCTTGGATTTCTCGCTCTCACTGCTGTGTAGAAATGAGCTAAGGCGAACACCGATGCTATGCGGCCTTTAAATGACCAAACATAAAACTTACTACTTCAGATGACAGATGAAGTATTTACAGCAAGAACTTCACTGGGAACCTGTTCTCTGGGATCTGAGATACAGTATTCATGAACAGTCAAGGTCTTCAGCATTCCTGACGAATCTGTGTTATCCTGTTTGCGTCAGTGTGAAAATATTATAGGTGGCAAACCACGTTACATATTGCTCTGGAGGACAGACTGCTGGAAGCAAGAAATCAGTAACTTCAAACAGTATAAATGGACTAAATTTTTATATAGTCATAATAACGAATGTAGAACGAAACTGTACGTGTATGAGATTGATGATTACAATATAATGACGATGAGTTAAATGATTCAGTTTATAGTAAATAAACGATCAAGTACCATAGTTTACAAGAAGTATAGTTAAAATTAGCCTCTCATTGGATTGTCACTGAAATAAAACCAGATTGAATCCTCCCTACAATGTAAATTCATTCCCTATTAACTTTAAATAAATTGTATGGCTAGCTGAATATTAAATTATTGCCACTTATCAATGAGTTCATTAGGTACTTCTGCTTTTGAAGGTGAATCCGTTCTTGAAGCTAAAGAATCTGGTAAGTTGAACTCGGCATACTGTTTCTTTTAACGGTTTAACTATTTAAGTACCAGTTGTTTGTATGTAGTTCAGTTAAAACTTAAATTTACATAGTTTAAAGTAAACTTTATTTTCTCAATTTTTTTTCTGTTTTCATATATCCCTTGTTCCATGATTAAGACAAAGAAAATCTGTCTAACCCAGCAGAAATACAACATGATGAAAATATGCCAAAAAGTCCTGCAATAGAAGAGACTCATCTCTCTGCAACAGCTGATAGCAATGTACAGCCTGAAACTGCTGGTACAGACTTACAACCTGAACATAATACATTAGCGGAAACTACATCTGAAACAATACAAAATGCAGAAAATCTAGAGGCTACACCGGCAAATGTTTCCGATGCTAAATCAACGTCATCAAATCAAGGTAAGGAAATGTTTTGAATAAAATTATGAATAATTATGTATAAACCCATATGTATGACATTAGGATTGTAATGATCAGAATGTCCGGAATGTTTGCCGACATTTATTGTTCTCACTACGATAATTTAATGCCATATTTACTTAATATTTACTTCAGCAGCTTAGAGAAATGTAATCTTGATGACTAAAGTGCTTAAGTATTTATGATAAGAGTTATCAGGTAGTGATTCTCCATAACATGTCTAACAATAGACGCTAAAGTTTCATTCCTTTGACAACTGATGGAATGACTCCAGAGGTATCTAAGTACGGTGGAGACAGTTTACTGTCTGCGTTAACTGAGGTACCAGGAAGCGTCTGGGAATCAAAGGAAGTCCTGTCTGGTTGGTGTAAGTTGTTAATTATCCCCATATACACGAAGGGAGACAAGTCCTCCTGTGATAATCACAGGGGGATTAGCTTGACTTATATGGTATCCAAAGTTCTAGGCTCAATAATCATGCGTAGACTAGAAGTCCACGGGAGGAACAAACATGAAAGAAGCAGGTAGGCTTTAGACTAGGAAGAGGGTGTATTGATCTTCATACTTACCGTCGTTCTACAATCGTTATATTTCTTGACCTAAAGGCGGCATTTGATCGATTCCGTCGACCGAGAGGTTCTCTGGCGATGCTTTGCTGTAAAGGGAATGCCGAGAAAACACATCGTGCTGATCAAGGCACTTTAACCGAACTCAGGCAGCCAGGTGAGGGCTTACGACAAGTTGTCATCTGAAGTGCCAATAACTAGTGGTGTCCGTCAGGGATGCCTATTATCCCTATTTCTACTCAATTTCACCATAGATGTACTAATGAACTTAATCCTAACTCACTTCAGAGACTCAAGGATTGACTTGTTAGCAGGGTGGGAATAGTCTAGTTGACTTAAAATATGCAGATAATATAGTCCTTCTAGGTGAGGACGCTGACAAAATGCAGAGTCTTCTGAACACCTTGAGCTGCAATCTACGAATGTTTGGCATGCGATTCGCTCCCATCAAATGTAAGACGATGTTACAGGACTGAACTACACTGACTCCTAGTTTAGAAATAGGGAGTGAAGTTGTTGGTGGAGCACGTTGACTGCTTCACTTATTTGGGAAATACCATCAGCCAGTGCCAACAGGTTGATCTCTGACGAAATCTCAGCACGGATACAGAGGGCCAGTTTCGCTTTTGCCAGTTTACACCGTCTCTGGCGTAGACGAGACATCCGACTATCGACCAAAGGACGGCTGTACTGCTCAGAAGTCCGCTCCGTCCTCCTTTATGGTTGTGAGATCTGGTCATTGAGAATGGAAGACATGAAAACATTAACTGTCTTTGACCATAGGTGCCTGGGTTCTATCTCCGTGTGAAGTGGTATAATAGGGTGAGCAATATTGAGGTTGGACGTCGCGTGCAAGGTAAAGAGGAGAAATCAATCGACGAGGCTGTGAAGTTACATCAATTGAGACGGTTAGGACATATGTTACGCATGCCTTGCCATCGCCTTCCTCGAAAGACGAGCAATGTTTGTTGACATAGGGTCAGGTTGGAATAGAGCTACCGGCATCAGTCAATGAAATCTACAACAGTTAGTTTAAGCAATGTAGGAAGGTGTGGACTTCCTGGTTGCAGTCCTCGGGACGGTAAAAGCCAATGATGGCTGGAGACAATCGGTGATATGGCTCAAAATCGTTCTCAGTGGCTGGTGCATATGCATCCACTCCTTGGGACTTATAATTTGCAATGAAACTATATTGTTCTTCGTTATTACTATTCCTTTTTCTCATATCCTTGTCCACTGTCTCTATTTTGCGTTTCTTCTACCTTCGTCTCTTGCTTTGTGTGCTACAAGGAGGGAGTGTGGCAACTTGAACTGCTGAACATCTGTGCAAAGTTCTACGTTGAAAACAGAGAGACACACTCCGAAACTCGCAACAAATTTTTGCCTCTTTATTGACTGTTTGTTGAATTTTCTATTAAGTGTACTCATTTCTAATTTATATTGATGATACATGTATGTAGTTCCACTTGTAATAGGGTAAAACTGCGGTTATAGATAAGTCAAGGATGAAAGGCATTAATATCAGTTAACTGAAATCATTTTCATCACCAATTAAAAACGATAGTGAAGTGCTTAAGAAACAGAATGATGGAAGAAGATTTAATGAACATAGAGGAAGGGACAGTAAGGAAGTCCAGATATCGCATTTTTGTGATGGTTATATTGAAGAATAAAAAGCTTTATAACACAGTAAAATAAAGAAGAAAAGATATAAAATATTACACTTCACCATATTAATGTAGTAAATCAAGTGTCCGTAGCACAGCGGTAGAATACTCACCAACCACGCATGTGGTCCGGGGTTCGATCCTCGGTCACCGACGTACCTATTTACCTCACTAAGCCAGTGTTAAGACTGGTAAGGAAGGAAGGTTGAGCATGAAGCTAGCAACCCCATTCCGTGAAAATAAACACCAATGCTACCGAAAATTCAAGCCTGTAGCTTGAAGGCACCATATGTTCCACTGGGTTCGTAGAGGAATGAAAAAAATTAAATTAATCTTCATACATTTACTCCTCTTTATGAATTTGAATAAAGCAAGAACAGCAGTATGTGCAGAATAAAATGGTACCATTATTATTTATTTCGTTGGCTGTTCATCATCTGCTTTCAGCCCAAAAATATTATTAAGTTTACGCACAGAAACAATTTTAACAAACTCACACAGTTAGTTCATTTCTAAACAAACAAAAAAAATCAATATATGCATACATTGGTAATAATAATAATCACCTTATCCCAAACAATAATAGTCATACGGAATGGAATTTTTTAGCATCACGTAATTAAATGAAAGTGAAGATGAAAATACCTAGTTACCAAGGCAAGAAAAGGTAGATAACTGCTTCTTTCTGAACGCATAAATCAAGTTTCAGGAGCTTGGCGGAAAACTTGGGGAGAATTTAACTCTTTTGCCTATTGATAATTTTGAACGATCTTGCGACGTACACCTCATTACCCGTGTCGAGGAGATACCTAGCAGTGTCACTGTCGAAAGCATTTGTTCTCTTGAGACGTAAGCTTTTTGGTAGATGTTCAGAAAGTCGGAGATACGCCGTTCTTTCTCTTCTCCAGATGTAACTGCTCCAGCAGAAAATATTTTCGGCAAACTTCAATTTTAGGGCCGTTGTCTAACACACCTTTTATATAAACAGAATGTTTACCCAAGTTTACAAAAAGTAAATAGACACCAATATTCTTTCTTACCTCAAAAAGCTGTCACGTCAGGATAACCTATATCCATAGAAACAGAACTGCAGAAAGTTTCTCATTTCGTAAACTCTTAAATATTCTGTTGCCGGTAACATCTGTCTCCTTCGAATAACCATTGTAATATTCCTTTTTCCTACAAAAAAGCATCGCAAACGCGAAGGCCTCTGCTATCGACAGGGAAACAAAAGCTCCCTCCAGTTTCATATAAGCAAATCACAATGCCTTAATGTACGTTGATTCGTCCATGGTAGATTGAGAAGCAACTTAGTCTGTTTTATTTTAAAGATATACTTAATCGTTGCCTTTCTGCATCATGAAGCTACAGAAGCCAGAAGATATGAAGGATTGGACTGTAGTCAGATGACTGAACAGTAATATGTTCGCTGTGGAACTTTGTACTTCTGGGGTGATCATCGAATGCGATAGTTAGTCAGCTCTAATGGACCTTAAAGCGAAGACGAACAACATTAGAGTGATCTTTAACAGTTATTTTGTTGGGGTTTGATGTGTTTCAGTTTTGATCACGGATTGATATCAGTTAGAGAACCACTGCAAACCAAGGACTTGTGAGCAGCTGTCTAGTCCTAGTTTGAAACCCTTCAGCAGTACGCAGGAACAACCTCATCAGGGATCGAATCCAAGACTCTCAAATTGCGAGGTCAAGCTGGTTAACCATTCAGCCACTCGAATTGAAACTCAACGATCCATGAATTTTAACTCCTAAAGGAGGTCCTTCGAGAGCCCGAATAACCCAGTGGTAACGTCTCTGACTGCAGAACAAGCTGAAGTGGGTTCGAATCTCAGAAGGGACATGAGTTCCTTCAAAGATGCAGATATGCCTTGCTGACTGGTGAGTGCCAACTAGCACGAAACCTAGGTTGAGCAAGGCTTCCTGTGGCCGATTGCCTCCAACCATCTAATGTCATCGATTTTAACTTCTGTCAATTCACGATTTTAGCACGACCACCAAACAGTGTCATCGGCGAGAATTTTTCCTCAGACTGGATCTCGTGGACTCCATCGGTCATGAATTCTATCTAGAACTCCAGGCAACTTTTTTTCTTGGAGTCAGTCACGAATTTACAGAATTTAGAATTCATATGTCTATGAATTCCGGACTAAGTGGCTGATAAATGGTCAATGAGCTTGGCCTTGTAACTACCCAAAATAGGTCAAGACAGGCGTCCAGTACTCCCTGATTTCCAATGGTTCACTGATACTGACTGACATCAATCCGTGGTCATACATGAAGTAAATTGATCCTTGTTATTATTAGACTGTTTTAAAATCTTTTTATCTTTAACATTATCTTTTATCATGATAATAATAAATAATATTTAATCTGTATTTCTCTCTTTTCTTTCCTTTTAATTCTCTGTTTCATTTTCACCCATATTATTTCATCCATGTATTAATGTTGACTAAACATCACCACACTGCATTTTGCTTTATATATATTTCACTATATTTCACATTGCATGCTTTGCACTCACATCACTACACTCTGTGTATTATTTGAATACAACAAAAAAAGCTAAAAAGTCACTACCGAGACTACCCTTAATAAAGAATAAGGCGAAGTCGACCGCTGCTAAATCAAAAGAAACAATTAAAAGTACAAGAAAGCTTCCATCTATTAAAGGTAACAGACTAGCCTAGTCGTAATATTCAAAGTATTTGACGAATAGGGATGTTAATTATTGAATAAATAGTAGCAATAGTAGTAATCTCAGCTAACAATCGATACACTTCTACCCTAAAACCATAAAATGTCAGCTCGCGATGAAATCCTGTAACCAATCAATCAAATCCCTACAAATCAACACTTAAATATTAATGAGATGCTCACTAGCGACTGGCCTTATCCAGATAGGTTGTTACCTGGGTTGTAGTGAGAAGATGTGACCATTTGGGTGTGAGGACAAATACTCGCCGAAAACATTGTGAAGTGGTCGCTCTATGTCATAAATTGACAGAGGTTATAATTCATGGACTGGCCATCGGATCAGGTCTCAGTGGCTTATTGGTGTACGAGCTCGCTAGCCTTGTAACCAGAAGGTCCTGGTTTCTAATCCCTGTGATGGGTGCGAGCGGTTGAAGAGTCCCAAAATAAGCTGACGAAACAGCCATCCAGTAATCCCTGCAGGTTTTCCAATGGTTCTCTAACTGATGTCAGCTCATGATAAAATCCTATAACCACTCAATAAAATCCCTACAAACAAATACTTGAATAAAATTAAAGATATTCTAGTCTTTCAAAGTTTACTTCTGATCCCAGAAATCCAGATCATTTGCCTTATTTGGTTCAGTAAAACTGTAAATTAAATATACTAGTCTGTAACTCCCGCTATATTTAAAATTGATTTTTGGAAGGACTGTATATCTGGTACACCAATGTTTACTACTAGTCTAATGCATGGTATTGCGGAACAGTATTTTTTGCTTAGTAATATCTTTCGGAACTAATATACATACTCACAATCTTCATTGAGACTACCATATATATTTATAAGCCATGCCTTGAATCATCACTCTTACAACGTCTGGCACTATATATTCTGATGATGTCCTCAAGATTATATGATAATCTAGTTAAAAACCCATGGATCTTTCGAAAAGTGCTTTAAAAATTCACACTTCTGCAAAACACACATTCTTAATTGAATATTTCTGAAAACATGATAAAAATGGCTTCTGTTTCTAAAATTCTTACAATTTTCATACAACTGGGAATGTCTACTTTCCTTTAGTAGTAGATGGAATCATTTCCAAGGAGGAAGTGTTAAAGTGTATACTCTTAGAAAGATTGTTTTCAAGGCATTCTCAAGCACTTTTCGTTGTCATGGATTTCAGTTCAATGTATAAAATCTCTTGGGGATTCTGTAGCTGTTTTACATTCACGTCAGCTTATATTTTTGCTTAAAATTTTGAGCCAGTACTATTACTTTATGTATATTATATCACACATGTTTCTTTGTTTGTTATTAAATGCACCTCACGAAATAAGTGTTTTAATCTTGTGAATGTACTTATGAATCATTCTGTTGCATGTTTAAGTATTTTTATTTTAGTATTATTATTGTTTCCTTTAGTTCCCGGAGGAACATAGGGCTTCAGCTGCACGTTTCTATTCCGTTCGGTTCTCCTTCAACGCTTTCACTTGGCTCTACGTCTGCCCACACGCTTTTATTTCCACTTCACATGACCTCCTACTTGTCACCCTCGCACTGACGACCAACTCGCCGCTTCGCATTCAAGTTCCACTCGAGTGACGACGTGGAGTGTGATATCACTTGATGGTTTGTGTTTCTCAGAGTGTGGCCAATCCACCTTCATTTCTTCCTGCATATTTATTGCACAGCTGTTTCCTGATGAGTTGGTTCACCTTCATAGGTCCCTCCTTATTGCTGACCTTTTCTGACCAGCCATTTGATCTTGATTATTGCTCGAAGACAGCTGTTGATGAAGGTGTGTAGTTTGTTCAAAGTGCCCTTCGTAACGCGAGGCAAAGTGATGGAAAGCTACCTAGAATGGTGACCACATTACAACCTGACTGCACCAAAAAGAGGACTAAACACATCACACTCGTTACTAGTGTCATATCAAAATAACAACTTTTCATTAGCATTTAAACAGAATATGTTAGTTAAGTGACCACATATGCGGTCTAGGATTTGATTCTTGGCTGACTCACTCTGAAACCTCGCTTAGCCAGTAATAAATCCGGTAAAGAGAGAGAAGGCTAGGCGTGAAGATAGCTACCTCAACACACAACACTACCACAGCTGAAACTTCAAAGTTTAAGGCCCCAATTAGAATGCAGAGGAATAATACAAGTGAAAATCCTATTAGGCTGAAGGTAAAGTCAGATATTATTTACTAATGTTTACCGAAAGTACTCATTCAGACACCTAGAAAAAACAAAATAATTCAGCAAAGAATATCCTTTTCGATAATTTCCCCTTCTGGCTCTACAATTATATATGTATGTTTAAATACATAGAATATTCTAGAATAGTAGTCAATAACAACATTAGTGTTTTTTAAATAATATCGATTTGTTAAGTAAGATCAATGGAATTATAGTTCATTAAAGATGCTTAAATTATGATGATAATAATAAAGATATAATAGGGAATAGAATATCAACTAAAATTAAGGAAATCTCCACAAAAGCTTTGAGGATCATTAGAACCGTGATGGCTAATATAAGAACAGTGTCTGAACCAGCTCCTTTTGGATATATAAGTAAGGTTTCTTAATGTGGATCTCAACGGCCTAAGCAATATCTAGTAGATGAACTCTTACGAGGAAAAGTGAAGAATAGTTGGTATGCAGTAGATGATTTCGAAAGCCTCGTTGTGTTCTGTATCCACTGATGTTATCCCCGAGGAAGTGAATTTGTAAGAATAAGGCCTTTTTAGGAATTGTTGGTATTTTGGTCTGTCTAGGTTTTTGATTCAAATTCTTATCGATGAATTTTTCTGGGTAAGTATTATCACTCAGCAAATGTCTAACAATATTAAACTCTTCATTAAGACATTCGTCAGGGCAGATTGCTCGTGTTCTTTGGACCAGGCGCTTTATTAGACTGTTTGTATTTCAATGGCACGAAGTTTAAAAAATGAGTATAATGACCAGCTGGTTTTGGTTTTCTACATACCCTTCTTTTTGTACCGTCCTCTTTTCTAGTCATAAGGACGTCTAGGAATGAAATACCGGAGTGTCTTTCATTCTTGGTGGTGTAATTTATCGCAGGATGAACATCGTTATATTTGTTCAGAATGTTATTTACCTCTTTAGCTCATTTTTCATAATCAAAAATGTATCATTCATGTAACGAAAGTAGAATTCTAGTTCATCAGCTACATCTTTCAAGGGCCCATTCTCTAGTTTCGCAATGAAAATTTCGCCTAGAATGGGTTCTAGTGGTGACCTCATTGCCATACCATCAATTTGTCTGCATAGTTCCTTATTAAATAAAAAGTAAACAGCCAAAAGAAGCTGGTTCAGACATTGTTCTTATCTTGGCCATCAAGGTTCTAATGATCCTTAAATTTTTTGTGGAAATATCCTTAATTTTATTTGATATTCTATTTGCTACTATATCTTTATTGTTATTATTATAATTTATGCATCTTTCGTGAACTGCAATTCCATTGATCTCACTTAACAAATCCATAGTATTTAAAAACGCCAATATTCTATGTATATAAACATATATATTTATATGTAATTGTAGAGCATCCAACAGTTGTACGACAATGCTACATGCCAAATAATCCACAACGGGAAACTCACCGAATCCTTCGAAGTGAAGACGGGGGTAAGACAGGGCTGGCTGCCTACTATCACCAATGATTTTCCTGATTGCAGTATATTGGATAATGCGACAGACAACGGGCAATGAGGAAACAGGCATAAAATGGACTCACACAAAAAACTTGGAGGATCTGGACTTTGCTGATGATATATGTCTGATTTCCGACAAATTGCAAGTTATGCAAGTGAAAAGCAACAAGCTGGCAGAACAAGCATCAAAGATAGGACTTTCTTCAGGTGAACATAGATAAAACAGAGGTAATGAAGACTCCTGGCCAAAAAAAACTACAACGGACAACAATCGGCATAAATTAGGGAAATCTGAAATAAACAACCTCTTTTACCCACCTGGGAAGCATCGTTTCAACTACAAGCGGAACTGACGAGGATATCAAAGTATCAAGGATTGAGAAAGCAAACCAAGCTTTCATTACTCTCAAGTTTGTGTGGAGATCAACAGCACTCAGGATGAAAATGAAGGTAAGATCCGGATTTTCAACTCCATTGTAAAGCCAATGCTACTTATCACACGGATCAAAGACTTGCCGCGTCATAAAGAGCACCTCAAACAAGCTTCAGACCTTCATTAACAGCTGTCTTCGCTCAATACCACTCAAGATCAGATGGCCGCCCAGAGAAGATCAGCAACAGTGAGGGATCTCTGGCGAACCATCCCAGCAGGAACCAGTTGTGCAATAAATATGCGGGAATAAATGGAGATGGATTGGTCATACTCTGAGAAAACAAATCATCAAATGAGTGGCATCACACGCTAGGCCATCTCTCTAGTGTAACCTGAAAGGGAAGCGGCGAGTTGGTCGTCAGTGCAAGGGTGAGTTGAAGGAGGTCATGTGAATAGGAGATAAAAGCGTGGGGGGGCAGACTTGGAGCCAGATGAAAACTTTAGCAGAGAACCGAACGCAATGGCGACGCTCGGCTGAAGTCCTATGTTCCTCTAGGAATTACTGGAAATAATAATGTAATAAGAATAATAATAATGTAGAGCCAGAAGAGGGAGTTATCTAAAAGCGTATTCTTTGCTCAATTTTTTTCTTATGTTTATTACCTAAAATACCATCACATAGAGGGTTTTGTAAATGAAGATGCAAAATCTAACAGCGAAGTGATGAGGATACAAAAGGGATCATTAATTCATAAAACTAACTTCCTTCTTCTTTTTCTTGATCTTTCCAATGAAAATTTTCAACTGTTTGAATGAAAAAGGGAAATAACTTTTCAGTTATTAGACTTTTTTTTTCTTAATGTTGCATAATTTTTTGCTTAACGGTTGACTTACATAATGAACAAGGTAGGTAGTTTTGATTGGATAAGTCTTGTTACCACTGTCTGTACAAAACAGTTTCATTTACTTTCAGACCATCACATATTTCAAAGTTATATATTCTGGTTACAGCATTAATTTTCTTTTTCACGTGTTATTTTTAGTTGATACTGCACTTTTCCTCTCTTAAAATACACTCAAAAGAAATTTTTTTTTAACAAAATCTGCTCTTAAACTCGTGGTATTTTTGAGTATATGAAACTGCTTCATGTGTATAAAAGATCATATTTAAGCATCTCAATTAGAAGTTATTCCACATTTAACGCTGAAATCATTCATTTTAACTTCTTTCACTGTTCTATCTCTTTGCCTTGTTGATACATTTAAAGTGCTCCACCACCAGATGTGGAAATACACTTCAAGTACAAATTATGAATTTGCACTGAATTTTTTTAGATCCAAGTTTTGGTTTATATCTTTGATTATACTCATTTTATACACGATTTTCTTACTCCTTATTGATTTGCTTTCACAATTACAGGTTCGTGAAGTACTTTTTGAAGATGTGGGGATTTATTGAAAGCAGAAATCATTTCAAGTTGCCAGGTTGTTTTTCATTAATTACTTTTTACCAACCAACGATTGGACAATAATACTTTTATGCACTCAAGTACAGGCTTTTCTTAACCGGTTTAGGGTTATTTCATTGTGAATTGCCTTCTTGTTGTTTCTTTGACTAATATTGTATCAAACATACTTCCTTTCTTGAATGTTGAGTTAATCATCTTAATTATCTGTAAAATTTGTATCATTTAAATAAAATGAAAAAAATACATCTAAAGTTGAAAAACTTTTAGCCCTATAATAATAATAATAATAATTACGTAGATGTCCGCATAGTGTAATGTATAACACCTAATGTAATCTACAACTCTAAGTAGAACTGTTAACTGGTTAGTTCTATTAAAGCTTTTCGTAAAAATATATGATTTTATGCAATGTTTTTGAATATTATTTTTCCTTATTCATTTACTTAAATGTTCTATGTTGTATAACTATATTAAGTGCAATACTTTAGGAAACTGCTTGAATGAATTATCATTAAGATGTAATATTTTGCCCGGCCGACGCACTCCTTTGCCTCACCTAGACAGACCAACTGGTAAAGAGGGAAGGTTGGACATGAGGCTAGCAACCCCATCCTGTAAAAATAAACACCACTGCTACAGAAACTTCAAGTCTCCAGCTTCAAGCCCTATGTTCCACTGGGAACTTGAAGGAAATAAAAAAAAATATTTTGCCCTGGTTGTGTTCTCTGAGCTGGTTAGTTAATATGCGAAGCCTTCATTGCCCTACTGGGCGACATCTTTAGCACATTATTCAATTTACTGAAGTGAGCTTTTTTTGTTATTTTTGTGTTTTTTTTGTCTTTTGTTGTTGTTGTTTTTTATATTTATTTTTTGAAATACTCCTTTAAATGTACAGTGAAATTAGATGCAATATTGTAGATATGTGCTGAAAATTTCACACTGTACAACTAGTACTTACTGTTTCTGGAATAAAGCAAATTGTTATTATTATTCAAGTATTGGTTTGTAGGGATTTGGTTGATTGGTTACAGGATTTCATCGTGAGCTGACATTGGTTAGAGAACAATTGGAAAACCTGGGAGTATTATTATTATTCTTAGCGTTGCTGCAATGAATGTTCATGTCAGTGGTGATTTAGTCCTTCTCTTGATAATATCGCTTGTTAAATCTCTTTTGAAATCCAAGTTCATGTAGATTCTCTTTTAAAGAGCAAGGGAAGTTTCATTTCTCCGAATTCTTGGTTTGATATTTTTGTCAATGAATCTTATTGGGTATCCATTTTGGACAAAGATTTCTCTCAGAATATCTAATTCTGTTTCTCGACCATTGAAACTACAGATGCGTCGAATGCATGTGGCAAGTGATTTAATTAAATTCCTCTTTTGTTGAATGGGTATTCAGCTATAGAAGCTTGTTAGTTGACCATTCCAATACGAATATGCTAGTAATGCCCAGTGAATTTCGCAAAATTTTCTGTAATTGGATATATTATGTTGTGCGTTGGTAGCACAGTAGTTGAATACTCACCAGCCACGCAGGTGGTTTTGGGTTCCATCATCGGTCAACACACCCCTTTACCTCGCTAAGCCGGTAATAAGACTGGTAAAGAGGGGAGGTTGGGCAAGAGGCTAACAATCCAATCTCGTAAAACTGAACACTACTGCTACGGAAAATTCAAAGCTCTATCTTGAAATCTTATTTTCCACTGGGAACGTAGAGGAATAAAAAAATACATATATTATGTTAAACTAAATCAGCCAATTGACCACTTAGCCTCGCAGTTTTACAACTAATTTCAGGATTCTTTTAATAAAGCCAAAAGAGTTTGATCTTTTTTTTGACTCAGGTTTTCGATCATATTAATAAATTCCATGAACACCAGAACAATAGTTGTCAATGCTGGCGAACACTAAATAGTTTGTTTATTCGAACTGGTCTCCCTACTGGCGGGAGACAAGCAGGCTGTGTACTGGTTGGCAGAAGATTGGAGAATTATGATCAGGAGTATTGTTGTACATTATATTAACGCACTGAATAACCATTGTTAATCAGTTTCTTTATCGCTTGAAGAAGACAACAGTCGTGTCGCTCGACCATATATTCTCTTCTTCTGTGACGATTACAGTGCACAATATTCTGAGTATTAGGTTTAGGCTTCTGAAACCAGCGATAGGTCCAGGATCTCTGCGATTTGGATATTTGAAACTAGTTTTATCAATCGAAATTTGGATGGTAAGGATAACCTGAAACGGTAATCAGAGTTATCATATAAGAAGCATCTTAAATCTTTCTTCAAGCATCATCAGTTGAAAAGTATACAACTGATAGGATTAAATGACTGATCTTATCTTTGTTTCTTCTATTTTCATTACATATCACCCCACCACCTGTTATCACTGCAAAGAGCTCATAGAAATTTTATTTTAATATGATTTAGCTCATCATTGAGGACATTAATCTTTGTGAAGAGAAAGTTTGTAAAATGACACTTAGGATCTAGTTCTTTTGGCTTAAGTGTTTCGAAATAAAATAACAACAATAATTCCGAGTTGTTTGAGCAACTAACACCCTCGGGTTCTATAATTCCCTGGTTATATGGTCTTCTTAAAGTGCACAAGGGGAATTTACCAATGCTTCCAATCTTAGACATGACAAATTCACCATATCATGCTAATACTAAATGTCTCGTAGACATCCTTCTACTTACTAATCAGGATTAATCTCTGTCATCATAGAGTTGTGGATTTATTTTAATTCATCGATTCTATAGATGATATTAATACATCCGGGAAGAGAATGATATCTCTGTATGTTACGTCCCTCTTCACTAATGTTCTTATCACTCAAACTATTTGCTTCATCTGCAAATTCATCAAGAATAATAATGTGCATGTGAGTGTTCCCATCCACGACTTAAAGAAACCAATATTGAGATACACTTTCAATGTCCGTTTCAAGTTTAGTAACATGCGGTATAGACAAAAGGACGGAGTGCCGGGGAAGTCGTCATGGGGTCCTTGAATTACAGACTGTTTTATGGTAAGTCGAAAGAATCGCATGTTACAACCCGCTATTGAAAGTTTTCATATATACCAAAGATAGATGGATGATACTTTAATCATAAGCAATAAAAATGATGATATCAAAATGATAGCAAGTTCATATCAGAATCAGAGATGAACTCTGAGTTCCATTATTTGGATATTTTCTTAAAAAGAGATCTGACGTTTTTCTTCAAAGATCAATCTACAAGAAACCAAAATGGAATGGTCAATACTCGAATTTTCATAATTGGTTCCCTTTTATAAGAAAGAAAAATTGGTTTGACTGCTAGTCTACAAGAATAAGAAGGATGTGCAGCAGCGATACACTGGATGGTGAACTGGAGAAACTCAGACAAGTTCCCACCAAAAATGGATGCTCTTCAAGATTCATCGGGAAAAACACGGTAGTAAATTAAAGGCCTGAAAGAATCCAAACAGTGTCGAAGAAACTGCTGCTTACGAATGCTGAATTTAAAGATTATATCTCGGTTGAATTTGTGAATAACAGCTTATTCATATCACTGACAGAAGCTTTTATTGCTGCTGAGCTGCAGGTCAGTTTGTACAGCCATAAATGACCAACGGATGTATGAAAAAGAAACTTTCACTTTAATGTCTCTTTATGAAATTCACTTACTTCCATGGAGCTGTTTATATTGGCCACACAAAGCGCACATCTGAACTGGTGACGACCAGTGGTGTCCGTCAAGGATGCCCATTATCTCCTTTTCTATTCAACTTCATCATAGATGTGTTAATAGACTTAACCCTATGTGACTTCAGCGATTCAGGGATTGACTTGCTACCTGGGAATAATCTTGTTGACTTAGAATATGCAGATGATATAGTCCTTATGGGCGAGGACGCTGACAAAATGCAGAGTCTTCTAAACACCTTGAGCTGCAATCTACGAATGTTTGGTATGCGATTCACTCCCTCCAAATGCAAGATGATGTTACAGAACTGGACTACATCGACGCCTAGTTTAAAAATAGGAAATGAAGTGGTAGAGCACATTAACCTCTTCACTTATATGGGAAGTACCATCAGCCAGTGCCAACGGGTTGATCTCTGACGAAATCTCAGCACGAATACAGGGGGCTCGTTTCACATTTGCCAGTTTACGCCGACTCTGGCGTAGACGAGATGTTCGACTATCGACCAAAGGGCGGGTGTACTGCTCATCAGTCCGCTCCGTCCTCCTTTGTGGCCAGCTGTGAGACCTGGCCACTGAGAGTGGAAGACATGAAAAGACTAGCTGTCTTTGATCATAGGTGCCTGCGCTCTATTTCCCGTGTAAAGTGGCATAATAAGGTGAGCAACATTGAGGTTAGGCGTAGAGTTCTAGGTAAACAGGGGAAATCAATCGACGAAGTCGTGAAGTTACAAAAACTGAGATGGTTAGGATATGTGTTAAGTATGCCAAGCCATCGCCTCCCTCGACGAGCAATGTTAGCGGATATAGGGTCAGGCTGGAAAAAAGCTAGCGGCGGTCAAACAAAAACTTGGCATCAGTCAATGAAATCCACAACAGTTGGTCTAAGCCACGTAGGAAGGGGTAGACTTCCAGGCTGGGGTCCTCGGGATGGTAAAAATCTATGGTTGGAAACAATTGGTGACATGGCTCAAAATCGTTCTCAGTGGCGCAGATGCATCCACTCCTTGTGACTTATGATCTCCAATGAAACTGTTTTGTTTTTCTTTATTACTCCTTTGTCTCACCCCTCTGCTCACTGTTTCTATTATGCTTTTCTTGTACTCTCTTCTCTTGCTTCGCGTGCTATACGGAGTGTGGCGACTTGAACTTCCGCACATTTGTGCAAAGTTCTATGTCGAAAACAGACAGACAGACAGACACAAAGCGCACACTTTCCAAACGTATCTCTGAACATGATCTAGCATGCTTAGCAAGAGGATAATGAAAGACTATTGCTGGCTAATTTCTTGAGCGCTTAGCGAGCTCAGGCCACGCAGCTCCATCAGAGTCGTCTTTTAAGACCGAGTGGTACAAGGGGTGTTATGTATCAGTATTTGTGTATAGTGGAGTCGCCGACAATTTTTCTGTACAATCCTGAACTCCAGTCTCCTAGTCTCTTTCCTAATCGTTAGCTTTAATGTTTATTTTGAATAATTAATTCACTATTATCAGTCTTACATGTTACGTTTGCACATTTTTTTCACTCTCTTCACGCTTGTCAACCTTTCTCCTCATTTAATAACAGTTTCAACCTTATCTAATTTCAAACATTTTCTTCTGTTGTGCCGTTGACTGGTGTGAAACTTTCTAATTGTCTGCTTTATTTTAAGAACCACTTCTGAGTAATTATATTAAACCACGTATCACACACACCCTTATTCCTTAATAGTAGACTGCTATATGTTTTGGTAAATATAAACACGATTGCACAGCCTCGGAAGTTGATTTCGTCAATAAAGAAAATTTTCGCTGAATTGTCTTTTCATTATCTCCATGACAAACTATGTTCAACTGCTACTGTCTATCGACTTCTCAAGTCCGATATCAAATTTTCTGTGCTTCTTAGTGTTTCATTACTTCTTCTAATTACCATGTTGCGCACTCTGTTCATAGACTGCGATGCACGTTTTCAACAAGTAAGAACAAGCAAAAACCCTAGGTCTAGGGCTACATGTCACTTGCCTTCACCTACCTACCATATATATTAAAGAGTTTATAATTAAACCGGCCACTACTCAAGGGCTCTTTCCAGCACTCAACTTCCCATCTTAATAGTGGTGTTGAGAAACCGAGTTTTATGCTGAATGCAGAAGATTTTCGCAATTATTTCAAATTCTTGCCTCTCTGATCCTGGCTTAGATAACCTCACCAATGCTGCCTATAGGTGAAATGATGCTTTCTAGATAAGTTACGAAAGTAACCTTGTTCAAATCTCTCCCGCTGATAGTAACTGGTTTTTGTTGTTGTTGCTGGTTATGTTTCTTCAACATCTCCGTCTCCTATCCCAGCTGTCTGTTTCTTCTGCCACCATATCGGTTTTCGCCTGTAAGTCTTCGAATCTTTGTGATATTAGACGGAAATCATCCACAGGCGAAGTTCAGATCTTCCAGAATCTTTTCATCGGTCCAGCGTATTCCTGTTTTTCACTCCCCACACACACACAGTTTGACGCATACCCCAGTCCACCACAATTTAGGAATATCATCGGTGATAACAAGCTCCCAGCCTTGTCTTACTCCTGTATTCACTTCGAACGTTTCGCTGAGTTTCCCGTCGTGGATTACTTGACACATAGCGTTGTTGAATAAGGTTGATAAACACTTGGACACTGCACGCCGTAGTGTTGACGTAGGTTCTAAATTCCGTCTCGGACAACGCCGTCTGTCGAAGCCCATTTCGAAGTCGATTAAGTTGAGATAAAATGAGGTTTGACTGCCATTCTACCCTCTGTTCGATGACGATGAATGGAGTTGCAATTTAGTCAGCATGAATATGATTTCCCTTTTCTGAATCCAGCTAGTTCTAGGTTTGGGGTGGAGTTGTGCATCTAGTGTATCATTTAAACTCTCCAGGATGAAGGGAATCAATATTTTGCTTAGAGTATTCTAAATATTCTAAGATAGTCTTTATTCATGCTCTTAAGATTTTGTCAATTAGCAGTTTGTTTCTCCACTATTATCATTCTTTCTTAACCTTTTAAAATATACGTAACACTCTAAACTAAATGCTACTTGTTTTGAAAGTAGAAATATCCTTTAATTACATCACTTAGCGCCTTCTGCGCATATTCATACAAGACATGAATGATAAAAATAGGCAACAAAGAGGATAAGTTATACTGTGCGTCTTTTAATCATGTATTTCCACTCAAATAAGGAGTGCATAGAATAGTTCTAGTTTCTCTGTACTGCTTTGATTGATTAAAAGTAAAACTTTTTTTTAAAAATCTTTATGTAATCTAATGTTGATGAAATATTTCCATAGAAATGAAATGAAGAATAGTTCTTCATATGTCATCAGTATCTAGAGCCTAGAGGATTTATTACAATTGATCCACTAGCAAGTTGACCTAGATTTTGTTCAGCTCGTCGAAGATACATTGAATGCATAGCTATGTACTCTTCATCAGTTGAATACTCTTCAAAATCGATTTGTGCATCTCTTGCAAACAACGGTGTACGACATACTGAACAGATATGCTCTAGATCCAGCTGACAAGAACGACAGAAATATGCACTACATTCAGGACACTGATAAAAGTTCTCCTTGAACTTCTTTTCATCTGATGGATTGCCTTCAGCACCACAATATGAGCATGTGACACGTTTAATACCAAATACTCGTAATAGCTGCTTCAGTTTCGGATGATTCATCATAAATTCTCCAACTAAGGATATTGTAAACAATCGTCGACTTGGTCTACCAATAGGCACTCTTGATATGTGTTTTAAACCATGAAATGCTTCACGATTATTTTTAATATGAGCGCGTAACCATGAAGCGCGTAGATCTGATATCTCTGGATAATACCATATCATGATTACATGACGTAGTCGCATGACATACACCTGGCGTGAAAGAAAACTATGACTGCTCAAAACAGCTTGAAAATATCAATTCTATGAGGAAAAATACAGATAAAAGCTAAGAAGTGAATATTATGCATCCGTGTAGATGTCTTATTAGTGAACTTAATCACTCATTAAATTTTCTTGGCAACTACATACATACATACCTTATGTCCCACTCGAGACCCAAGGGGAAAAATGACAATAATACATGCAGAAAGAAATCTAAGTTAATTTTATCATTAAGCCAAAACACATTCCAACATACAGAAATCATTTTTCCCAAAACCATTCTCATCCAGCTGTTCTTTTTATTGAGAACTAGGAATTTCAATCTTCGATACTGTTAAGTCATACTTACTCAGTTTTTAATAACAGTTTTTGCACCATTAACTGACTTCTAGTAGTGTTTATGTCCTTTTAATGTATTCTTGTTGCAAGTGAGAGTTTTCTATTAAATGGTTAGTTAGTAATCACGACAGTCAAATGGAACTGCATAAGTTAAAGAGAACTTTATCCAAACGAAGTAGAAGAGATAACCTGCATCAAATGAACCTTATGTACCTATTAGAACACAAACCGAGTACAATATGAGCACCAAGAGATGTGCCATACAAAACCTCATAGTTTGTGCGATAAATTGAATAATGCTTGGGTGTCCAAACTAGAGCATGTGGTTGTCTTAAGGGACCACTTGCCAAGCCTTCGACTTGAAGTCTGCTCCTCTAGGCAATGAAGCTGTGTCAGGCGCTACTTTCCAGCCTCTGTCGGTGACCCAAACGGGTTCATGTGCCATTCGATACGTTTCGATTTTGAAGCCCATGTACAACCTAGCTTTTGAACCAGAGTTTTCTCGCTCCCCTTGGTACACCTGCGTGTTCACCAGGCAGCTTCCAAGCACCAGACATCTTCATTCATCCTTTCGCTTTGTACGGAACATCTCCACTGCAATAAAACAGTGCATAAGATTTACCTGGTAGAGGCCATAAAAGCAAGGCCACTTGGGAGAATTTCTAGAGGAAGGCCGAAGTCTCCTCCCCCCCTCCATCTTGGCTATACCAGGTGGCTTACATAACCTACTGTTCTACTATTTATCCTACGTTTTGTTTAAAAAATGATCTATTTCCTACTGTACATCTGAACCCACATATTTCCGAACTTGTATTTATTGCTCAGCAGGCTTATAAATTTCCCAACATGCATGACATTTATAGATGAAGTGGATGATGGCAGAGGTTTTACTAAAACACTATTTGCCATCTTCATTTTTTATTTTATTGAAGTCACATATTAGTAAACTAGTTGATTCATATTACTTTTTCAAACCTTGGAGATTAGACATGCATTTGCCAACGGATGAAGGCCTTTTGTTTGAACCATATCAAAATTTCAGGTTGACACTTTCGTAACTAATTATGTGTTTCCCAGGTACACTCAAAGCTGATGACATTTCAGTTTGTTGAATTCAATCCGTCAGCCAGTTCTAATGATGCGTCGTCTTTTATCCCATTTTTGTCTAGTGAATCACTTAACTGTAAATACACTTTTTCTCATCAAGCAGGTGTATCCAGTTTCTTGGGGTTATTTTAAACTTTTCACTCTTAACGTCCCTGCATGGTTGTAATGTGTGCTACTGACAAGATTTATCAGTAGTATGTAGATGCAGACTGATAGGAAGCTTGCAAAACTGAAATCAACAATTTATTTCATTAGTTACGCAGTTAGAAGTGTTTATTCCTCAAATTTGGATATAGTCACGTTGTGGGCATGAATGAAGTAACCTCACTGGACAACTTTCTTGTTTAACCTTGGGCCAATCGCCAACCAGTCACAGCAGTTCACTATTCACTAACCTAGTCGACTTTTAATGTGGTTAAAAATGTATAAATATGATGCATTTTTCCTTAATAAAAAGTCCGTTACCAACTCTCTTATCTTCAAACGTTGCATAATCAGTTAAATTTAGTATTCAGCATGACACTATACAGTTCATTCCTGCGGATGCGTTTTGATCTGCAAAATTATTTTAACAAATTTATGTCAATCCACAGTCGACCAGTTGGCTATTAATGTTACTTCTTATCAATGTCTCATGTTTATGTAACTTCTTGCTTAGTTTTTATCTATCATTGGAAAACTGGTTTAAATTATCAAGGTTCTTTGACAGTTAGACTGTTAATGATTTATTGAAACTGATTAAATGTGTGTCTCGCAGTTATCAATATTTTTTTCGTTCACGTTCCCAGCGGAACATAGGGCTCCAAGCTCTTGACTTGAAGTTTCTGTAGCAGTATTTATTTTACAGGATGGAGTTGCTAGCCCCATGCCCAACCTTTCTTCTTTACCAGAATTATTTCTGGCTTAGCGAGGTAAAGGAGTGCGTTGGCGGCCGGAGATCGAACCCCGGATCATGTGCATGGTCGGCGAGCGTCCTAACCCCTATGCCACCGACGCTTATCATTATTTAGCAGTACCATATCTCCAATGGCTTTCTTCTTGTTGTATAAGTCGTGCGATCTGGAATCGATTCGAGGAACGTGTCACTCAAGACGTCTATTAACTAAGTTACAAGATTTCTGATTACCATTTTTGACAGTTACATTCATTCCTATGTCCTGAAATATTCAGTTTCTGTGAGTGCAGTATTTAACACATATTCAGTCTGTTTCATTGGAAAGGGTGAAAGCGATTCTTGCGTGTGTTTCTTTCAAATGGCAACCATGGAAATAATGATAAAAGCCAGTAGAGAGGGATAATCACTTATATACTAACTTCCATTGACTTTATGAACCGTCTTCTAAACTAAGATTTATTTTATCATACACGATGAGCATCAAATAATTTTAGGAAGTTAAAGATATAACTAAAATTATTCTACACTATATATGATTTATGTAGATATACTGCCTGTCGTAGTTACCAATGAAGTCATGATTGATGCATACACCGACATGGAAATCTGATTGGACAGTTTTTGATTGGTCTATTTTTGGCTTAAATTTCAGAGGATTTGTATTCTGAATAATGAAACGTCATTGTTATCGCAGTTAAATTTTGACTTTCATGTCTATCTCAGTGTGGGGCATATTTTTAAGCGATCATCTGGTTATGGTTTTGTATCTAGAAGCGCATTCTAGTCAAGTTTGAGGACAAATTGGTAACACTCCGCCACAACAGATTACCCACCTTTTATCTAAAACCCTTTTGCTACTCTAATTAATCATGAGATAAATGGTCTGAGGGTGGTAACATCACAACAAAGCAACAGCTGACGGTTAATTGAAATTCCACAAAGAGTCACACATTATTAGAATGGAGGCTATGGAGTTATTATTAAAACTGATAGCTTAAGACTATAAACAGCATAAGTCAAAGTCAGTCTGAGCATATCAGATCATCACTACCTTCAAATATCACTTCTTTAAAATGGTAGGGGAATGTTTTTTATCCTGACTATGTATAGTGGAACTTAGTTATTTGGAATGAACGCCATTCTACCGAAATAAGTAGATCTTTCACCCACACACCTAAGGTATTTTGCTTGAAAGTGTCAGGATAACGGATACCGAACAATTTGATATATATATATATATATATATATATATATATTCAGCGAAGAGACTCTTTTCAACGGATTTATTATCAAGCCGTACACTGGTTTTATAAACAAAAAGATACTTAAACGACACTTTCGTCATTTGCGATATTAACGTAATTCTTGATGATGTCTTTCAACAACTGCCATCCTCCTTTACAATTCACCATAGAAAAGGAATCCGAACTAAGTACTCCGTTTCTCTATGTGTGCCTTAGCAGGTGTAATGATGGATCTCTCAACAGATCTATCCACCGGAAACGTACATGGAACGGACAAATAACTAATTTTCACAGTTGGGTGCATATTTTCAGGAAAAGGAAGCTTATTCATTCACTTTGCTTTAGGATAAGGAAAATTTGTAGTACTGATTGCATTGACTCAGAACTTGACTTCTTAAAAGCCACACTCACAGAAAACGATTACCCTAACTGACTTATTGACAGCAACATGAAAGATAAGCAGTCTAAACTGGTCACAGACTCAGTTCCAAAGAACAACCTATTCATGAACGTGGAATTCAAAGGTGATCAAGCTTCAGATATGCTCAAAAACCATCTTTCGAAAGCAGTCAGTAAGACGTTCTTTGTAGCAAAAATGGTATATGACGTTCACGAGCCGGAAGTTGTTCTCTACCTCTGTATAAGATAAGCTCACCCGTCTGGCCGCCTCCATGTGAATATGTCAGTTCACCTGCTCTTGTGGAGCAAGGTAAATTGGCCGTAGTCAGAGGACGCTTTCCACACGGATATGAGAACATATTCCAGCTTGGTTTTACAAAGGAGAAAAGAAGTGTGTGCAAAGCTCTATTCTGGAACACCTGATCGACTTCTGTTACTCGGCCAACCCTGACCATGATTTCAAGATCATCTACCGAATCCATGCTAACTCGCCACGTTTCCTTCGTTACAACCGTCCAAAGACAGCTGAGGTCTTGGCAATTCATGACTTTAAACCAGACCTTTGTGTACAAAAGAAGTACGTACAATCCCTAGTTATCCCTTGGACGTAGAGGGATTGACATTTAGCTATTTAGTTTATTTAGTTATTCTATGTACCTTTCCTTTATCACTACGATTATTTTTAATATTATTATCATTATTAATATTACTATTCTTACTCTGAATCTTTTCCACTTGACCCACTTGTCATTTCAAACCCAAAATGATTAATTTTTATATTTTTTTATTTTGACAACATTGAATTCCATCTTATCGAATTTCACACCATGTTATGTAACATTTTATATTCGTCTACTAACCTTATAATTATGTATACCTTTCCAAAATCTATACACCTTATGTATTATTCTATATATGACACTAATTATTTTGCCGCTTGACATTAAACTATGATCATAATCACAAATATTTTAATTGCATTTCATACTATTATTATTATTATTCCATGTATTCACATCTTTGACCTAATTCCATCATCGGATATAATTTCTTAAAATAATAATAGTAATAATAACATAAATAAGAAAGAATATAAGTCATCCACAGTTATACCATATAAAGAGGGGACATCTGAGACACTACGTAGGATTCTGAATAAAATAGGAATTAGGGTGGCATTTAAACCTACAAACTCACTCAGGGACAAGCTCTGTAGGTTAAAGGACCCAGTTGACCCAATTAGACAAAATAATATTATTTACAAAATACCATGCAATGACTGTGAGGTCAACTACATAGGTCAAACTAGTAGGTCAGGGGTAGTCAGATTGTCAGAGCATAAGAATTTAGCTAAGGTAAGAATGGTTGACCCCGAGAAGATAAGTAATTTAGAAAAAAGCTCAGCAATTGCAATGCATGCGCTAACACACAACCACACAATAGGGTGGGAGAGAGTTAAAATTCTAAAAAGTAATCTAGGTAGGTGGAGAGAGAGGTTGATTACTGAATCCTTGTTCATCGAGTCTACACCCAACACATGCAATAGGAATGACTCGTCACTCATACCTGAAATATGGAAAATACTACTACCAATCAAATCAAGTGAAAGTCAAGAGAAAAACAATGGAACTATATAAATGAATTTAGGAAGTCGTGTGATTACCTTGATATGATTATGAGCAATAAATTGTGCTCGAAACGTCATCAGTAAACATTACTGTATAACACTGTGAGACTTTATCAAAACAAAATTTACCCATAATGGAATTACACTCTACCACAGTGCACAAGTTTTATTCTTATATTAATTTCTTAAAAAACCATATATATACGATTGTACAGCTTGATAATAAATTCGTTGGAAAGAGTGAGTCTCTTCGTTGAATATTGCGTTCTTAATGCTCCAATGGGAATTATTATATATATATATATAAATATATATATATATATGAAAATTAAATTAATATAACTCTGCTGTCCACCTACCTGACAGAAAGCACTTAAATATGTTAGAAACAATAAGAATATAATTATTGCATTGCTCGCACGACTTGGTGGATTTGGTTTCGGTCGACAGACTGTAGCATCAATACTGATCACAGTATCTTTCAGTGGAATCAATAAACTAACCATACTTTTTAATATATTCGCATAGAATGTATCACCTTTGATAACTGGTTGATGCGACAATCCTTCTAATCGATCATACTCCAGTTCAAAGTAATAATCATCATTATAAATGTATGCTCTTGACGATTGGATAAAATCAGCTGAGAATAGAGGTGCTAGTGAGTACAGAGCATTGTGTACAGAATGATCAGTTGCAACAACAGCTATAATAAGAAATGTCCATATAATTAGCAGGATATTCAACTTTTTTAATTTACTCTGTTCATGTTTTGTCCAGCCAATGTTAGTCAGTGTTTTATAAATATTTGGTTCATCTTTTATTAATGGTATTGTTGGAACTAAACCTTGCATCATTGCCCGTCTCTCCTGGAAGTTTAAAGTTTATGATGTAGAATGGAAATGATATTATTAGTTACAAACAATGTTTACTGATTAAAGAAGAACTGGAAAATTGTTATTTAATTAGTTATTTCATTTTTGCCTTAGAAGCTCTTACTAAAGTCACTATTTCTATACTGTTATAGTATATATAAATATATATTTATATATGAATTCTTTTATTCAATAAATACGTTTTTATCGTTGACTTCCGACGGTTATCTATCTTACTGAACTGATAACTTGACAAGAACATTAAGCCGAAAATTCAAAGATAAGAGACATCATCCATACCAAGAAAGAAACTTTACATGAACTTTATATGACTTCAAAGATGATCTTCTCATGGATGTCCTTAAGAGCAGAATTTCGGCTTCTTTAAGAAGAACTTTCTTCTAAACAACGCTGAGAGTAGTGTTCTCTAGTCACCCTCTAGTCTGCAGAAGCCAAAAAACAAGATCTCACATCTGATTACTTCCCGTATGTGTATATTAGTTCACCTGTTGCAGTGGAGCCAGATACATTGGTGGTTTGATGTGTATCATATCCAAATGGTTTCAAGAACTCTAAGCGACACGGTTGCAGAAACGTAGAAGCGGCTGTATAAGAAGCGCAATAATCTAACACCTCGTCAACATTGGTTATTCCACCTCAACAAATTCCTCCTTCAAAGTAATCTACAAAGTGAAGAGGAGTCTACCAAACACAACACACTCTCCCTTCCATTGGATTGCTGAAGTGGAATTACTGAAGTGATTCACTTAGAGAAACTAGAGCTATGCATTCAAAAGAAAATTGTTCAACCAGCTTCTACTATCATGGTAACAATTTTTTTAATTTCTATTGACTTGATTTTTGTTTGCTTGTCTTCCAACTGTCTCCCAACCGATAGCTGCATCCCTGAGGTGGTGGTCGGGATTGCACATCGCGATGACCCAACCAGCTGCACTGGCTGGAACCAATGTTCCTGCAGGTCCTACCATGCCAGGAAGGTTGTTAGGATAACGATTAGACTAAAAGCAGCTACCTACATTGTGTAAGAATCTTTCTTGCACTATGCTGGGGGTATATGAGCAAAGACGTACTGCTTGGGAATAGGTGTGTAACAGCAGTGAGGTGTTTTACTCAGACGAACAGCATGTCAGCTATGCTATATCTCCATTCTGGAGAGAGGGGATTAGAAAAGTTCGACCCCGAAAATTGTACATCCCAACTTACCCTACGGAGGTCCGTAACCGGCGGTAAGCTTACTAATACGGAACCAAACCAAAACACCAAATTATGCGGGCTGTGTGTGACCGGTCTCAAGCAGTTGTCCACTGGGCTCTGAGGTCACGCAACACTAACCCTATCTCTGTTTCAGGTACCCAAAGAATCCATAAACTTCCACGGTGTAGGCAATCGGGAAGTAAAAACCGCCCACATACTTCTGAAAGCACACGAAGCCTTGCTGAGCATCATTCTCCTCTCTTTCAACTTCCTATAACTCTTGTATTTCTTTAGAAACGTTAAGCTGTTTCATATTTTCCTTCGTTTCTTAGTGCATCTTGATTACAGTTCATTTATCAAATTATTCATCTCACTACATAAATCTAATACACCTAGCTATTCAACTCGTCGTATGCACGGACTAATAATAACAACTGTAATTGTGACAATTCATCAATTTTATTTTTCCTCTCTTTCATGAAAAAATGTATATATAAATGTGATTGCACAGTTAAAGAGGAGAAATGAATTCGTGGAAAGGAGCCTATTCATTGAACTATTTGTCATGTTTTCATTAATTTTTGGATGGGAATGATACGATATATATTGCTTGTCTTGGCTTTAAATATTCTATACTAAGGTAATAAATTTGATGACGCATCGGTCGTTTAACCTAAAGTATTCGAAATCAGTTTGAAGGTTCCACTAAGTTGTATGTGGATAGCCAGTTTCTGAATGAAACACAAGTTATTATTCTTTAACACAAATCCAGACACTGTGTTATAACTGTAGGGAATTGAATGAAGACGTTTTCACCTTGCTCTGTCTGCGCCTGAACTAATCTGCCTATCTGCTTGTCGTACCTTCCGATTTAGTAAAGCACGCAAATATCAAAAGACAAAGGCTGGACTGTGACTGTGTATTGAAGTGCAACAACGACAAAGAAAGCCATGGTATTTATACATTTTACAACAATATGGACAGCTAACAGCATTTGAAATAATTGATCTTAATAGCCAATAACAAAGTGCGTGAGAGATGATAATATACCATATGTGCGAGATTGACAGTCAATAACAAAATGTGTGGGAATGATAATATACCATATATACAAGATTAACAGTCAATACCAAAATGTGTGAGAATGATAATATACCATATATGCAAGATTAACAGTCAATACCAAAATATGTGGGATCCTATCACCTCTCCCCGTAAAGAGTGTAGGACTTGCTTTTTGGATCTATTTGAAAAGGTTTCGGAGCTCTTCTTTGTCGAGTTGACCTTTGCGTGGTACTGGATAGAGCGTGATCTGTGTGTCTGACACATAACTGTCCTTTTTCATTCGTACGATAATGCAGCAAGAATTTATCCAAAATTTCTTCTGTTGTTCCCTCCCCCTTCGCTTTTGCATAAGCACGCTTAAAGGTGTCGACGAAACGTTCAGTCTGTCCATTCGATTGGGGATGATACGGGGGGCTACGAATATGCTGGATGCCAAACAGTTTGCAGCAACCAAGTTTGTCCTGGAAGACAGAAGCGTGCTTTTGACGACGGCGTTGCAAGAGAGATTGATCAGATACATCTCCGGGAACAACGTTGTGTGGTGAAGACGAAACATTAGAGCATACTGAATTTAATGGTACATTAAAGATATGGAGCTTGTCTAACCAGTCAAGACCAAGCAAATCCAAATCATGGTAGTTTGTAACGTAACATACACCATTGAAGTGATGCTCACCAAACTGAACCTGGCAATTTATCTCACCCACGAGTTTCAGTATATCTCCAGAGACATTCTTGGCGACATGCTCGGTCGGCAGAATCTGTGGGCAACCAAGTTTGCGCCACGTAGTTCGGGAAATTACGGTGATATCTGATGCCGTATCCAACTGAAGACGAATACGTTTGCCGTTAATATCTAGTGTTATGTACTTACGTTTGCTGGCGAACTCGACTTTGGAAGTAGTGAAAACGGTCTGTACTCGAGGAGATTGTTTCGGCTTGAAACGACTACTTCTGTTCCTCACCGAAGAATTTTTCTGCGGTGTACAGTAACCCTCCTTATGTCCAAAACGGTGACAATTACGGCATTTATGTTTCTTGAAAGGACAGAACTTGACAAAATGCCACGAACCACAGTGCCAGCACACTGAAGGAGGTTTAGCTGAATTTTGAGACTGACGTTCTGTGTGCTTAACGGTGATCGGAGGACTTTTCACTGTGTTAATCGAACCAAATTCAGACGACTGTCGTTTGCACTCCACCATAGCAGTATCGTGCTTCAAGTTGATTAAACGTAGGCATTCTGCTGTCACCATTTGTAAAGTCATTTTCGGGTCTTGTTCCACGAGTGACAGAAGTCGAGTTCGTATGTCAGTATCTTCTGGGTTCTTCAACCCACAAATAAAAATCAAACACTTGAACTGATCTGATGTCATTTCGTGTGGTTTGAACCTTTCACATTCCTTGTTCACTTTGCCAGCGTAAGTGACATAATCATCGGAAGGCATTTTTGTCAACTGAAAACATTGATACCGAATATTAAACATGGATGACTGTTCACCAAAGATTTGTGATAAAACGGTGACTGTCTCATCGAATGATAACTCACGTGGGTTCTTAGGCAGAATGAAGTTAACATATCTGTTGTGCTCAACAGTACCAAGTTTTCTTAGTAACAATCGGACTTTGGCAGCATCATCAAACATGTAGCATTCAATACGGAAAACGTCTTCGTAACGATTGAACCATGCATCAAATACGAGACCAGATATTGGGTCGTAGTTGAACTCACTGATGGAATTTGAGATGCTTTCATATTTGTCAGAATGAGATGTTGATGGAACTTGAATGGACAGCTTCTGAGTGAGAGCTTCGATTAATTTTAGTTGAGCTGCTTCATTCTGAACTTGCTGCTGCTGCAAGATAGATTTGAGATCGTCCAGAGAGATAGACATTGTAATTGGGTTGTAATTAACACAGTCAAAAATGTTATATAGCTGCGCTGAACAGAATAAAAACTGTCGTCGTTTGCTTGCTATAACTGCAATGAATTAAGGTAAAACCCCGTCGCCAATTTGTTATAACTGTAGGGAATTGAATGAAGACGTTTTCACCTTGCTCTGTCTGCGCCTGAACTAATCTGCCTATCTGCTTGTCGTACCTTCCGATTTAGTAAAGCACGCAAATATCAAAAGACAAAGGCTGGACTGTGACTGTGTATTGAAGTGCAACAACGACAAAGAAAGCCATGGTATTTATACATTTTACAACAATATGGACAGCTAACAGCATTTGAAATAATTGATCTTAATAGCCAATAACAAAGTGCGTGAGAGATGATAATATACCATATATGCAAGATTAACAGTCAATACCAAAATATGTGGGATCCTATCACACTGTCCATTGCTTGAGCTGCAAATATTTAAAAGTGTTTCAGGTGTTACAAAAGGATATCCAAAACTCGGATTATTACATCTTCACAAATCTAAAACATTAATTTTGTTCGCAAGTGTTTCTGAATACAGATAATACCGATTACCTGAGAAGATGCTATCATATGTTATATATATATATATATATATATATATATATATATTGTCGAAAGATGCTCAGCTCAAGACAACTGTGTTGGCTATCACAAGGTTCGACCATAAAAATCGAATCTGTCTGTTCTGCATTGTTTGTTACAAAGATCTATAAAAATTCTAAACTTTTTCAAATGCTGTTTCCATGTGTAATGCTCCAATAAATATTAAGCACTGCCGGTAAAAGTTATTCTGTGTTAAATTTTTACACTATAATGTAAAAGGAACTGCACTGCATGAAAGTATATACCTATGTAGTTTTATGATGAACCTAAATTTGATATATGTCGTCAGTACCTAGTATATATATATATATGTTTTCCGTGGAACATAGGGCTTAAATGACACATCTCTACTTTCTTCTTTTTTCTGTTCTCCTCTTCAGCTGGTTAGCCACGCGATTGCTCATAATCTGTCATCTCCTCCGCGCCACACGACCCCCTCTATATCACCCTTGCACAGGCGATTCATTCATCGCTTCACATTTGGGTTCCATTCGACAGCCTCCTCAACGTATATCCAATCCATCTACGATTTCTCCTGCATACTTTTTGAGCAATCTGCTCTCGCCTGTTGGTTTGTTCCCAGCCACCCAGAGTTTCTTGTTATTAATTCTTTCTGACCGACTGACAGGCCATTTGATCTTCAGTATGGAGACAGAGAAGTGTGCAACTGTTGATGAAAGTCTGCAACCTGGTTAAAATCCTCTTTGTGACACGCAGGGCAAGTTTCTGAGCCGTGTAGAAGAACCAACTTCACATTGGTGTTGAAAATCCGAAAAGTGTTCTTTATGTCGATTTAGTGCAGAAGATTTCCAAACTGGTTTCAGGTTGATGAAAGCGTATTTTGCTTTTCCGATTCTAACTGGTTTCGACGTCTTCATCCGTTTCGCCTGTGGCTGAAACGATGCTCCCTGGCCCGATAAGTGAAGGAGGCAACCTCTGTTAAATCTCTCCCGTTTATGGTAATCAGTATTGGTTGTTGTTGCTAATGCTGCTGTTGGTTGATTACCTTCATTACCTCCGTCTTCTCTATGTTCACGTGCAGTCCTGTCTTCTCTACCGGCCTCTTCTGAAAGTTGGATGGTTTTCGCCTGCAGGTCTTTAATTTTGTGTGACATTAAACATCTATCATCTGTGAAATCCAAATCTTCTAGAGTCACCTTACTGGTGATCCAGAGTATACCTGTCTCCTCGCTGCCAGCGCACAGTCTGACGCATAATCCAGTCCACTATAACCAAGAATATCATCGGTGAAAATACGCAGGCAGTCTTGTCTTACTCCTGTATTCACTTCAAAGGCTTTACTGAGTTTTCCGTTGTGGATCACTTAACACGTGCCACTGTCTTGTAGCTGTTGAATGAGGTTGGTAGAATCTTGGGCACTGCACTCCGTAATGCTGAAGCAGTTTTCAAATTACTTCTCGGTCAATGCCGTCTGTCGAAGGCCTTTTCGAAGTTGATGGAGTTGAGATAAAATAAGGTTTGACTGCCATTCTATCCTTTGTTCGATGACGGTGAGTAGAGTTGTAATTTGGTTAGAACAAATATGATTTTCCTTTCCTGAATCCAGCTTTTTCTGCGCTTTGGATCGGAGTTCTGCATCTAGTGCACCTTTTATTCTCTCCAGGATTACTCGACTTAGTATTTTACTCGGCGCGGACAAGAGCATCATTGAAAGCCAACCAGTTCCTGAAGAGGCGTGGGTCGCCTTTCTTTGGTAGCTTGACAAGGTAGCCTCTCTTCCAATCGGTAGGTACCTTTCCTTCTTCCCAAATCTTTTGCAATAATGGCGTAAGAACATCTGTCGCAGTCTCTTGAGCCGTTTTTATCCCATTAATGTATGTATGCATAACGTTATAATCTCGAGTCTCGAGTTGTTATTCAAGATTGACCATGATGGTTGATAAGCTCAAACTTCACATAGTATTAGTATAAATTACATTACTGCAATGTTTTTACCAAAAGCACATAATTATTCAACAATAATTTAATCTTTCCTTACATCGCTTCAGTAAATCAAACTGAAATGTTCGTCTAGAAATCTTTCAAGCTTGTTTAGTTCAAATGTCATAAAGAACCTTTAAAATCAAAATATCCAAAGAATAAGCACCATTCTCTTCATTCATCTGCCGACCGAATGGAACACAGAAATTTAGACTTTGAAGTTTCAGCAGCCAAGTTGTTTTTTACAGGATGGGATTGCTAGCCTCACAACTAACCTTTCTTCTTTTCCAGGATTAATACCAGCTAATAAACCAGATCGGGTTTATAAGTGAGTCAACTAGGAGTCGAACCCAGACCTTCACGTGGCTGTTGCGCACTCTACCATTCAACTACTGACACCTTTTTAAAGTGCATTAAACTGACACTTGCTTATTACCTTTTCATACATCATATAAAATGCAAGTATTGGTTTGTAGGGATTTTATTGATTGGTTATACGATTTAATCGTGAGCTGACATTGGTTAGACAACTACTGAGAAACCTACAGAGAGTACTGGATAGCCGTTTAATCCTAGTGTGAGACTCTTTATGAGTGCGCACCCATCGCCAGGGAGTTCCAATCCAGGACCTTTTGGTTACAAGGCTAGCGAGCTCGTGGACCATTTAGCCACTTGGAACAGACTAATTTCCTAAGCGTGCCATTTGTACAGAGACTCTCTTTCTTGGTTAATTAACGAAATCATAACATAAATAATAATAGTAATCTTCATAATTCAATTGGGCCACATAATCACCACTTACCTGTTTGATAAACGACTTAGTAATATAGTGATTGTCAAATGTCTCTTTATTTAGCCAAGAATTTCTAAATATAGCAGCTTTAACAATTAACTGTATCATAGTGAACAAAGACCATGCAAGTAGTATCCATGTTGTGATTTCTTTCGCGTGTTCAATTTTTCGTATAAAACCAGCTGACTGAGCCCTCAATAATTCAGCTATTATATCATCCATTTCATTGGTTACTTCAATGTAGTCATCAAAATTATCCAACAGTGTTAAATTCTCTTTTCCAATTATATTTATAATTTTATTCATTTTCTCAGTAAGATTATTTTTCGAGGCAAATTTTATCCTACTTTCAATAGTCTCCACATAACTATCACATGAACCAATCATTGATGGTGTTTTAGTGCATAGATCTATGGAAACAAACTTCAAGTGATGACACAACCCACTGAATGTGGTCAATTCATCAACACACAGTAAATAGGCTTTATTCAAAAATCGTGTACACAGATTACGTAGAACATCAGTATTCCCACAGGATTGACGTATAGACTCAATCCAACCGGCATTCTTCTCCATGGTTACAATCAACTGTAGAACAGATGAATGAATAGTTGACAGAGCTGTTCGCAGACTATGCAGCATAGAATTCAATTCACTGATGAAACTTTCAATGGATACCTTTAACACACTGAATGGTGAATTATTGAATGTTTTTAAAATCATTAAATTTGTACTTATCTGTGAAATGATACATGCAAGTGAATTACGAAATGTTTCAAAATTATAGAGAAAATTTAAACCTGGTCCACCAATGCATAAACTTGTCGCATACATCAGCAGTAACCAACGTATACGACTTGTTGTTAAATAGGGAAAAAACAGTAGAGCGATACACCGAAAATCAGATGAAAAAGCTAAAGCAAATATTGAAAACATCATAGCATAGGCACTGAGCAGGGTTGATGCATGCGGACTGTGAGCTAACAAAGTGACAAATACAGCGTAAACAATGAATCCTATCAGGATACCGAATAATAATCCAATTATATTATCATAGATTATTTGTATCATTCCATGGCTTTTATATGGTAATTTACGCTGATCAGATTTTGGCTCACCTTTTCTGGTGGTACCTGTCCCCCATAAATTTGGGCATAATTTACTTAGACAATGAAATGGTAGGCATAAAAATGAAGGTTTTTCTAAATTATTCAATAATTCTTCAAATCTTTCTCTATCTACTTCATCAATCTCTTCTCTTTCATCATCATCCTCATCATCACCATCGTCATTATCAACAACATCTGGAAAATTAACACGGTTAGTATTTAGTTTAACATTGACATTGCTAACATTCTGATTATAAAGTAATCCTGTTTGTGAATAACTCGTCATGACAGACGTATTCTCATCTTCATAGTGTCTATTCAGCATATTTAAGAATTCCTCACACACCACTTCATAGTTATATTCTAAGTTATTTTCAGAGGATGTTAAGTTATCCTGCATGATTAGCATATTACACTCCGACTGTTCGCCTTTTCATAAAACCATTAAGACTTAAAGATATCCATTATGTGTGTCATTTGTCATTTTCAGAATTACTTAATAGGATATAGGAAAAAGAGAATACTGTAGCACCATGTGCATGCGCTTTTTAAAAAAACGTAGATTCGATCAAATTATCTCGTCTGATTAAGTACAAGAAGTCACGTGATTACATAAATCAGCAGCAAGTCATTTGTCTTAGGTTAACTTATTATTTATTATTATTTATTTTATTCCTTTACGTTCCTAGTGGAACATAAGGCTTCAAGCTAGAGGCTCGAAGCTTCCGTAACAGTGGTATTTATTTTTACAGGATGAAGTTGCTAACCTCATGCCCAACCTCCCCTCTTTACCAGTCTTATTACAGGCTTAACGAGGTAAAAGAGTGAGTCGGTGGCCGGGGATCGAACCCCAGGCCATGTGAGGCGTGGTTGGCGAACATTCTACTGCTATGCCAACGACGCACCCACTTTTTCTCATTAGACATTATTATTGCCGGTATGTTGGCGATTGCTATCAGTAAGCTTCAGAATTCCTCAATTCATTTAAATTTCTTATACTATAAGGTTTATTCCTCTTATAGGTTAGTCACACAGCACACTATTACACTAATTTCTTCAAATATTTATTTAAAATGTAAACTTATGTCTTGTCAACAGAATAAATAGAAAAGGAGGTACTGTTGTATATAAACGAGATTGTTTGCTCCTAAAATTCTATAGCCAAACATTTAACAGCATATCAAGCTACATTAATAAATCGTGGATACTGAGATTAGGAGTTATCAGAAACTCTTACAAGATTTCAAAAGCCAGGATACCTACTAGAGGTGCCAAGATACCTTGGGCTACATCGATTTAATGGTGACAGAAGTATTCAGCTAGGAGTATTAGTGGAATAAAAAAACTATCCTTTATTTCCCATACTTTCAACGGTATCTGTCTGCCGAAAGAGACGAAAATTGCGTCACCAGAGGAAATCTTAAAAGAACAGGTTACATATTTTTTATTATTTCTGTGTTGGAAGTATTTTATATCTTTCTACTCCAAACATTAGAAAATTTATTGAGTATAAAGACTTCTGACAAAAGTGAAACTCTAATAGGAGTTATTAAGAAGGCAGTTGCAGCAAAGAAAATTTTCTTTTCGACGAAGTCATCATCTAGGCTGTACATTCGTGTATTTATATCAAATGGATGGGAAAGTTCCAGAGTAATTTCCGGTTAATGGTCAAATTAATAAAAATTAAAATTAGGAATTAAAATGCCATAATAAACAGGGGGATGGATAAAACTCAAACAAAATAGCATCATAATTACTAAGAAGATTGACATTGTGCAATCAGGGGTTAGAAATGTAGAAATAACAAAATGGACAGGATGTTTAGATAAAAAACTAATGTGATGAATAATTGTTTATACAATCAGGGATTAAATATGTAGGAATAGTAAAATGATAAAATAAACACGAAGTTAGGGTATGAAAATATGGTAGTGTAAACAGGGACTAAGAAAAACTTAAAATAACATGATATAAACAGGAAGTTTAGATAAGAAAGACGATAGGATGGTCATTACTAGAAGAATTACCTGTTTATGATGGTCATGGCAGGGACAGGGGTTGGACGTATTTCTTTTGGATACAAAGCGTGGGTTTGAGCTTTTGGATAGCTAGCACCTCGGCTATGCCCAGATGTCTTGATTTCACTCCCTTTGATAGGTTTGGTTGAATCTTTTATATTACTTTGAAGGATTTTTCGTAACTCTAATAACTGTACAGGAAGTATAGCAGTAGCTTTCAAGATAGCTTTTATAAGACTAGTTCAAGTAGTCTAAAACTGTCTACCACTGAACCCCATTTGAACGCAAATATCTCGAGTGTGACCAAAGTTGTTATTATTATTACATCTTTAACTCCCAGTGGAATATAGAGCTTCGACAGCACACCTCCATTTCGGCCTGTTATCTGCAGTCCTCTTCAGCTAACCTGACGACTACCCATAAGCTCTCTTCTTTTCCTCACACGACCTCCTCCATGTCACACTCACGCTCAACCCACTGTTTTCCGCTCCTATTCTACAGATTGCCAGCGGCAGGTTATCACCAAACGGTGTTCTTAAAGTGTGCCATACCCATCTGCACTTTCTTCGACATATTTCTGGGGCAACAGGTTCTTGATTGGTTCGTTCCCAGGATCTCCTGTCGTTGATTCTTTCTGGTCAGGTATTTGATCTCCAGAATGAAGCCAGAGAAGGTAGTTGCTGATAAAAGTCTTCAGTAGATTGTTGGAAACGCTGTTCTTGACATGCCGTGTTTCTGAACCACACAGAGAAACTGATTTACTTGTTATTGATACTGAAAATCCGAATTTTGTTGTTTATGTTGAAGGCAGGAGATTTTCACAGTGATTTCAGTCTTACATTTCCTATTCTAGTTTTGACACCATCATCCTTACGACCTGTATTTGAAACAATACCGTATAAGTGAAGGAAATGATCACTTTGAAATTTCTCCCGTTAACAGTGTTTGTAGTTTTGAAATAATAGAGAAGATTTGTAGCTCAAGTGGATGATTTGCAATTAATAGTGTTCTCTGAGCTGGTTGGTTTAGTTGCAGAGCTAAATATTTTGCGCTGAAGATTTTGCCCAGAAGGACGATGAAAACACCGCAACTAAACCAACCAGATCAGAGAACACCATTAAGTGCAAGTGCTTGTGGTTGTTTGTTAGTTATCTTCATCACTTCCTCATTCTCTGTGCCCACTTGAAGTCCTATTGTGGTGAGAGCAGGCCGTGAGAAAATATGAGCAAGGCTGATTCAACAACCAATCACAGAAAAGTTAACGTGGCAAAATATGATTCGCAGATAGAGAACTCTATTTGTCGAGGAATCCCAAAACAACCAATCAGAAGCCTGCGTTTGTCTGCCTAACTTCTGATAAACAACCAATCAGATAACTGCTCTTGTCTACTTGCATAAGCTATAATAATGTATGTGAAATATGCATAAATACGTGTTGATTTTCATAATAAAACGATCTGTTGCTTCGCCCTTGTCTTCTGTTGTTACACTATCTTTGCTGCTTCTTCTTCTGTCATTTTGTTGATTTTCACCTATAAGAATTCGAATGAATATGACATTAGACATATGTCATCCACGAAATTCAGATCTTTAAGAGTTTTCTTATCGGTCTAGTGTATTCCTGTCTCCGCACTTCCACCCCCACCCCCACCCCCGACGCACGGCCTACAGTATAATCCAGTCCAACACAATTAGAAATATCGTCTGTGATAGCAGGCAGCTTTTTCTTCCTCATGTCTTCACTTCAAAGCTGCGAATGATATATTTAAACTGAAACAAGTTGAATCAGTAGATCCCAGAAGGATGGCAGTGATAAATTATTTCGTATATTTACTAATCTGAAAGATTTTCATTAACCCGGCATACATAACTTATCATCCCAGTTTAGGAAAAGGGGAACAAGTCTTCTTCTGATATATATATATACGGGCGGATCACTTTGGTTATTCAAAGTTCTAAAATCCTAAGTAGATCACGATAAAAAAAAGCAGACAAATTTTAGGTTTTTTATCGCATCTTCAATACCTTTTTTAGCCACATTTCTTGATAACACCCCCATTAATATCTGACTGCGAAGAGAATGTCAATAAACAATGTCACGTTTTCCAAGACAATCTAATATAAATCATGTATCCATGTGAAAGTTTATGGATAGTTATCCCCACAAGTGATAACACCAGAAAATGTTCATTTAGAATGCATGACGTCAACAACAAAACTGAATTTTCATAAAGGCACACTCTTGGATATGATATTGTTTGAATACTTCTTTCCGCAAACGGACTCAGTATCAGGAAAATTACACAAAGAATGAGGTGACTGACAAAAGTCAGAATCTTCCAAACTCCTTGATTAGACGTTTACATAATTTTGACATGTTTCTTTTCAACAGCCAAAAGTACTGTATCGCTACAAGATGGTTGTGTTACACTGGTTTCATTGTTTGTAGACAATAGTCTTATGGAAAGATCTTCTTAATTTACAATAAACCAATGAAACTGAGAATCAGCTATTTCCTAAGCAGCTAAATGAAAATCTCGATTATATTTTCAATACATATACGATATCAGTCTATAGAGTAAGTTATTTTCTAGTACAGTCGTTGTTTATAGGCTCGGTATCAAATGAATATTCAAGTCTTAACAAAAATCAGTTACTTCTCAAAGGACCATTATTCAAAATAAGGTTAACTAGTCACTAGTGTGTGTGTGGAGAGGACCCTTTAGGGACAGCTAGAAACTGGATTCTAGGACAGTGATAGAGCTGTGACACAGACAATGACAGAAAGCATGGTACCAAACCTGCATTGTAATCTTTTTCAATTAAAGATGAAACAGTCGTTTAGTGTTCTCTAGTCTTTAGAGTTTCCCTGAATAATATCACTATGCAATGTTGCAATTCCGGGAAAAATCCTGACTGTTAGTTGTCCTTTAGTCCACACTGTCACTGGATTTTTCTCCTTCCTTAACAGTAAGATGATGTTATCTCTATATACTATAAAGAAAACTACAATTGCATGCAGTAAGCAGCGGACAACTTTCTAGTCAACCTCTGTGAGACTTGTTTGATGGAGGATGGTACCAGTCAGGTGAAATTATGTATCAGATCTAGGAAGTGAGGTCAGAACTTGGCTTATCGACACTTAGCTATCTAGCGATCACAAAATCAAGAAAATATTAGCTTTTGTGGAATAAGTTGATTCATGCTATTCTGTATGAAATATTCCGAGTTAATTGAATGTAAAAACAAAGATAAATACAGATAATTACGACAAACGGTTAAGGTTATGCGTTTTGGAAGTGTCTGGACTAATTTCTGTGTAGACTGCGTCATGAACCAACACCATCTAGAGGGTCATTGAAAACCAAGGAGTACTGGGTGGCTGTCTAGTCCCAGTTTGTGGCCACCAGAAGTCAAACCCAGGACCTTCAAGCTACGAGGTCAGCCCTTTGACCAGTCAGCTGATTGGGCTGAAATTCATTGACCTGTAAGTTCTAACTCTGTCAGTTCATGATATAGTGCTACCGCCAACCACTGACATAAATAAGCATCCATTTCACTCTGATATGATGAATCCCACTGGAAGCAACTTCTGCCCCATCCAGCACCCGCCAATGAGCTAGCTATTGAAATCTAAATTTTGGGTTTTGTAGGAATTCAAATTAATTTCAATGAAGATTTCGTTATGAACCAAAATATCTTGGAGATACACTGAAAACCAAAAAGCGCCACAATGCAAATAGTGCCCAAATTTCCAGGCCAATCGGTTGACTGGTCAATGAACTAATCTCATAACCTGAAAGTTCCAGATCCTAGGTTGAGGGTGCTCTACTGAATAACCACAAACGAGGACTAGGCAACTTCCAACCGCTCTTTAAATTTTTATGACACTATAAAAGATGTTGTTTCGTGATAACATCTACATTGAAAATGAATAGTAAAGTTAGAACCTGCAATACATGCACATCAACTAATAGAAAGCAGTCAGTCTTGTAAAAGTTATGGAGACAAGAGAGAAATGATAATTACTAGAGAGATTTTTGGAACGAAAACCATAAATTAAGGACTGGGAAAGTGGAAAATCACTTAACTATTCAGTTAAATAACGATAAAATATGCTGGCACTAATAATGACTAACGGACTATTTGAAACCAGTCACGCCTTGCCTGTGTGAACGCGACGGAATGTATGGAATTTCGTTTGTAAGAAAAAAACAGAACAGTGTGCTACATAGCATCGTATATTAAGTGGAGTCTTAGGGGTCTTTTGCAGTCCTTCCATATTCTCATTCGGAAGGTGACATACCTAACTTTCTGATCGTCTGAGAGGAACACTTTACTGATACCATACCCTTTCCGTTCAGCCTTACAACTGCGTCCTTATACCCATTCCATAAGATAAGCTGCATACACTATTATGGTGACTACCTTTAGTCTCACCATCATTCAGGCAATTTTTCTGGCACAGTAATACCTATGTAGAAATTACCTCTAATCAAAATAGATCATTAAACCACTGAGATATGCTAGGCTAGTTAGCATATAAAGATGGCGGTTATCAGTCTTGGATGCCTAGCATTTTGACTTGACTATGAAAGGCAGCTTTTATTCAGAATGACATCTGGTAAATCATGTCTTACTATGGAACATTTCTAGAACAGTCAAATGTACATGAAGCGATAAACTAAAACGAAGCTTTAATCCTAGTCTTATTTTATTTCCGCAACTGTGTAAAGAAATACAACGTAATTTATTCCACGTAATCTCATCATAATGCAAGTTCTTATTGTAGTGGCATCATTTCGATGGTAACAAGCTAGTAACTTTTCACTACCATTCATATCCGACATTTCATTTCTGTTGCTTTCATTTACAGTACTCAAGATAATAACAGACAACAATCGGCATAAATGGGAGGAACCTGAAAGAAACAACCTCTTTTACCAACCTACCTGGGAAGCATCGTTTTCAACTACAGGCGGACGGAACTGACGAGGATATCAAAGCCAGATTCGGAAAAGCAAGACAAGCTTTCATTACTCTTAAGTTTGTGTGGAGGTCAACAGCACTCAGCATCAAAAATAAGATCCGGATTTTCAACTCCAATGTGAAGTCAGTCAGTGCTACTCACTATACGGATCAGAGACTTGGCACGTCATAAAGAGCACCTCAAACAAACTGCAAACCTTCATCAACAGCTGTCTTCGCTCAATACTACTCAAGATCAGATGGCCGGCCAGAAAAGTTCAGCAACAGCGATCTCCGGGAGCAAACCAACCCATCAGGAACCGACTGTGCAACAAATAAGCAGGAAGAAATGGAGAAGAATTGACCATACTCTGAGGAAACCAGCAAGTGACATCACACGCCAGGCCATCGCTCGAGTTGAACCCGAAAGGGAATAGGCGAGTCGGTCGTCCAAGGATGACTTGGAGGAGGTCATGTGAAAAGGAGATGAAAGCGTGGGGGCAGACTCAGAGCCAGGTGAAAACTTTGGCAGAGAACAGAACGCAATGGAGTCATGCAACTGGAGCCCTATGTTACTGTAGGAATTAAAGGAAACAATAATAATAAGATAATATTTTTATGTAAACTTTTCAACCCGCAAAATTAGCTGGAGCTGTAATACTTCATCAACATCAGTTTAAATCCTCAGACATCGTCGAAGCGTCCGTACTAGAAGCTGACATGTCAGTAGAAGCTGTAAGTTTCTTTTTTAATGATAATTATTATTTCTTTATTCTGAACAGTGTTTAAATAATGTACAGAATCTCCAGCAGAAAATTATTGCGTAATATTTCCTCTGTGTCTAGGATCTTCAGGTAAAATAGTCACTGGCATAAGTCACATGATACACTGATATCCTGCCTGAGGCCAATAACCAATCCCTTACGATATTTCTTCTCCCATCCGAAAATTCGCAACATTTAGTTGAAATTCAGTTAACAAAAATGGTGTAGGAGTACATTTTTTGAGCAGCAGTTTGTAATAAAAATCTTATGAACTGGTTATCTCATGTACTGTGTCCACTGCCACCCATGATCTTGCTTTTTCTCAAGTTTAGCGCAAACTTCCGAATCAGCAGGCTGTAGATATTTTCAAATACTCACGACAATGGAAAACACTATTGTAAGTCATATTTTAATAGATTAAAATAAAAAATGAACGAGAGAAATTGTATGCAATATAGTGACGAAGTATTTTTGCTAGCTCAGATTTTAAACAGGCTGCCTCATCAATCAATCAATCAAGCAACAGGAAAAACAAAAACTGACTTAAACAAAATAATAATATATCCTCACTCCACACAAAGCAGCTTGCGTGATCCTAGTGGTACAGTGGATAATACTTTGACGTTTGAAAAGAATGGTACTGGGCTCGAGCCCCAGGGGAGACACTCTCAGTCAGACAGACACATCTAGGGAACGAGTCCCAAGTAGGACGAAATGCACATCCTGGATTCCATTGTTAGCCACTATAGAGAAAATAGCTGTGATACCTGTGTATACAAAATCTTGCGATTATTATTATTGTTCCCTTGGGTTCCTAGTGGAACATAGGGCTTCAACTACACGTCTCCACTTGCTTCTGTCTTCTGTTGTGCTTTCCACCTGCATCCACGTTAGTCCATACTGTTTCAACTCCTCTTCACACGATCTCCTCCATGTCACCCTTGCACTGACGTCCCACTCGCCGCTTCCCTCTCTTTCGGATTCCACTCGAGCAATGGCCTGACGAGCAATGTCATCAACCGGCCTCCTCAACGAGTGTCCAATCCATGTCCACTTTCTCCTGCAAATTTGTTGGGCGATTGGTTCTTCATTAGATATACTACACAGTGAAACAGTATTATTTACTGGATGGCAGAGTTTCAAACACAATTTACTGTTCATAATCATGTCAATTGTGTTCGAAACTCTGTCATCCAGTAGTTAATACTGTTTCACTGTGTGATATATCTAATAAAAAAACTAATATGGACTGGTTCTTCTTTTCTTTTTTCCCGTAGTTTCTTGTTGGTGATTCCTTCCGCCCGGCCATCTGATCTTCAGTACAGAGCCAGCGAAGACAGTTGTTGATGAAGGTCTGCAACAGGCTGTTGGAAATATTCTTCGTGACCCACCCGCCAAGTTTCTGATCCGTATAGAAGAACTAACTGACTTGACGTTTGTATTGAAAATCTGACCGAATTTTGTTGTTGATACTAGCTGAGTGACGAAGACTTCCAGATTGGTTTGAGGTTGATGAATGTGTTTCTCACTCGCCTTCCCGATTCTCGCTCAATTTGATATCCTCGTCTGTTCCGACTTCCTGTAGTTGAGACGATTCTTCCTAGGTAAGTGAATGAATGAAGTAACCTCTTTCAAATCCCTCCCGTTGATGGTGATTGGTGCTGGATGTTTCTGCTGTAGTTGTTGTTAGTTGGTTATTTTCATAACCTCCGTCTTGTCTATGTTCACCTGGAGTCCTGTCTTCGCCGGCGGCTTCTTTGACCAGTTTGTCGGTTTTCGCTTGTAAGTCTTCAGTTTTGTGTGACATCAAACATAAATCATCCACACGCGAAATCCAGGTCTTCTAGATTCTTCACGTCGGTCCAGGATATCCCTGTCCGTTTCTCGTTTCTCACTCATTGTCTGACTCATAATCCAGTCAGTCCACCACAATTAGGACTATCATTGGTGATAGATAATAGGCACCCTTGTCTGACTCCTGTGTTTACTGGAAACGCCTCGATGAGTTTTCCGTTATGGATCTTGTGATAGGAGAAAATAACTGTTAAAAGCGTTAAAATAGAATCCTTCAAACGCCTTATATCCTTCAATTACATTTAATAAGTCATTCGGTTGTAATATTAACTGTATTTAAAAGTAAACAAACAGCATATCAGTTTATAAAATATAAACAAAGATATTAAACAAACATTTCACATGTCCGGACGAGTCACAGAAATTCTACTTTGCCTAACTTCGGATTTATCTGATGATATTGTTGTCGCCTGTTCAGATAATCGTAAATATCGTGTATTGATCGTTTCAGCTTCTTCATCGGTTGAATACTCTTCAAAATCAACTTCAACAGCCATTGAAAATAACGGTGAACGGCATAGCATACACATATGATTTAAGATGACTTGACATGCACGACAATAATACGCCCCACAGTCATCACAGCGTGTAAATTTTCCTCGAATTCACTCCTTTTCGATGGATTACCATCACTACCACAAAATACACACATTATACGTTGTATACCAAGCAATCGAAGTAAATTTGCTATCCGCCGATGACGACTTAAATATCTGCCAAGATATGATATATTCTGTGCTCTACGATTTCGTTTGATATCCAGCGTTTTAAATTTGTGTATAATACGATGATAAAGACCACGATTATTTTTTATGTGTGTACGAAGCCATGCTGCACGATGTACAGCTTTCTTTGGATAATACCATATCATGATACTGTGACGCAATCGCATAATGTATACCTATAAAATGGGTTAATAATGCAAAAACAAAACATTAATGTTATATTTTTATATAATATGCATTTAGTTTTGTCACTAGTAATGCTACTTAAGTAAGTGTATAGCCTCATAACAAAGTGTGATTAGATGACACATCGGGTCAGAGGCGGATTCATTGATGCATAATTCTTGCTCAAGTGCTAAATGATGATTGTATAAGTCTACTTTATGAAGGCAAAGTTCGGTTAAATGGTGTAAACTCCAAGAATTATTAGCTAGGAGTTTCACGAATAGCAGATTTAGACTTTTATACGATTTTCAAATGTATAATATAGTAAAAATCAGTATTGTTTGTATTAGATGGTTGGAGCAGTCTGCAGGAAGCCTTGTCTTGGCCCTAGGTTTCATGCTAGTTGGCACTCACTAGTCAGCAAGGCGCATCTGCAACCTCGAAGGAACTCGCGTCACCCATTGCTGCAGTCAGAGACTTTACCACTGAGCTATTCAGGCTCGCAGTTGACCTGCTGTAGGGCTGTATTGGATATTTTTGGTTGGACACTAGCCAGTAACTTGTGACGTGGGTTAGAATCTCAGAGGGCACGTGAGTTCTTGTGAGTGCCAACTATCACGAAACCTAGGTCAGGTCAGGCTTCCTGTCGATTGCCTCCAACCATTTAATACCAACAATTCACAGTGCACCGTGATAGCGATCCACATTGCAAGTTTGACTGATAGAATTCAGTCTGCACCGAAGGTAGAACTAAGCACATTACACTAGTTACTGACTAGTGTCCAATCAGAAATCAGTATTGTTAATATGGTAATCATGCGTATGTCAGTTTCTTACTTTCTCAAGTTTTTTATTCTAACTTTTGTTTCTCCTCATTATTTCAATCTTTTTTTTATTTTTATTTTTTTTATTTTTGATTTACAGCTTGATTCCACACTGTATTTTCGGTACAAGTATGGAATTTTCAGCATGGATATCGGTAGCCCTGATTTTGCAGGCCGACCATAGATATCAGGTGTGCGTCGGTGCGGGCTCGAACCCCGGACCATGTGCATGGTCGGCGAGAGTCCTAACCACTGTGCCACCGACGCACATGTTACTTCCCTTCTAAAAATGGATAACACGAACTGATTAATTATATTTATAGTTTGCACTACTTATAAGTAGTAAAATTTAAAAGTAAACTGCTAGATAAAGACAATTATTCTTCAGTTTCTTTCCGGGTGGGACAATAGATCTTATGACTTGCTTTGTTGTTAATAACATAATTTTGGCCCTTGTTATTTCCGCCTTATACTCTCTTATTTGTACTCTATAGTGAACAACCTTCTTAAACACACTTAGCTACTTAATATTATTATCATTGATTTACTTTTTTGTACTTTACTCTATTCCTTGTTTTGTATATTTACTGGGTCCGACTATATTGTCACTCTGATTATTACAAAATTGTCCTGTCATTAACCATCATGTAATATTAGTTTTGTGATTGTTTTTTTGTTCGGCACTATTTAACTGACAATCTTGTTTGTGAACGCCACTATCACCATCTTAAAAATTTTGTATTATGCATGATTACTCACACTACCACTACAAATACTGCATTAGTGCTGACAATAAAAAAAAAACACAACCTGAAATGTTTGTTTTATGATTGTTTAGTGTTGTTCAATCAAATCAACTGATCATCTTGGCTATAAACATTCTTAAGAACATCTCATAATTTCTTGTATGATTATAGCTGTCACTGTTCACCACGCATACACATACCATAGCTTCCACTACCCAGTACTGAAATATTTTTTCATCATTGGTGTTTATCTTCCTTCCTACTTGGTATTTTTATTTGCATTTTTTCTTTTGTTTTTTTGTTATTTCTGTTTCTTTTTTGGTTTTTTACTGTGTTTTTTTATATTTATTTATTTTTTTTGTAATACTCCTTTTAAATGTATGATGAAATTAAATGCAATATTGTAGATATGTGCTGAAAATTCCACACTGTACCACAAGTACTGTTTCTGGAATAAAGCGAAATTGTTATGTTATGTTATGTTCAAGTTCTGAAGTATTATTAGCGGTAATATTGTTTTCTCACTGGATGGATTCGCTAGTCTGATGGCCAATCTTACCCCACTGTCAGGCTAATAAACCAGATAGGGTATTGAAATGAGTCTGCTAGGAATCGAACTCAGATCATGCGTGTGGATTGATTAGCAGTCTTCCACTGAATCACCGACACACTATGACAGTTTTTTTTTGACATCATTTGATAATTAGTCAACTACTATAACGGTTTGGATCACAATCCCAGTGTTTATTTGGAAATTGGACTATTAAAATTGATTCCGAATGTTGTATAATTAATTCGATATGATTAATTTGGAGGTGGCGCTAAATCACGAATTGGTAGAAGTTAGAAATCATGGGTTGGCCATTGAATCGGGTCTCAGTAGCTGAATGGTATACGAGCCAGCTTGACTTGTAAACGAAAGGTCATAGGTTCAAACCCCAGTGGGTGTGTACTGTCGATGTTTCCCAAACTAGGATGAAACAGCTGTCTGGTAGTACTCCAGTATTATTTATTATTGTATCCTTTAGTTCCTAGAGGAACATAGGGCTTCAGCTGCGCACCTCCATTGACTTCGGTTTTCTGACAACTTTTTCACCCTGCTCCAGGTCTGTCCACATGCTTTCATCTCCTCCTCGCATGACCTCCTCCAAGTCACCCTTGGACGACCAACTCGCCGCCTCCCTTTCGGGTTCCACTCGAGGGCTTGTCTAGTGATGTCACTTGATGGTTTCCTCAGCGTATGGCCAATCCATCTCCATTTCTTTCTGCCTATTTGTTTCACAATCGGTTCCTGATTGGTTCGCTCCCAGAGATCCCTGTTGCTGATCTTTTCTGGCCATCTGATCTTGAGTATTGAGCGGAGACAGTTGTTAATGAAGGTTTGAAGTTTGTTTGAGATGCTCTTTATGACTCGCCAAGTCTCTGATCCGTATAGTAGCACTGACTTCACATTGGAGTTGAAAATCCGGATCTTATTTTTGATGCTGATTGCTGTTGACCTCCACACAGATTTGAGAGTAATGAAAGCTTGTCTTGCTTTTCCGATTCTGGCTTTGATGTCCTCGTCAGTTCCGCCTGTAGTTGAGACGATGCTTCCCAGGTAGGTGAAGGAGGTTGTTTCTTTCAGGTTCTTCCCATTTATGCTTATTGTGGTCTGTTGTGTTGTTGATGTTGGCTAGGAATCTTCATTATCTCTGTTTTATCTATGTTCACGTGAAGTCCTATCTTTGATGCTTCTTCTGCCAACTTGTTACTTTTCACTTGCATATCTTCCAGTTTATGGGAAATCAGACATATATCATCGGCGAAATCCAGATCCTCCAAGTCTTTTGTGTCAGTCCATTTTATGCCTGTTCCCTCGTTGGTTGCCGTTGTCTGTCGCATTATCCAATCAATTGCAATCAGGAAGATCATTGGTGATAGTAGACAGCCTTGCCTCACTCCCGTCCTCACTTCGAAGGCTTCCGTAAGTTTCCCGTTGTGGATTACTTGGCATGCAGCATTGTCGTATAACTGTTGGATGAGGTGTATAATTGTCGATGGGACCCCGTAGTAGCGAAGTAGTTTCCAAATGACCTCTCGATCGACGCTGTCGAAGGCCTTTTCAAAGTCGATGAAGTTGAGATAGAGAGGTGACTGCCATTCCAAGCTTTGTTCAATGATGATCCGTAGAGTGGCGATTTGATCAATACATGATTTGTTTCTCCTGAATCCAGCCTGTTCCGGACGAAGTTTTTCATCTAGGGCTTGTTTGATTCTCTCCAGGATGATGCGACTTAGTATCTTGCTTGGAATGGACAGAAGCATAATTCCACGCCAGTTTTTACATTGACTTAAGTCTCCTTTCTTTGGAAGTTTGAATAAGTAACTGTTCTTCCAATCCTCGGGTACTTTGCCCTCTTTCCACACCTTCTCCAGTAGTGGTGTCATCAAGTCCGCTGTTGTCTCTGGGTCTATTTTCAAAGCCTCTGCTGGGATTCCATCTGGTCCCGGTGTTTTCCCAGCTTTAAGCATCTTGATTGCATTCAGGACTTCTGATTTCGTCGGGGGGTCAGTGTTCACTGGTAGTTCTGCTTCCGTTGTTGGTATTGCTGGACGTGTTGTAGGTGGCGGACGATTTAGAAGTCTTTTGAAGTGTTCAACCCAGTGCTTTCTCTGTTCCACCTCTTTGGTGATTGACTTTCCATTGTCGTCCTTTATTGGCTTAATCTGTGTCGAACGTTTGCCCGAAAGGTTCCTAGTTGTTTGGTAGAGTGTGGCGAGGTCTCCTTTGCCTGCAGCTTGTTCTGCTTCGTTTGCCATGGTTTCATAATATTTTCTTTTGTCTTCCCTGGCACTTTTCTTCACTCTTTTGTTCAGTGTATTGTAGCTTGCATTCAGCTCCTGTTTTTGTTGCTCGTCCGTGCACTGGATAATCTTTTGCTTCACTGTCCTTCTCTCTTCTATTAGTTTCCAAGTGTCCGTAGTGAGCCACTGTTTGTCCTGTCTCTTTTTTCTGCCGCCTTCCAATGGTTCTCTAACTGATATCAATCCGTGATCAACTCGTAAAATAATACTGTATCATTGTGCGCTACGTCAAATATACAAACTGTCTTCGAATGATACTCTTCTGGAGAAATGATATTTGTGTCTTTTATTAATGTTTGAATACAAGTTAGACATTATGACTCACTATCTCTTTTGATGATAGACATTGTCTGAAATAGGATCAGATTGGAAAAAGGCAAGGGTCGATAAAACTAAATGTGAATACCGATTTAGGAAGTTTATGATTGTCCCTACTGACTGTATCAGAAAATACAGACTGTCTAGCGGTTAGAGTATCTTAGTACCACCGACGAGATTCGATTATAACGGGGCAGATTTACGTTTAAAACATTTTCATAAAATTTACTTGTTTTCTTTTACGGGTTGATCACGGATTGATATCAGTTAGAGAACCATTGAAAACCAGGGAGTACTGCACAGCTGCTGTTTCATCCTAGTTTGGGAATCATCGGCAGTACGCACCCACCACCAGGCTTCGAACCCAGGACCTTCCGGGTACAAGTCAAGCTCGTATACCATTCAGCCACTGGGACCCGATTCAATGGCTCGTGAATTCTAACTTCTACTAATTCGTGATTTAGCGCGACCCCAACCATTGTCGTTGGTGGGACATCCATCCACACACGTGACATCTTTTCATAAACATCTTTTCTAGTTGTAATAACGTTAACTTTTACGATTACTTTTGTTTAGCTTTTTAAGGATATCAACTTGGAACAGCTTAGTTCTTTGTAAGACTTAACGTAGCTCTGTATATCTGCTTCCTCCGAAAAAACATACATCTATACGCTATACAACCCAATACTGTCTACTGATTACCCAATGTAATCTGAATCACCGGTTGAATAAATACACAAGAAGGGGCGATCCCAACAATCTTCAGTTCCCCTACATTATTCTATAATTCATCTGTTGATATAAGACTCTAAGTAAATTGCAAATAACAAGGTTATATTAGCTAATGAATGCGTAGATTCTCTTAGAGTAGCAATTATTTAATTTATTCTTTTACACTCCCAGTGGAATATAGGGCTTCAAGCTTGACGTTCCAAGTGTCAATAGCAGTAGTTTTATTTTTACGAGGTGGGGTCACTAAACCTCACACGCAACCTTCTCTCTGTACCAGCCTTACTGCCAGCTTAGAGAAGTTTAGGAGTGCGTCGGTGACCGGGGGATCGAACCTGGATTATGTGCATGAATCGCGGGCGTTCTACTACCGAACCACCAATGCACAGAACAGTAATGAACATGGTAATAACTAACCAAACTGAAACAAAGTTTGTGAAATTAGCTACACAAAAGTTTAATGAAATACTCAGGTTATTCAAAGAGTGTGAAAAAAATAATCTATTAGATTGTCTATCCATTTTCATTGTTTTTCGTCTCCACATGTCTTCTTCTTCTTCTTATATAACCCAGATATCAAATATGGCTAATCAGTTCACTTCAATAAAACGTCAGTATATATTTTAATTGGTGGATGGTGACTAGCAGTGGAATCCAGGATGCGAATTTCGTCCTACTTAGGACTCGTCATCTGGATGGACCTGCATTTCTCAGTGAGTGATGATGTTCCCACCGAGCCTCGAACCCAGTGTCCATGTGACCATATATCAACCTAACACCGAGCACTTCGGTCCAGTCAATCGACGCGAAAATCTCAAATTCAAATTTATTAATACGACCCGTTGCACAAGAGGTGGCTCTCGTGGTGGCCCAAGTGGTCTAGTGGATAACGCTTTGGCGTTTGAAACTATGGTCACTGGGTTGGAGCCTCGGTGGGAACATCATCACTCACTGAGAAATGCAGGTACATCCAGCTGGAGGACGAATCCCAAATAGGACGAAATGCGCATCCTGGTGGATTCCACTGCTAGTCACCAACCACCAATTAAATACTAATTAAATGTTCAGACATCGTCGAAGCATCTGCACAAGAAGCCGACATGTCAACCTGAGGCCGAGCACTTCACTTCAAACGATCGACCGGAAAATCAAAAATTCAATTAAAGGATATATTTTGTTCTAAACGGCATGACTCACCTGAAGGATAACACTTATAAATGCTAATAATAACAATAAAATAATCTCAATGTATGTATTAAAGTCAGGTGGATTCGGTGTTGGTCGACAAGTCGTCGCATCTATATTCAATGCAACATCCTTTAGCGGATTTAGCATACCAGTCAATGATTGGATAATATTTGCAAATGATGAATCCCCATCAATATGAAGTTTATAATTCTCATCATCTTCTATGCGTGAACCTTCTTCTGTATCACCTCCTGATCCATATTTTGAAAAATCATGTGAAAACAATGGGATGACAATATCAGTAACTGTATACATTGCATAATCAGTTACCATCACCAGGATTATTGAAGAACTCCAAATAATCAGCATTATACTAGCTAACATCGCCGTATGCTTCTCTGATAAAGTCCAACTTATACTGGATAACTTTTTGTAGATTTTTTTCTCTTTACGCACCAATGGAACAGTTGGAACTAAACCTTTTCGGATAGCTTCTTTTTCCTTTAAAAAAAGACACAATAGGGCTTTTATGTACTTTAATTATGATTTCAGATGAAACTGGTCACTTTAATTTAAACGAAAATTTGATATACTTGAGCACAGTAATTCTAACTGACCTAGGGTAAAGATGGAAATACAGCAAAGCTAGTCAGATAATGACAAAGCCTATCCATAAATCCTTTGACAATCGGTTTAATCGTATATATAGAGTACCAGTTACCTAATTGGGGTCAGTTAGATAGTAAGAATCGACCAAATATTCAGGGCTTTAAATAATATGGTTACAAATCCGTTTTGAATTACTGACTGTCTTATAAGCAAGCGATATTTCCTACGCATGCTCAATGAAATATCGATGAACATGATTTTATGTTTAACATATTTTTCCTCCTTTATGCTTCTACTTGAAGACGAGAAGTATCAAGATAAGGTACAGTCGATAGTATATGTAGCAAATATCAAACAAACTGGCTCCTCACCCAGCTGAATCTCGCTTTATGTTAATCAGTGGATACTAATGTGAATGACTTATTTTACTTGATGTGGAACTAACAAGAAGAACTGATGGGACCATAAGAAGATTGATCCATAGAAAAGCTACTTGAAATGGTCAACTAACAAGCTTCTATAGCTAGGTACCAATTCAACAAAAGCGGAATTTAATGAAATCCCTTGCCATCCACATCCGACGTATCTGTAGACCCGATGTCCTAGAAACAGAATTCGATCTTTTGAAAGAAACCTTCATCCAAAAGGGATACCCACCAAGATTCGTTGACAAAAATATCAAACCAAGAATTTGGAGAAATGAAACTTCACTTGCACCGAAAAACAAACACTACATGAACTTGGATTTCAAAAGAGATTTAACAAGCGACATTCATAAAAGAAAGATTACACCATCTTTGAAAAGAGCATTCTTAACAGCAACGCTAAGAATAGTGTTCTTCAGTCGCCCACTGGTCTGCAGAAGCCTTAAGGACAAGATCCCACATTTGACCACTAGTAGGTGCATATATCAGTTCACCTGCTGCTGTAGAGCTAGGTACATCGGTTGTTTGATGCGCATCCTATCCAAGTGGATTCAAGAATACTATCCAGAATGGCTGCGAAAAGGCAATAGTGGTGCTATAAGGAGTGCGATAATTGAACATCTGGTTAACAATTGATCATACCATTTCAACAATTGCTTCCTTCACAGTAATCTACAGAGTCAAGAATAACCTACCAAAGGCAATACAGTTTCGTCTTCTTTGTACTGCTGAAGCTCTTGCCATTCACATAAAAAGAACGGTGCTCTGCACACAAAAGAGAATTACTCAACCACTTATACAACCATGGTAACAACTTTTTCTGATTTTAAAACAAGATTTTGAACGAACAATTGTTTTCGATAACTTCTTCTTATTCAGGCTCTGCTGTTATAAATCCATGAATAATAGAGTAAATATAGCCAATAAAGGCAAACGAAAATAATATCAGAAACTGTATTGGGGTACATGTGTAGGTTGAGATGATAGTTCATTAGTTAGCATAGTCAATCGAATGTGTATAGGGTGTATAGTCAGTCAGGAAAAATGTAATGAAGTGTGAATGAACAATTGGGTGGTATATAGTGTTGTTTTATAGTCAACAGAATACAAGTGCCTTTGGGGTGAGAGAAATGCCATAACCACAAAATACATACAAACATACAACAACAAAGGGGACACTGAATATGAGGGCTGACCGATAATGTCTAATGATAAAATACAGAGGCTAAATTCTAAATTGTAATAAGATGTTACAGAACTGGTAGGGTTAGTATAAAATCATAAAGGTTGACAAAAATTAAGGGTAACAATGAGGTGAAATGGATTATATAGATATGATATCACAAAATGATTTTTGATGACTTAATTTTGTTTGATTGCCCGTTTCTTTAAGTGCTTATAATTCTTGCAGTTATTCAAAACTCTTACGTAATTTCGTATTCTTTACTTTGTTCCTATGCGTATCCTGAGTACAACTCAATCATCAAACTGTTTTTGACAACTCATCACTTTTGTTATTACCGTGGTTTCAGCAACACCCAATTTTCTCGATTGTTTTCTTATTACTTAACTCCACCCAAATCTTATTAATTTTCACCTGTTTAGTTAAAATAAGCAGAACCAATTGTATTTTTGCTTGACAAACAAACCTATTCGCATACATACAAAATAACCCATATATATTTGCGACTGTACAGCTAAGAAAATGAATTCGCCGAAAAGGGGAACTTCACTGAACCACGTATTTTGTTTAGGCTTTAATATCATGCAAATGAGTACCCTCAACCTGTTACATAATAAATTCGAAATTAGCAAATTAATTTGCAGTATTCACGCTTCAATATAAAATATCACCACAGTTATTTTTTCTAAACGCCGAATCCAAATCGAAGTGTTATGAACATTGGGGCCTAGCTAGTTAGCGCCATATTCGGTTTAACTCATCTCGAACTGTGCAAATTTCCATTTTTCAGATTTATAGTATAACCGGTTCGTCCAAGTAGCTATCCAGAAATAAGGTAGTTTGAACTGATTCGATTTTTTGAGCTACACTCTTTCATGAATGCACAAATTCTGGCTTCTTTTTTAGCCATCAAAGTAAATTCTTTTTTGATGTGGTTTTGTTCTCTGAGCTGGATAGTTAGTTTACGCAAACTAACTATCCAGCTCAGAGAACAAAACCACATCAAAATTATCCACCTGAGCTACAATCTTCTCTATCATATCTAAAGTAAATTCTTTGCTGTATACACAGTATTCAGATATTTACACCAGCTTTATTTCATCACCTCTAGTCAGTATGAAAACAAACAAAAAGCAACTTCGATTGCAGCATAAGACTACAGATTTAGCCAATAAGTAACCCATTTGACTTTAAGTAAGTTTAAACAGAAAAATAAATGATGTCCAGCATTTTTTAAGTTTGGCCACGGGTGTGCCGCATTTATTATCATATAGGTGGGTGCAAAGCTGTCATTTAATCACACTGAAACATACAATATAAAATGAAGTATTTCATTTACTTTTCAAGAAAACACGCTGTTATGCAATGAGTAATAACACAGACACTTGACAGCATCTTCTTCTAAACCCAAGGCAACTACTGATTGATTGATATAATTAGTCGAATGTCACGTATACCAGCCTGTAGTGCTTGCTAATCAGATCAAAGCTATCTAAATATTAGACGGCGGTTTCGGTCCTTAGGGTCCGGTGAATTGAATAGATTTGATTCTCTTGGTTTGTCGACTGATGAGTTTAACCTCGGGTGGGCGAAACTTCCCTCAGCTGTTTATATTACTTAGATGTGGCTAGTAAGAACTACTGGCTGATGTGAGTGACATCCAACTACTTTTTCGTATTCCTTCATGTTCCTAGTGGAACACTGAGCATCAAGCCTGAGCTCTGGAGTTTCGGTAGAAGTGATATATATTTTTACGGGATGGGGTTGCCAGCTTCATGTCCCACTTTCCCTGTTTACCAGTCTTATCACTGGCCTAGCGAGGTGAAGGCGTGCGTCGTCAGGGGATCGCACCCCGGAACACATGCGTGGTTGGTCAGCATTCTACTGGTGTGCCACTGACGCCATCCGACTACTGGTATTAATCAGTCAGTAGTATACAGCATCATACAATTATGCCTGCTATCTTGATTGCTATTCATGGTATCTCATAGAGGGATCTGAATAATTTCGTGAAATTTCACCTCAAACTGTATGGAATGCGAATTGTAGATATCACTCCAAGAGAATCTAATTTCAATCTAACAGCCATTTTCCCCCACCAAATAAAATCAGCCTTCGAAATCATACCTACATCAGTGTAATAAAAAGTACATTCCCATATTCGAAAGAAAACAAACAGATCGTGATTTAGCACGACCCTAACCAATGTCGTCGATGGGACATCCATCCTCAAGGTTGACATTTGGACGTCCCACCGACGACATTGGTTGGGGTCACGCTAAATCACCAACTATTAGAATTTAAACCTCATGAGCCATTGGATCGGGTTCCAGTGGCTGAATGGTATACGAGCCAGCTTGCCTTGTAACCGAAAGGTCCTGGAATCGAACGCTGGTGGTGGGTACGTACTGACGATGATTCCCAAAACTAGGATGAAACAGCTATCTGGCAGTACTCCAGTGCTGTTTTCCAATGGTTCTTCAACTGATATCAATTCATGATCAACTCGTAAAAACAAAACTAATCCTTACAAACAAATCATAGAAAAGAAAACAAACAGTTTTTAACTCACTTGTTCAATAAATGCACTAGTTATGTATACATTATTATAAGCATCATTATTTAACCAAGATCTTCGAAACATTATTGCTTGAACAAATAACGTCATCATAGTGATTAATGTCCATGCAACCATAACCCATGATACAATATACTTGACTGCATCAACAGTCTGAATAAAACTATCCATTCTTTGTTGTAATTTATTTGATATTGTATGATCACTAGAAAATGTTATTTCTTGTATTGCGCTTAAATTCCCTGACAGTGTTAAATTCTTTCTACCAATAACATTGAGTATTCCATGGATTTGATTTGCCAACTCAGTTTTTGATGTAACATTTAAAGTGTCTTCAAGCACTGCACCTTGTTTTTTACACAATTCTGTGAAAACATCTGATGAAACACACGTGTCTTTCGCAAAAATCTAACAAACTTACATAGACCACTTAAAAAACCAAAAGCTTTCTTACAACTAAAGTAAATATTATTGAAAAAGGCCAGGCATTGATTAATTAAGGCAACACTATCCCCACAGGCAACAATTAATGAGTGTATCCAACTAGCTTGACTTTCCATAACATTAGTTAGACGAATTAAAGAGAAATTAATTTTAGACAGCGTTTGTCTAAATCGTTCAACAATTGAATTAATACTGCCAATTAAATTTTCCAGTTGACTTTTAAACAAAGCAAATGGTGCTTGAGTTAACTTTTTCAATATCATCATATTTGTATTCACTTGAGCAATAACACAGGCGATGGAATTACGAAAATTTCCTGAATTGTGTAAAAAGTTTAAACCTGGTCCAGTGACTGATACACCTGTCGTGTAGAAGACAATTAACCATCGAACTCTTGAGGCAGTCAGATACGGAAATACTAGTAGAGCTATACACTGGAAATCTCTAGAGAATGCTAGACCAAATACACTCACCAACATAATGTAAGCACTTAATAAAGTCGACAAGTATGGATGTCGTGAAAATGTTATTAGAAATAAGAAATACATCATGAAGCCTAAAGTAATACCACATATTAAACCTATAGCATTTTTTACATAAATCCGTTCTGATTTTAGCAGTGAATCCCAGTGCTTTTTACGAAGTCGAATTTCAATACGTATTGCCTCAGAGTACTACAACATGACCGGCATAAATAGTATAACGGCATTAATATGCATGGTGGTCGCTCTAGTTGACGTAAAACTAGGTTTATTTGTCGTCTGTCTTCTGCGCTAAACTCGGACTGTCTATTTTCTGGTAAATTTTCACCTTCCTTTCCTTGTTCCACATCTTTTTCCACTTCACTGGCTCTGTCTTCGTCTAAAACTGACTCTCTTTCAGTTATTTCATCATCTTCTAGGATTTCTTCACTATTAAGTAGCCATGACACCTCATCTTCTTCTTTTTCATCAAGTTCTAGTTGCCGCTTCTCTTCCACTGACATCCTGTCTTTTTCCTCACCACTGTATTCTGTTTCATTTTCATGCGCATTGAAAAATTCGCGCTTATCATTTTTCCCCTCGTCATTCGTGTTACTTAAATTTTGATTCAGTAATATGTGTGTGTTGGAGAAATTGTTTCTTCGCTTCGCTTGTTTTATATCATTTAAGAATGAATCATATGCATCACTCAAATAAGATGTATTCATGCTCATTTCATTTTCTTGTGATTTAGAACTACAATCATCGAATCAACTTTCTTATTGCTCCGTTTATCCTTCATTCTGCGGGATTAAAACAAATGATGGCGGGTAAAGCATATTAACATTAAAATATAGATGCATTAAGGCATTATTAGACTGTCTTCTTTTGAAGAAATTACGTATGTTTATAAATAACTGGATCATTTAAAAACATAAAAATCAATTACCATCATTTATTATTATTATACATTGGATTCTGACTTCACAGTAAAAGCGGAAAAAATGTTAACATACAAAGAGAGTATTATAAATTATTAATAAAAATCCGAATAAATCTGTGGCTTAAACAGCGAAACGTTCTAAAAAAATCTTGTTTTGACTTTCTTAACACTCTGAGATTAATTAAAATAATTTATAATGAATCAATCTGACTCAGAGCCCAAATTATTCCAGGAAGTTCATAAAACCTACGGTCTGGAAACTTATAATACAAAGAGAGTACATTGATTGGACACTAGTAACTAATGGGATGTGTCTAATCTTTTCTTTGCTACACACTGAATTCTATCAGTCAGTCGGTTTGCAATGTGGCCAACACTCAAGGTAGCTCGCCATCAGTGTACATTGATTTGATGATATTAGATGGTTGGGGTAATCGACCGTAGGAAGCCTTGCTTGACCTAGGTTTTGTGCTAGTTGGCACTCACCTGTCAGCAAGACGCATCTGCAACCTCGAGGAAGCGCATGTCCTTTCTGAGATCCGAACCGGCTTCAGCTAGTATTGCAATCAGAGACGTTACCACTTAACCATTCGGCCCGCCATTGACTTCCTGTAGGACTGTACAGGATACTGTGATTGGACACTAATAACTACTGTGATTTGTCTACACTTCGCTGACGAGTGCCAACAAGCACAAACCTAAGTCAAGCAAGGCTTCCTGTGGCTGACTGCCTCCAACCATCTGATATCATGCAAAGAGAATTAAAAAACCCAGTTATAATTTATACAACGTGCACTACAGGTTGATAAGTGAACTGACCTAATCCACGAACAATCATTTCTCTTATATGGAGCCAGCTGTCAGTTGTCTTCAAATATTCATAGTAATCAGTATTATGTGTCTTACAGCCTTCCCACTATTTGATATATTGAGCAGACAGTATACAGTTTCGAATAACTTTTCCCTATCACAAGACATTTCGCTTCGGACTATGAATTTGAAAGATAGCTTACCTGAACTCTATAAAAATTTCACGGCTAAGCTCGACAGAATAGTGCTAACCACCTTCCTGGGACTGTATTACTTACTCGTCATCATGCCTACAGACATTACCCCTTGAATAAATATGAACTTCAGTACAATTAAGTTATGTATCCATTGCCTTCGATTTCAATCAACTTTTAGTTTATTTTGTGTCAGCTTTTGGGATTCATTGACTCCAATTTAAGTAAGTGGTTGTGCCATATGTATACTTGTTATTGCTGGTTCATCCCTCTTCTACCTTCTGTCACAAATCTTGAATTAGTCTACTCTAGTTTTGTTTCAGATAAGTCTTATTTCAGCCAGGATTCCATATTCGAGTAAGTGGTGACTAGACGTGACTAAAACTTGTCACACCTACGAAAATCTAGAGTTTATGCACTGTAGGAAACTATAATCGCACTTTAGATTTTATTGTATGACGGAATCTAACGAGTCATCCTCTCATTCAACACTTTTAGACCGTTTTTCGGTGTATACTTGGTGTTCATGCAAAGTGAAAAAAAAAACAGCAGCGACCTAATACCCAAAGTCTTAAGAGATTTTTTTATATAATCCAGTCACTGTTTCACACACTTATACAGATAAGAAGTACTGCTACTTCACACAATGAAATCAGATTTATGACGGTGATCATTAGTGTTGTAAGCAGTTGAAATCTTTAAATATACCCATTTTTAATATTAGAACAAGGCATATGAGCGAAAAAATATCGTTTTCAGTTAGATATTCTTCAGGCTTTACTCTAATTTTCATGGATTTATATCTAAAAATTTTAACCAATTATGGTGATTTTTTGGATCAAATAATAATGGTGATAATAATAATGATATTTTCAATAGTTGGTTTGTAAGGATTAGAGTTGATCAAGGACCAATGAGTTTAACATGTACGCGAGTCATTGAGCTTTACGAAACCCAAAGCCGCAGTGAAGATAAAGGTTTAGCTTATCCAGGCTGAGGTGTGATCCTGTTGTTTTGCCCATTAATTCCAAGCTGTAAGCAGCAGGCGCATCACCGGCCCGTCCCATGACGTAGACATACGGCCTTGTGCTATGTGCACCGTCGGGGCGGAGCAACAGCGTACATGCTAAGACGTACATGAAAGATGGTGAACTATACTTGCGAAGGTTGAAGCCAGAGGAAACGCTGGTGGAGGACCGTAGCGATTCTGACGTGAGAATCCAAGTTGATCACGGATTGATATCAGTTAGACAACTATTGAGAACCAGAACTGGAGTACTGGAGAGCTGTTTCATTCTAGTTTGGAAATCATCGGCAGTACGCACCCACTGAAGTTCGAGTAACTTGATAAGATTATGAGTGGCAATAGTTTGTGCTCGAAACGTTGTCATCAGTAAATATTACTGTATAACATTGTGTGATTTACCAAAATAAAATCTTATCCATAATGAAGTTATACTCCACCACAGTACCCAAGTTTTATACTTAAATCGTACAGATCCCTTAAATAAAATTTAATTATCACTCACTCATTAATCACATTTAGCTCATGATACATTTTTAACTTTCCTACATCGTGAATTGTGAATGGGTTTTATTATTAGCACGGCTCTAACTGAGCTATGCTCTATGCTGTGTGTTTTACTAGTGGTTAACGCAGCTCATTGAACTATGTTTTTGTCCTTCGTCAGACTAACTGACTTCACTCGTAAATTCCATTATGGATAAAATTTTATTTTGAAAAAGGTACATAGTGTTATTCAGTAATATTTACTGCTCACTAGCGCTTACAAAAAGCCAATGCATTCTGTTAATAGATATTTAGACTTCAATTCATCTCATCAATTATCCGTAAAAGCAGACTTATTTAAGTGTCTAACAAAGTAAGCAAGAGCACTAAGTAGTACAACAAAATACCTAAATGATGAAATGAAACAGATAGTAGAAGAAGCGTTGCCGTTAAATAAATATCCTATAAAATTCATTAGGAAGATCAGTAAAGGCAAAAAGCGAAATAACAATAATAGTGAAACTAATAATGATAACATAAACAAGAAGGAATACAAGGCATCTATGGTTATACCATATAAGGAGGGTACATCTGAAACTCTCTCTACGTAGGATTCTGGATAAAGCAGGAATTAGGGTGGCATTCAAACCTACGAACTCACTCAGGGACAAGCTGTGTAGGTTAAAGGACCCAGTTGAATCAATTAAACAAAATAATATAATTTATAAAATACCTTGCAATGACTGTGAGGTCAACTACATAGATCAAACTAGTAGGTCAGGGGTAGTCAGATTGTCGGAACATAAGAATTTAGCTAAGATAAGAATAGTTTACCCTGAGAAGATAAGTAATTTAGAAAAAAGCTCAGCGATTGCACTACATGCACTGACACACAACCACACAATAGGTTGGGACAGAGTCGAAATTCTAAAAAGTACTATAGGTAGGTGGAGAGAGACTGATTACTGAATCCTGCCTAGTTCATTGAGTCTACACCCAACACATACAATAAAAGTAACTCAACGCAAATACCAAAAATATAGAAGACAGTTTTACCAGTCAAATCAAAGGATGATAAATAATCTTAAAATGTATTCAATTCACATTATAACATACTAAAAAGTTATTTCTTTTACTTTAAAAACATCGTATTTCCCACCTTATTGTATTTCATTGATAACATTAACATTATTGATTTTATTCAAATGTCTAATCACGTATATATAAATGAAGCAAGAAAGTTGTGTGAATGACTTGATATGATTATGAGTGGCAATGAATTGGGCTTGAAATGTAGTCATCAGTAAATATTGCAGAATAACTCTGTATGACTTTATCAAAATAAAATTCTATCCTTAATGGAATTATACTATACCACAGTGCCCAAGCTTCACTCATTAACTCTAACTCATATATTTGATCTCAGAATCACTAGAAGGGATTTGGTGAACTAAATAGCCTCGATGGAATCTTTGATTTAATAGTTCATTTCAAGCAAAGTTAGTAAGTTTAAACATCTCACCTGAGTCAGAAATTCCCTTAGGGGACAATAAAAGTTTTTTTTCATATTCTCAACTTCTATTCTATAAAACTACTTCTTTGAAGTAAATATTTGAAATTTTTCAAGACAGCTTGAAAGCACAAACAGAATACCTTTGAATACGAACTCAGATACTATCTGCATTATATTTGAATTTTTTAAACTTAAACTATTTTATTTCTGAGAACATAATGATCATAAAATTTCTGTAATATTCAACAATTCATCTAGCGAAGTATTGTTTATCGTACACGGCAACAAGTCTATTTCTACCGTGAATACCACACCAAATTCTCCTTGAATTGAATATCAGACATTGTACTTTGTTTTTTGAATGTCTTATGATTTTCGAAAGAGGCTATTCTAACGTTAGTGTAACTCTTTGCATCTTCTGTCAAGTTAAATAAATTCACGCATTTTACATTACAAGGTGATTTGATGATTGATTTTTCACCTAGTTGACCTCAGTTTCCTTTTTTCTTCTCATTAGCGCGATTTTACTGATAGTATTGTAACGACAGAAGATAAGGGCCAGGCAACAGATCGTTTATTGAGAAAATCAACAGATATTTATAGATTTTTATGTACATTATTAATTAGCGTTATGGTTAGCAGAGAAGCAGCGTCTTCTGATTGGTTGTTTCCTTGCTGAAGGTTATTCTGTACTGCTTGTGACCGTTTATTTAGAAAGTTAAGCCATATACCTGCGAATCGTATTTGCACACGTTAAGTCTGCTGTGATTGGTTGATGAGCTGCTCAAGGTTAAGCTTTGTTATTTTTTTTCTCACGACCCCCGTTAGGAAAGTAGACATTGACGTAAACTGTTGTCTACAATTTTGGTTTGCAGACAGCTCCCACTACAGTATCACTTGTTCATGAAATTGTTCATAAAAACCTCCTGAAATGTGAACTACTTTGCAGTAAATCTATCCAGTGTAGTTTATCGTCACCTCAATAATACAATTTTTCAGTTGTGCTAATATTTACTTCAATAAAGGTGGTTACTCGATCATATCCACAGTTTGCAAACTATACAATTCGAGATGAGATTCCGCCACAGTTTCTATTGGAAACCGAAATCAAAGTGAAACTTTTGATACGATGTACGGCAACTTCTCTCAAATGGTTATTTAGAATTTGAGTGATTTGAACAGATTAAACCTCCTGAGTTGAACCATTGATGAGCCTAACCTTGATTGAGTGAAACCTGCCGTCTAGTGTTTAGATCACTTCAAGCTAGTTAGCGAGCATCACTGATTAATGTGAGACGTATCCAACCGTTCAAATGAATCAGCCGGCTAGTATATAGCATTATCACCAGTATGCTTTAATTCTCACTTAACGACAATACAAGAAAGTAAGAGTAGTCAGTCTGATTTTGCAAAGCTACTCATTCACATTTTGTTTAAACTCATAAAAAATAACTAATTAATTTGTTTCATTTGACTTTAGTTGGGTTTCCTTAACCATTTCGATAATTAAAGCTTCATTGAGCTGCTTAAAATTGTTTAAATGCCATTGCTAAATGTTGGTTTACATGGAGCTGATTGATTTCAAGGCTGACTGCTAAATGACTCCAGTTAGAGAACCTCTGAATACTAGGGATTACTGGAAATCTGTTTTGTCCTTGTTTAAGACTCTTCATCAAGGAACGAACCCTACAAACCAACAACAAGAAAGTAAGCCTATTGCTAACTAGCGGCTGGTTACATGGTGAAGTTGCTTGGAGTTCTAGTGAGAATGTGGTGAGTGCTACTGATAAGATTTATCAGTAGTATATAAAGAGAAGTTCATTGGCATAACAACAAACAGCAGGGAGATACATTTGATTTCAGAGAAGGCAAATGACACAGCGTTGTGGAGATACATGGGAGACGTGAAAAGAGCACCAAGAAACACAATATGAAGGGAGACCAGAAGTAGCACAATACGAAGATCTATGCAGATGGTGCGCTGAAGATAAGGTATACATAATTAGCCTATATAGAGATACCAACTCTCTGTCTTCTACTTGTAAAGATAGATAACTCCCCAAAATTATCCACTCAACACTGGATGCTGGCATTCACTCTTTAAATCGACTTGTTAAAACTACGGTTCGCAATCAAACATCTATGTCATTTGACACGCTGTAGTGTTATGTTCGGTCATTCGTGCATAAGATCCCTCGGTAGCTAAGCAGTCATCATCGAACTACACTTCTAATGCCGAAATATATCCCATACCTTGAACGATCAATTTGTTGTTTTTGTTCTCAGTAGAAGAAATACTTTATAAACTTAAGTATAAAAAACTGCGTATATATTCAGTGTATCTTACGTAATCAAACAAAATCTTTCACCTCCTAATTCGTTATCAGCCTAGTCCGCCACTCCTCGCCAATGACATTTGCTGGAGGATGCGTCATATATATCACGAACTAGCAGAAGTTCGAATTGATGGACCATTGAACTCTTTCTCAGTGACTAAATGTTCAACCATCTCGCCTCGTAATCGGAAGGTGCGTACAGCGAATAAGGAGGAAACGACAGTTTTTGTTTTCCAATTTGCGATAGTCCCCCAAAAAGATTAGTCTCAGTAAGTAGTGGCAATATACTTTCATTTTAGTTCCTGCATGTTCTTAAGATTCATTTCATTCCAACACTGACATTTTCATTAGTATTGGATTTGACTCTACCATAAGTAGTATTGATTAGCACACCAATATCAACCTATTTTCGTGATATATTGCAAGCTACTTATATGCGTAGTTAGTAATAATGTAATAATATAAGAAAAATTAATGAATGAATATATTTCAAACTGGTAATAATGAAAATAACGAATTAATAATAAGATTCACTAGCCATTTCTTGCTTCTTGCTTTGTCTTCTTCTTCTTCTCCGTTTTCAATAAAATTCATAATAAAAAGTTGTTATTATTATTGTCATAATAATATTACCCTGTTTTCCGTGAAATAAAGAAAGGCGTGAAAAGAGAAAGAAACAAGTAAACAAATACAGAAGAACAAGAAGAAGAGGCGAAAAGATCGGGCGACGAAAGAAAGTGTTTTCTGTCGAATAGGCAACTTCTGACTACCCTCTCCCCTCTATTTTTACTAAAGTTCTAAATATAGATTTATTATTCTATATCAATGTTGTTTTTGTACAATAGGAGTGAATTATTTCAGTCAGATAATAATCTTGTCATCATTCATCATGTTCTTTTTTATTTTCTATCATTATTTATTGTGTATGTGTATGTATATATATATCACCAAACACCTTAGATTATTATTGGCATCCAGCAGAGAATTGCGCAACTGGAGAGTGTGTGGGCCAGTATTTAAAGTCTGTGTGTGTGTACAATCCACATTAAGAAGGCTGAAATGTAATTCGTTTGTCTTGGGAACACGAAGAGATTATAGACAGGAAAGAGCATCAGTAATAGTAGTAGTAGTAGTAGTAGTAGTAGTAGTAATAGTAGTAGTAATAGCAGTAGTAGTAATAGTAGTAGTAGTAGTAATAGAAATAACAACTTTTTTGCCTTACTTCAAGATGAAAATACTATCAAAACAGATAAATTCATATAATAAGTTTCCTCTTAGAAATATTATATATGTATATGTATATGTAAATATATTCAATTATGTACAAATATGAAATGAAGAAAGCTTAGAAAGTTTGTGATCATTAGCTGGCGGGCAAAGGGGGGGGGGGGGAGCGGAGGAGTTGGGGGAATTCTGATAACTTATGAATTAGGATAGATATAATTAGAGTTTGGTTTATTCATTGGCGGTGATTTAAAGAATGATACACTTGTTTTATTATTATCATTATGGCTTGTATTATTATCATTAGTGTCAGTGCATTCCATGGTATTGAAATTACTCGTATTGTCATTATTCATATTAGTGATATGACCAAATGGGATTGTGCTGTTATACTGAAGAGGATGGTGAGGAAGTTGTTGATGGTGATGCGGATGGTGATGGTGATGATTATGATCGTATGATGGTATAGGATAAATTGACTTGGAATTCAATGCATCCTGTAAACTTGATTCAGTGTGTGTATAATTCGAATTATTATTATTATTTATATCACTGGGATGATTATAAAACATTTGACCAGAAGTGTGTACGCCTGATAACTGTTCCTCACTGGATTCATCATTACGACTTAAAAGACTGGAACTTCTTAAACAGTCTAGAAATTGTTGACCACCATCTGACTCATTATGATGTTGACTGTCGTGTAGAGGATGATGATGATGACGTTGACCATGATGAGGATGGTGAGGATGATGCGATTGCTTAGCATGTTGATGTCGTTGTGGATTATCCTCGGATGAAGCAGATAAACACTCCGCATTAATATGATTCTGTAGGGTAGACGAGCTAAACTCTTTTAGCTTATTTGTCCACTGTGTAGGAAATGAATGATGATTCATTGAATTTAAATTATGTTTAAATTGGCCGCTACACGATGATGTATCTGTAAGACGTGACCAATGCTCAGAAATAACATCTGATACTTCTATATTATTATGTTGTATAGATGGAGATTGATTAGAATGTTGATGTGAGGATTGTTGTTGTGATCCACCAGGATCAGGAGTAGATGAATTGTTTAAATTTGATATGGGAAAATTAGCGGTTTGATTAAATCCGGAACTTTGTCTTGTTGTAAGATTAGCAATATTAGGATATGTATGAGATGTATAGTTTAACTGGTTGAAATGACTACTTGCATTATTACCATGATTATAATTAGGATTATTATTGTTATGAATATCAAAAGGTAACAAATTGCTTGACATACTCATGCTATTAGACAAGTAATTTGAATAAGTCTGTGCATGAGATAACAGCATAGAGGAATAATTCTGTGGATAGTTCGATGCTGATGAATTCATCATCATCATTGTCATTGCTAAATCATTCTGTGATCTTAATCCATAGGTGGTGTTATCACCATTTGAAATGGCTGAAAACTCTCTACCACTAGGGTTATCAGTGTTCATTAAGTTTGTATCCAATAATCCATTTTCTAGGCTGTTGTTCCCTTTACTTTCATTGGAATCCACTGATATATTCGACAGGACTGGATTGAATTCACGAAAATTCCTGTCAACTATTAGGCTAATATTATCTGTACTCACTTCACTCCTAGAAGGTATGTTATTATTATTGTTGTTGTTATTACTGGTATTACTACTAATAAATAATGATTTACAGTCCACTGGTTTATTTAATGAAAAACTCTTATCCGATACCCCGTCAGTGTGTATTTGTTGTTGTTGTTGTAATGTGTCTGTGCCCTGATCTGTTTCTTTTGAATTAGAACACGAAGATGACATCATTAATGAAGTCATGTGTTTATTGACAATCTCATCTGATTGTTTTACATTTAAATTCTCATGGTGCATGGGATCATACTTTCCAGATATCATCTGTGATGGATCTAGAGTTTGAAGGAAAATAAATAAATAAACAATAATGTAAACAAAAAATTTACTCTAATATCTCTTGAAGTATAAGTTTTTAACTGAAATGTTAACCTTTCTGCATTCTTCTATAGGTTTCAATTTCTAGTTCACCTAAAACTTAAGGTTAGAACACTAGTAACTAGTGTCCAATCAAAATATCCACTACAGTCCTACAGGAGGTCAATCGCGAACCCGAATAGCTCAGTCGTAACGCCACTGACTACAGTACTGGGTGACGCGGGTTCGAATCTCAGAAGGAACATGACTTCCTTCAAGGTTGCAGATACGCCTTGCTGGCTGACTTGTGAGTGCCAACTAGCACGAAACCTAGGTGGAAAGCTTCCTGTGGCCGATTGCCTTCAACCATCTTATATCACTGAAAAGGTTGGTAATATGAGAAAAAGTTTTATTAAAGAATATGTGCACAGCCTAATAAAACCACTACTGGAATTATTATTACTATTGTAACAACAGAAGACAAGGGCGAAGCAACAGATCGTTTTATTATGAAAATCAACACGTATTTATACATCTTTCAACTACATTATTATAGACAAGCGCAGTCATCTGATTGGTTGTTTAGGTAGACAAACGCAGGCTTCTGATTGGTTGTTTCGGGATTCCTTGACAAATAGAGTTCTCTCTGCGAATCATATTCTGCCACGTTAACTTTGCTGTGATTGGTTGTTGACTCAGGCTTGTTCATATTTTCTCACGGCCCATATTAGTGACCTAGACCTTAACGTAGATTAGTGCCAACCAATCGGCTAGCAGCCTGCTCTCACCACACTCGTCCCCCCGTCAAATACGTGCGACTGAAGTCGGCTTGATCTACTTGGTGCAGGCGTCATCGTTGGCTTGTCTCGCTGTATCCATTTCTGGAGCTCGCTGACGTTCACGCGCCTCTCATTGTTCGCCATTGCGACTGTGTCTGCGTAACCCCATCTCGAAGTGACCATATATGGTCCTTCCCACTTTGGAAACTGTTTGCCTGACCCTGTCGAACATTCGTCCATACTTCGGCTCACACTTTCATATGCTGCTTTCACCCGACCTCCCAGCAGCGTCCCAAGTAGCAGCTCCATCGCTGACAGATCTTGAACGCCACTCAACTGCGCAGAAGCCTTGAAGTCCTGCCCGAAGATCCATATGTCTCCATCAAAAACAGCAGGGCATAGGCTTTCCATTTGTCGGTAGGCAGCGACACCAAATGTAACAACAGAAGACAAGGGCCAGGCAACAGATCGTTTTATTATGAAAATCAACACGTATTTATACATCTTTCAACTACATTATTATAGACAAGCGCAGTCATCTGATTGGTTGTTTAGGTAGACAAACGCAGGCTTCTGATTGGTTGTTTCGGGATTCCTTGACAAATAGAGTTCTCTCTGCGAATCATATTCTGTCACGTTAACTTGCTGTGATTGGTTGTTGACTCAGGCTTGTTCATATTTTCTCACGGCCCATATTAGTGACCTAGACCTTAACGTAGATTAGTGCCAACCAATCGGCTAGCAGCCTGCTCTCACCACACTATCCCTTAAGGTTCCGAAAAGAATACAGGGCTTCAACAGCCCATCTCCATTTCATCGTGTTATCTGCAGTCCTCTTTAGTTGACTCCACGTTTGTCCATGAGCTCTGATCTCCTCTTCAAATGCTCTTCTTCGTGATATCCCAAAACACCCAGCTCGTCTTTTCTAATCCAGGTTTCACTCGAAGGTCTGACACAAGATGTCACTCAATTGTCTCCTCCTTTGATATATTCATCGAACAATAGGTTCTCGGTTGGTTGTTTGCCTGAGTCTTTTGTTGCTAATCTTTTCTAACTATCTGGTCTTTCGTACGGATCAAGGGCAGGTGTTGATAATTGTCTAAAGCCTATTCGAAATACTTTTGCTGATGCGTGTGCCAAGCCTCTAAACCATGTAGGAGAACGGATAGGACTAACTTTGGTGTTGAAAATCTGAATTTAGTCCTTCATGCTAAGTACAGCAGATTTCCACACTGATTTCTGAGTAATTAATGTTTGTCTTGCCCTTTCAATCTTGTCTTAGATAAATTCTTGTGTTCTGTTGCCTTTAGTTGAAACGATAGTGCCCAAAAAAATGAAGGAAGGAAGTGGCTTCTTTGAAATTTCCCCGGTTGACGGTGACTGCCGTGTTTGTTGTTTTTCCTTTGGTAACTCTATTGTCTCTATTATCTTCTGTATGTTCACTTGAAGTCCTGTCTTTACTGCCCCCCCCCGTTTTCCTCCAACTTGTGGGCTAGAATAACTAATTGTAGAAGGCTATCATCCGAATGACACGGAAAAAGTAAATATTCTTTTATGATAGTGTGGTGAGAGCAGGCCGTGAGAAAATATGAGCAAGGCTGATTCAACAACCAATCACAGCAAAGTTAACGTGGTAAAATATGATTCGCAGATAGAGAACTCTATTTGTCGAGGAATCCCAAAACAACCAATCAGAAACCTGCGTTTGTCTGCCTAACTTCTGATAAACAACCAATCAGATAACTGCTCTTGTCTACTTGCATAAGCTATAATAATGTATGTGAAATATGCATAAATACGTGTTGATTTTCATAATAAAACGATCTGTTGCCTGGCCCTTGTCTTCTGTTGTTACAATGGGATTTAAAATGAGGGTCACTTGAGTCATTTATTGAATTTTTTTATATTCTTTTATTATTTCAATACAAAAATACATCTAGTGAATTCATCATCAGTCTTTTGTAGTTCTGCTGAACGATAGTAATAAGGAGAAATAAAAATATGTTTAGAGATGACATAATAACTTGACTGTTTCCGATACACTATTTATTTTACAACTACTTTTGTTTGTCATACTGTGTTAACTTTACCTTGTTAAATTCGGAAACATTTTTGTACGTTTCTGTTTGACAAAATGAAAACACGGAATAAACTTGTACAAAGTAATTATGACTATATAGTAGAAATATACTTATAACAACTAAATCGATGACTTGGGCATTTTCCTCAACATTTCATTCAAAAATCTACCTCAGTAAGAAGAGTCACTCTTCATTCAATAACCGTTATTTTTCACAATGGATGACTTCATGTGCTTGATCTTGATTTTTGTTATCTTTTATTTTATTCCTTTGCGTTCTGCGTGGAACATAGGGTTTCAAGCTATGGCCTTGAAGTTTCAGTAACAGTGGTTTCATTTTCACTGAGTGGAGTTACTAACCTCATGGTCAACCTTCTCTCTTTATCGACCTTACTTCCGACTTGACGAAGTTTAGCAGTTCACCAACCAAGAGCCGAACTCCGGACCATGTGCGTACTTGGCGAGCACTATACCACTGAACCACCGACGCATGACCGTGTCTTGTAGTAACTACTAATTATTCATGACAGGAAAAGTTATACATATTCCTTTGTTTCTCTGAAACAGTCTTGTACTACACTCCTTAGGAATCAAGGTAGTGACTGATACTCATGATAAGCGATAACTTATTCTGTTCGCGAAAGCCGATTTCATTTCACACAGTTAGCTACTGTGTAAATTCACTACACTTTGACTGAAGAGTGAAAGTGAAAACAAGTAGAAAGTATTTCACTTCAAGGTCTGCTTACTTCAATATTAGACAAAATGCTTCTGATATTGTGAGGATTCTTTATAAATTTCTTGTGCAATCGACGTTCATCACATGAAAACTACAAAGAATATTTCATACCTTTCCGGGCTTTTTGTGTTGGACTTCATACTTAATTTAATCATGCACCTCGTACTCATAAAGGATTCCGTTTTTATGAGCCATGATTTTCAGTTTGGTTCATTTATATGCCTTACGTAAGTAACTAGAAATGAAGGTTTCAGACGACTGATTAATACATCAGTTACCGTCTATTATTCCGATTACTAAACAGCGTTTAAGTTTTCCACCAGTCTGTCAGGAGAGACACAGAATGAACGCGTCGGTGGCACAACGTTTAGGACGCTGGCCGACCATGCACGTGGTCCGGGGTTCGATCCCCAACCGAGACACCTCTGATATCAATGGTCGGCCTGCTAAATTTTCACTACCGATATCACATGCTGAAAATTCCATAGTTGTGCAAAAAATACTGTATGGAATCAAGTTATAACAAAAAAAAATAAATAAATAACCACATTCATGAAACTGGTTGCTTCGTCAAGGTATTTTCACGTCATCGCAAATCGACCTAAATTCAGTAGGAATACCAGATAGCTGATAAATACTGATGTCAAAAGATGGTCTCTGTTGCCAGTCAACTGGGAAGTAGAACCGGAAAGCTAAATTTGTGATCGTTAGTTGATTTGTTGTTTTATGAATGAAGTTCTTTCTAATCCAATGAAATGAAGAAACAAAATTGAAACAAGCAATTTCCATGCATTCAGATGTTTTTAATTTGTTGAATAATCTTACTGATAAATGTTTTTTATAAATATCTCTCTTCAAAAGACTCTATTATTTACCTGTTCCAATAGCAGTTGTTGAACTGAATTGACTTAAACACTGATTTGCATCTATTGGGAATGAATGATTTTGACTTGATAAAGTAGAGGAATCCGATATACTTCCAGTACCACCGGCAAGATTATTATCATTTGCATTTGATCTCATTTTTATTGAAGGTAAACCCGACTGTAGGGTGGAATAGAATTTGTGTGAATTAAATAAATCTGTACGTGTATCAAGATTCCAAAGATCAGAGGATAACTTATTATCGTAGGTATGATTTTCTTCAGAACTGTTAGGCAATGATAATGATTCATAGTTTTGAGGAATATAACCACACTTGGATGGATGTTTCGATAGTGAATTTACTGATGTATCACTATTCACTTCATCTAAAGAACTAGGTCGTGTTTCTGCTGTATGACAATCAGATCGTGCAGAACTTGTTGTAGTAGTGTTAATAGCAGCATTACTGTTACTGGTGCTGTTGAGCGTGGAATTGATCGCTGCACTGAAACCACTGCTGCTGCCAGAAGATACTAAACCAGCGGCTGCCGGGTGTATAGCAGCTGCAGCGACTAAACTCGCCGGCCAGAAACGGTTATTTGAAGGTCTGAAATTATAAAATGTGAAGAATAACTCAAGTAAGTATGATTGGAAATAATTTGTAAACCATAATGGCGCTTTTAGTTATGTTAGCGGGAATTTAAATTCAACAACTTGACTTTGACTGAACTAATAATACTGAGTCATAGGTGACCTGATAAAATCTATGAAGCATGTGGTGTAACTTTATCTGCTCTTGTTATCATCAAAAATGATACTAAGGGTAAAATACTAGAAATCTATAAGTCTAATGTGCCTGAAAATTTTCAAGAGATAGTTCGTAGGGATTTAATTTGTTCCACATTTGACTGCGAGCTGACATCAATTGAAGAACCACTGAAAAACCAAGGAGTACTGGTCAACTGTTTCGCCCTAGTCCGTGACTCTCCAGAAGTACTCACTCGCCAGGATTCGGAGACAGAACCTTCCGGTTACAAGGCAAGCTCATAGACCGTTCAGCCCCTGGGACCCAACTCAATGGTCGACCCATGAATTTCAATTTCTACTTATTCGTAATTTTAGCGTGATCATCAACCAGCGATGTCATCGGCAAGTATTTATCCTCATTCCCGACCTGGTGGACCCCCATGGTCACGACTTCTCAATAGAACTCCAAGCAACTTCGTCCCATGGCCAGTCACTAGCAAGCTCCAGACCAATCTCTGAGAGTTATTTTGTAGGGATTCAATATGTCTCAACTTCGATAACGAGCTGACGTCAGTTCCTCAAAATGATTTATTTCGTTTATCACAAGGAAAACAATAGTAAGCGAAATTAAGAGAGTTACCATACTAAATTATAATCTACACCTTTTTCTCACCGGTACACTTGAAATATATTGAAAATTAAAGCTACCTCAAGAGTATGGTGTGCTGGATACTTTAACAAATCTAGATGCATCATACACGCTGTGGTGAGAACGTTTCAACATGTAATTTTTTGTTATCAGTTGTATTAGTTCGCATATATTTGGCTGACAAGTTAAACAATAACAGAGGAACAAAGAGACATAATTATGGATGACGATTACAGAGGTCTCATCATTAGGCAGAACCACAGAACTCTTATGTGGCCTGAGTCTTCAGAATGTATTGAGTAATTCATCAAGCATCTTGGAGTACTTAAGGCATTCCTTGTTATCTATCTCGAGAATGCTGAAAAAATCGCCTTCTGAACACCTAAATTAAACCGCTAAAATTAAACCTTAACATATGTAAGTTTTAGTAGTCAAACTAATCATCTCATCTCTGTGCCAACTTCCTTACATCCTTATTCACCAGTCATCGCTAAATATTTTGGAATGAAATTTAACCTACTCATAAGTAAGTTAATTGATGGATGGTGACTAGCAGTGGAATCCAGTCAGGATGCGCATTTCGTCCTGTATGGGACTCATTATCTGAATGTACCTGCATTCTGCAGGGAGTGATGATGTCCCTCACCGATTAAACCCTAATTACTTATCCAGATATCGTCGAAACATCTGCACAGGAAGGCAACATAGCAACCTGAGACCGGAAAATCTAAAATTGAATTAAACTACTCATAAGTAGTTTACCTCTCTACATAAAATAATGAAAAGACAGCACTTATCCTAACTACTCTTTTCGTGATGTTTTAAATTCTAATGTTAAACCATATATATATATATATATATATATATATATATATATATATATATATATATATATATATATATATATATATATATATATATATATATATTTAATAAAGCATCTTTACACAGAAAGGAAGATAACAGTAAGTTAACAAAATGAATAAATTGTGAGTCATGCACACAAAAAGGAATACCAGATACTTTCATTTCATTCAACTATTTTCCAAATTTTTCAACATCCGGAATGCTATATATGCTATATATTATATATATATGTTATAATTGTTAGGCATATTTTAATTCCGGAAGTAAGAAATTCAGACAAATAATTTCTAGTTTCATATATAAGTTAGATAAAGGTAATCGATTGGGAGAAATCAACACGTATATGAGTGTGTTGTATTTCATTCTCAATTTAAACTTAGAAATAATAATAATTAGTATTATTATTATTACTATTATTATTATTGTTATTATATGAGTTACTGTAAGGATATATACACATTTGTCCTTGCTTTCATTGATTAAGTAAGCGTAAATCAATGAGATTACAAGGTCAAATGGAATTTAGAAAAGGTGGATTATCTATTTGTCTGTATAGTTATTTAACTATCTGATTTTATTCCTACTTTAGCATTATATATATATATATATATATAAATATTCCAGTCACAACAATTTATTATCACAGCTATTATGTTTATTTTGATGAATACTAGTGTCAAAATAATACTAATAATAATAATAGTAATGTACTTACATTGATGAAATATTCATTAATTTATAGACTGGTGTATAGCGAGAAATGAATAGTATAGTATAATGATTGAATGTTTAGGACTTGATTTTGACATAACAGTGTTTGTCACAATGATATATATGTGATGAAATAAGAGTACACCTCTAATATTGTTGATAATAAATCGTCACAAATAATATATTCACAAAGCCTACTTCATAATTATGAAGAGCAATATATGTCTGACTAATATTCACTTTGGATTTCTCAGAGTATTAACAGAATGTTTTAAATGCCTAGTGAATTTAGTTAAGTCTGTATCATTCGATAGATTGATTATAAGGCTTAAATTGTTACATCTCGTGAAACTACCAAAGAAGGGCGACTTAGGACTCTGCAAGAACTGGCGAGGAATCATGGTCCTGTCGACGCCAAGTAAAATCCTGAATCGCATCCAGAACAAGCTGGATTCAGGAAAGGTAAATCATGTTCTGACCAAATTGCAACACTACGTATCATCATCACAGAACAAAGCATGGAATGGCAATCAAACCTCTACCTCAACTTTACAGACAGACAGCGTTGACCGCGAAGTAATTTGGAAACTACTCGACCTTATTCAACAGCTGTATGACAAAGGTACATGTCAAGTGATCCACAACGGAAGACTCAGCGAGGCGTTTGGAGTAAATACAGGAGTCAGACAAGGGTGCTTATTATCACCAATGGTATTCCTAATTGTGGTGGACTGGATTATGCATCAGACAGTGAGTAGGAAACGAGAAACCGGACAGAGATATCCTGGACACACGTGAAGAATCTAGAAGACATGGATTTCGCGTGTGGATGATTTATGTTTGATGTCACACACACACAAAATCGAAGACTTACAAGCGAAAACCGACAAACTGGTCGAAGAAGCAGACAGTGAAGACAGAACTGCAGGTGAACATAGGCAAGACGGAGGTGATGAAAATAACCAACTAACAACAACTACAGCAGAAACATCCAGCGCCAATCACCATCAACGGGAGGGATTTGAAAGAGGTTACTTCATTCATTCACTTATCTAGGAAGAATTGTCTCAACTACAGGAAGTCGGAACAGACGAGGATGTCAAATCGAGCGAGAATCGGGAAGGCGAGTGAGAAACACATTCATCAACCTGAAACCAATCTGGAAATCTTCGTCACTCTGCCAGCATCAACAACAAAATTCAGTCGGATTTTCAATACAAACAACATCAAGTCAGTCAGTTCTTCTATACGGATCAGAAGCTTGACGGGTCACGAAGAATATTTCCAACAGCCCGTTGCAGACCTTAATCAATAACTGTCTTCGCTGGCTCTATATTGAAGATCAGATGGCAGGGGCGGAAAGAATCACCAACAAGAATCACTATGGGAACAAACAAAACAAGAACAAACCAATCGTCCAACAAATATACAGGAGAAAGTGGATTGAGATGGATGGGATACTCGCTCGCTGAGGAGGCCGCCGCTGGGTGACATCGCGCGCGCGCCAGCCCATTGGTCGAGTGGAACCAGGCCTAAAGGGAAGCAAGCGACGAGTGGGATGTCAGTGCAAGGGTGACATGGAGGAGATGGTGTGAAGAGGAGTTAAAACAGTATGGACCAACATGGATGCAGGCGAAAATTACAGAAGAAGACAGAAGTGGCAAGTGAAGACGTGCAATTGAATCCCTATGTTCTACTAGGAACCCAAGGGAATAATGATAAATTGTTACATGTTATGTTATCTAGAAGTTCGTTTTAACATGATGTAAACTGTAAGGTGAGTAAACAAGGAAGTATGTGTTTCAAATCTCTTAGACAACTGAAGTCTAGTAGTATAAGGATGTTAGTGATACACTGAGTCAGAAATTTAGTGACCATATTCTCGGATTTCGAAGTATCATGGTTTAAGTGAGTTAATAACTTAATTACTAAAATAAACTAGTAATCTAAGAAGTAATGTCTTCATTCTCGATTGTTTTAAAAGCTGATATTTTACGATGTTTATTTGAAGAGAATTAATACCAATATTAAAATAATATACTGCCTAGAGGTTAGCTCCCATCTTCCAGTACTCGAAGTACACTGAAATTCTCACTGTTTCTGGATTGAGTAGCCTAGTGATAACAATGCATCGTCGATTGAATAATTTCGATCAATATTTAAAATTAAATAGCTATTTTACCAATCGACTATCATTCAGCCCATGAGCCTAATCCAATTCTACAGGGAATTCATCGGCACAAGTCAATGCCTCAGAAGGAACACAAACCTCCTGTAACACATGTGCAGATACCTTGTTGATGAATGTTAACTAGTAGAAAATACGGGTCAGACTTATAGATCAGTTCTTCCAGCTGAGCTGTAATTTCTATATTTTTTTAAGTAAAGTATGTAGACCCTTGATTGTTGCACTCTGAAAAAAATGTTTGTGCCAGAAAGCTATGCCACTTAAAATTCGACGACTGATTCAACTACATAATTCAGTTAGTTGTACAGGGAACGAATAGCTGTCTGAATACCTCTGTGTTGAACTTTTATGACTTACGAACTTAATGATTCTAAAATCATTGTGAAAATGCCTTAGTGAAATAACAACAATCAAGAGACGTTAGTCAAGAATGGCATCTTGCCATCACCCAACACTTAAGTAAAGCGTTTAAAATCTCTTGAAGACTAGATAAATTCACTTCATTTTCCTAGTCACTTCATGGAATTTTCAATAAAATATGTCCTAAAATCTGGTGTACAAATCATAAATTTGAAGAAAACCGAATGTTACTAGTCCAGTAACTTCACTCCTCCCTTAGTGACCTTAAAATCCTAATTTATTATTAGTTAACAATAGTTAAGAAATTCATAGTAGAATAAAATGTGCCATATGCTACTGACAAGATTTATAAGTAGTATATAAATACAGATATAAATATGTATATCACCTGCATTAAGAACATTAAATAACAGGCAAATGGATTCCATGGCGAAGAGAAGAAATGAACGATGCTTGTGAAACAACTCGTATATCCTACCGTTACAACACTAGGATTTACTGTCCATATTATTCTCATTGAAATAAAACCTCATAAATCGTTCATTTCAATCAATATAATCAGAAAAAAAGGATCCTTGAATACAGTTCAAGTAAATAGCCATCATGGTAGTAAAACACCTTGTAGTTAATGTTGAATATAATTAGAAAGTTGCAAAGGGAAACACTAATGGTGTTCCTTGACGGAATAACACCAATGACTTCACCAATAGCTGAGATTTCTTACCACACAAAATCCCACTCTTCCAGGTTATCAAAACTTATTTCTGTATACAAAGAATTACTTCCAATTCCTTGGTAATATACGGAAATAGACAGAATAAACGAGATATTATTAAGGGGAATAACCAACTTAAGAGTAGTCATAAGTAGACTAATATCTGTCGTTGTTTCGTAAAAATCAATTTTGACTACTTCAACAACTTGTTCAATATTGTTTACAATATAACTCACTTCATTACAGGAGCGAAAATGAATCCTTATTTCTAATTACACAAATAAAGTACTGTTAAATTGCTTACCTGCTTGTTGCAGCTTTTTTCTTTTTACTAATAACATGTGTTTCACTTGAACCAATCGAGCCTGACATTCTATCAGATGATCCATCAACACTGTTACAATTATTTCCAAGTGGTACAAAATTTGAAGAATCAAGCATCGGCTGTAGAATACGTCGTCTAGCATTGATGAACCAATTATTTACTTGTAACAAGGTCAAATTTGTTTGACTCGCAATCTGTCGTTTTTCATCTTCTGTTGGATATGGATGCTAGACAAAAAGGAAAAGTAAAAGTCGGCAATAACTTCATCATCATCATCACTGATGAGTGTAGATAAAAGCAAAAGACAATAACTGTCTTCATATTTGAAACCTTTTACCTCAAAATTCAGATTTCTCAAACCACTTCCTGAGACTTTTTTACCCATAAAACTATCCAAATGCTCCTTTTAGTTTGAGTCACTCACTCCCCATGAGTATACGTTAGAAGCACAGCGGTAGAATGCTCGCCAACCACAAAGGTGGTCCGACGTTCGATCTGCGACCAGTGCACTCCTTTCCCTCGCTTCGAGTAATAAGACTGGTAAAGAGGAAAGGTTGGGCATGAGGCTAGGAATCCTACTCCACTGCCGAAACTTCAGAGCTCTAGCGTGAAGCCCTATGTTCCACTGAGGACGTAAAGGAATAAGACAAAATTCCCCATGAGTAGGCAATTGTTAGTAAGTTGACAAAATAATAATCATAACAATACGACCAAAGCTGAACTAGAAGATTTTACAAACAAATTATTGATTTTCATTTTCAGTAGATGTTGGTATCAAAAAGTTTATTTCTAGTTACTTTCTGAATCATGAATAACCCTCATTCAGGCATTGATGAAAAAACTAAAAAAAATGGTTCAGTGAAGAGGTCGTTTTCGGCGGATTCATTTTACACTTTAGCTGTACAGTTGCATTTATTCAATTTTCTTCAGGAAGGAGAGTAGTAACATAAATGATGAGTTGCCATAGTCATAGTTGTTAATATTAGTCAATACACAAGAGGGTTACGTAATAAGATGAACAGTTTGAAGAATGAGTAGCAGTCAGGATGCACAGTGAAATGAAGGGAAATATGGAATTATGTAAGAATACTGGGGAAATACAAGAGTTATAAGGAGTTAGAGAAACAAAACCAAACAAAATCAAGTCAGTAGGAATCAATGAGATTTTTATCATGATAATAGAAGTGATCGAATAATTTTCTTTGCACACAGAGCTCTCTCTGGCTTCGCTATTTGTACGGAACGTTATTACCCTCTTTCATGTAAAAAATAAAAGGTATATAAATGCGATTATACAGCTAAAAAGGGGAAACGAATTCACTGAAAACAGCCTATTCGCTGAACTAATTACTTTGTTATTTTTAGTTATCCTTATATATGCCAGTTAACACTCTGATGTCTATGGACGCATTAGGAGACCAACCAGCTTAGCCAACAACTTATCTTCTAAAAACATAATGCACCTCAGCAAGTTAATACCTTGTTTCCTAGGCTGTATGACACACGATCTAATGGCACAATATTTCTTTCAAGCCGGGAGAAAATGGAGAAAGACTTGAACTTGAACTTAAGACTCAACGCTTAAAATAAAATTTCCAAAACTAATGAAACTCATCTGTTGTCAGCGTTTCTGAGGAATGACATTAATGAGTTCAGTGATTGTATTAAGTATTTGCAGATTTTTAATTCGATGTGATTTTATCAATTTTTATCTGCATTGTCGATCTTAACTAGTTTTGTAATATTTATTGTTGTTATTATCACTATTCCCTTGGGTTCCCAGTGGAACATATGACTTAAACATCAGCACATCACTTTGTCCTGTTCTCTGCATTCCTCTTCATATAGTCTCACGATTTCCGATAGGCTGTCACTTCCTCCTCCTCCTCCTCGTCACACAATCGCCTCCGCGTTCCTAAAGTCTCTTTTTGCTGATTCTTTCTGGCTAGCTACCTGGAGAGAAGGTAGCTGTTGATAAAAGTTTGCAGCCTGTTGGAAATGATTTCTGCGACGCTGAGTGCAAGCTTCTAAACCACACGGAAACACTGAGTTAACATTGGTGTTGAAAACCCCAGTGTTTTTTCCGCAGATAATTTCTAAACTGATTTCATAGTGATGAAAGTCTCTCTTAACTTTCCGATTCTGTTTTTGATATCCCTGTTACCTCCTGGAGTTGATAAGTGAAGGAAGTGACCTCCTCAAATCCCTCTAGTTGATAGTGATTGGTTCTTGTTGCTGTTGGTTAGTTATTTTCAACGTTTCCGTCTTTTCTATGTTCACCCAAAGTTCTGTCTTCACTGGCTACTTTTTCAATCAGCTTATTGATTTTCGCCTGTAGAGGTTCAAATATGTATGACATCAAACATTAATCATCCTCAAAGCCCAGATCTTCTATAGTCTTCTTATCGGTCCAACATATTCCTGTTTTCTGGATCCTTTGGCGTGGTGTTCCACATTATCCAGTTCACCACAACTAGAAATATCATCGGTGATGACAGTCTTGTCTTACCTAAGTTTTTACTTCAAAGGCATCGCTGAGTTTTCCATTGTGAATCACTTGACACATGGTATTGCTATAAAACTGCTGAATGAGGTTGATAAAGTTATAACGCTACTTAATCGGTTACCTTTTGGATAGTATTCATTCATAAAACAACTAGTTACATTCGGACATGCGTAGATTAGTTAACTTGTATTAACCTATTATGAAAAAAAGTTTTCTTTAGAAAAAAACCGAAGTTGTCAGGCCCATGATTATACTATGAAAAAGCTGGGAAATAAATCACACAATTATTATGAGGTTAATCACATCCAGGTTTCTCTCTGTCTTTTATTTGATACTATTGACAGAATTCATTATGGGAGTTGTGGTTGATTATATCTCAAGAAAAAAAACTGGATAAATATTTCATACTTTGATTGAACACTAGTAACTAGTGCGATGTGTCTAGTCTTTTCTTTGGAGCAGACTAAATTCTACCAGTCAGGTTTGCAATGTGGCCAACATTAAAGGTAGCTCGCCATCACGGTGTACATTGATTTGATGATATTAGATGGTTGGAGGCAGTCAGCAGGAAGCCTCGCTTGATCTAGGTTTCATGCTAGTTGGCACTCACAAGTCAGCCAGCAAGGCGTATCTGCAACCTCAAAGGAACTCATGTCCCTTCTGAGATTCGAACACGCTTCACCCAGTGCTGTGGTCAGATATATTACCACTGAGCTATTCGGGCTCAAGATTGACCTCCTGTGGGACTGACTATATTTGGATTCTTTGATTGGACACTAGTAACTAGTGTTATGTGTCTAGTCGTTACTTTGGTGCAGACTGATTTCTATCAGTCAGGTTTGCAATGTAGGTTCGAATCTCAGAAAGGACATGACTTCCTTTAAGTTTGCAGATACGCCTTGCTGGCTGACTTGTGAGTGCCAATTAGCATAAAACATAGGTCAAGCGAGGCTTCCTTTGGCCGATTGCCTCCAACCACCTAACATCATCAAATAAATATTTCAGTTTGCACGAATAAATACAGTGCATTTTTTGATTACATACTTAGGAACAAGGCAGGGAAGCTTACAGTTGTTCTTTGTGAGAAATATCACATTATTATTATTACTAATCTGCCTTTCGTTTTCTGTGAATATAGTCTACATGTGTCCAACCATCTAAATGTATATATTCATATTTATATTCTTGAGTTACACAAAAGTAGTCCTTATTATCCTATGTATTAAAGTTAGTGAACGGTTAAACACCTGACACAAAATACAATTTTTTTAATACTTGGTGTGTGCGTCGGTAGCACAGCGGTTAGGGAGCTCGCCGACCATTCACATGGTCTGGGGTTCGACCCCCGGCCACCGACACACTCCTTTACCTCGCTAAACCAGAAATAATGCTGGTAAATAGGAAAGGTTGGGCATGAGGCTAGCAACCCCATCCTGCACAACCAAAACACTGCTACAGAAACTTTAAGCCACAGCTTGAAGGCGCCCTATGTTCCACTGAGAACGTGAAGGGAAAAAACCGCTTAGTGTAATTATACAATTCTATAGATAAATGACCACCGGTTGCCCAGCTTCTATCCTTTCACCTAATTCACACATAACAATAACAGTCTACACTACTAAGTAGAACAGAAAAATCCCTTGCTTCAGATAATAGTATCCAATCCAATCCAATCCAATATAAGACAAAAGTTCTACTAATGATGAGGAGGAGGGCGAAAATGAAAGAGAAAAATATGTATGCATAGACCCAAAGAACTTAAAAAACTCTGTGGTTCAGAAACATATGTGTTTTCAAGAAAAAAAAACTCTACACTCATACACTCAATGCATACATGCATCCATTTAACAGGAAGATACACCTGTTGATTATCTCACGCTTCATAGCTAATATATATGTATGGGATAAATAATGCACGGGAACACAAGGGAACACAGGATATAAGAAATGTTTTTTTTTTTATAGAGGAATCAGCAGTACACAGTTGAAAAAAAATAGTAAAATAATAATAATAATAGTTTTGCAGCTGTTCTCGTCCTTATTTGTACGTCGATAGCGACCTAGTTGTATGGATTGATTTATCTATTATCTGAAATGAAGGGAGACTAGTTAGTACCTGTGTTGTGCAATGTATATATCTATACATGTGAGACTGGTTCTATGAAGCAGCTAATGTGAAACGACATCCACTGGTGCGAGTTGTGTATACTTCTATACGAGATTTCTGATTCACAATATTCACCTAATGATTTAAATTCCATAATGGGAAATAAATACTTATACTTCATTATATGGACTACTCGGAACTAAAGTCTGAAGTCATATAGAGTAAATATTTAGCTATTTGAATTACTACCACTTATTGGGTAAATAGAATATTTTGTACGAGTTAATCAGCGATTGATATCAGTTAGAGAACCATTGAAAACCGCGGAGTACTGTTTCGTCCTAGTTCGGGACTTGTCGAAAGTACGCACACACTACAGGGGTTCGAACTCAGGACCTTTCGGTTACAAGTCAAGCTGGCTCGTATACCATTCAGTCACTGAGACCCGATTCAATGGCCAACCCATGAATTCTAACTTCTATCAATTCGTGAGTTTAGCACGACCACCAACCAATGTCATCGGTAGAACATTCATTCTCACACTTGACTGGATAAACCTCACTGGCAACGACATCTCACTAGAACTCCAGGAAACTCTGTCCTGTATCAGGTCA